CGCGCCCCCGCCCCCGCCCGCCCCGCGCCCGCCGGCCCCGCCGCCCGCGCGCCCGCCGGGGGCGCCCCCCCGGCCGGGCGCGGCGGGCGGCCGGCCCGCCCCGGGCCGGGCGGGGGAGGGGGGGGGGGGCGGGGGATATGAGCGGGGGCCGGGACCGGGGTACCGGGGGGTGGATTGGCAAAAGCCAGAGGGAGACCGGGGAGAGACCAGGGGGTATAGGGGAAGGGGGTTCTTGTTGCTGGGGTGTCCAAATTCCTGAGTTTGGATGGCCGAGGAAGGCAGGCCCGCCATATACCTGCATGCATGACCTGGAACATTGACCAGAGGCCTAGCTGCTGCAGGTTATCCCATGATAAAAGACCAGGCATCTTGTGTCCTATCAAATACTAGCCCCGACGGCAGATAATTCCTTCAATCCATACACTGCACCTAACCGATGAGGTACCGTAGGTACCACTGACGTTCCATCACAGCTTTTCTCCCAGTTCAATGGGCGGGTGATGATGACAGGATGTTTCACTGTGCTTGCTCTTATGAATAATGTGTAGGTACCTGGCAGTTTTTATTACCAAAGCTTTTACAGTGCGGAGATAGGCATAAAAGATTCCGGGAATCCGAGGGAGATTCTTGCAACAACCTACAACAGTGACCCTTTCGGCATGTAGCTCGACACCTACAGGGCTGTTACCGAGGGAACATACCCCGCCGAATGAATTCGGTGCAACTCATATCCGACACCGGTGATCCGATGGTGACCTGAATGGCGTTGGTCTTCATGATCACAGGGAAGAAGAAAGTACGGGAACAAAGTCCCCTGTTATGAACTAAGCTTCAAGAACGCAAATAGATGAAGAGAATACTGGTACTTTCTAGATAAGGCGGAACATCTTGATGAAGCCAAAAAAGCCACCACTTCGTGCCAGTTGCTCTTGTTGGGAAGCTAGTGGAAGTTGTGCACCATAAGGTACCCTACATGAGCAGCTATCGTCTTGTATTCGTTTGTGGTGTGATCTTTACCAGCAGAATATTAAGTTGCTTGCTTGCCTGATTCTTGATGTAACAGCAGATATATATTGGAAAGTCGAAACCTGCTTACCTACTTGGACCTGCCTCATGGACACAGCACCTCCCCGCTGCACTAACTGCACTTCGCAGCAGCTTTTTTGTACCGATATCACTCAAGAAGACATTCAGTGTAATGTACTGGCTTCACATCTCTATAGACCGTTCTAACACTTTCTGCAGGCGATGAGTGCAAGAGCCAAAACCGCCGGTGTTTCCCGCCGCCTCCAATCACGCTCTCCGAGCTCTCCGTTTCCGACGAGGACAGACAGAACGACGAAGCGCTCTGGATCTATCACTACATATTCTTCTTGAAACTTACGCCCCCCGGTCCTGAACAACAAACATTGCTTGCTACCATCTACCGTGGTTGCCAAAGTTCACCCACCATTCTCTGCGCCATATTATCATTATGTCCACACTCCGATAATGTGGACCTGGCTCGGAGAAGTGATCTTCTCCATGACCGGGCTCAATTGGGCAGTGATGCTGAAGGGGCCATATGGGTTCCGTTTTCCGGCCTTGTTCGGTCACTCCTGGGAGGAACTAGTCCGATACAGCATCTCAAGACTCTATGGCACAAGATGCGTCATGCAGAGCACATACCTCCGTATATCTTTAACTTTACGTTGCATTATGTGCGCGTCTGTAGCTTCCTTTCAGGCGAAACTATAGACGTCAATTATTCTAACTTCCGTAGTCCCCAGTCGGCCTCTGATCTTGACAGAGAATGCATGCAGTTTCTCCCAGTCGTGTCTGGAATTCAGCAGGGACCCCCTGATGAAGGACGATATTATATATGGAGGGAGAATTGTCGCTCACGGCCGAAACTTAACGTAAGCCCCCAAGTTCAACTATACTGTGCGACACTCGACTTGTATGTTGCAGGGTTATGTAAAAAGGAGTTCCGCCTCAATTTGCCATCTACGTTGGAGTTGCTAAAAAAGCTGACTTCCGAACCCAACGAAAACTTCTTTGTTCTACTTTTCCCAAGTTTCCTTCTTGGTTTAGTATGCAAGACGAAGTCCGACCGAGATTCAATCACAACGGCCATCCTGAGTATCAAGGAACACACACAGCTTATAAGTCCTGTAATTGTGTTGTAATTTTTGGAGGGAATCTGGGCTCTGGATCTTGAGGAACACTGGCTTCCGTATTGGCTAAACAATTGGCCTAGGCACTGGAGACTCACGAATGGCAACCTTGAGTTTTTGCCGACCTAGACAGCCAAAACATACCTATCTCTTGATTCTTCCAACTATCGTAATTACAGTTTCTTTAAGATTATCTGAACGGTTTATATTACACATTTCTAGTGTTTATTATAAAATCTAGCGGCAGCAGAACCAAGCAGTCAACCTTCCATAAACAACCTATTCTCCAAAAGACCTTTCCAATGCTTTGAACCCCTTCACCGCCTGCAAAGTATATGCAGCCTACGAGCCATGCTGGCTCTAATTTGCCTGAATGGGAAGCAGACGATATGCGACAGTTTGGGCTTTGTGCTGGCCACCGAGATAACCCCAGATTCTGGAGAGTAGGGGATGGACTGAACGCTGGGGAAAGAGACTAGAGATCTGACAATAGGTAAGCTAAAGTCAATCTTTCCAGGTGCTCTTCTGGAAAAGAGAGGTACATACTGGTCGTTATGCATGATGCCGAGGCTAGCCATAGCTGAGTGATGATGTCGTTGAAGAAGCTTGATGTGGTGGGGGGACAGATGATCTCCAGTCTACCTGGCAGAAGCATCTAAATCCACGTAGGCGACGTGCGTGTTAAATAGTCTGAGGTACCTACAGTCAACATTAGAATGTGTGATATTTGTGCTCAGTGCGCAGTAACTGTGCCCTGTGCATGGTTGTCCCGCCTCAGTGCGTGGTGCATGTGTTCTGTCGTCCAACTTCTCCAGCGCTATATATAGCACTTCTTCAAATGAACGAGGTTCATCTTATAGGAAGAAGGGTCGATTTCGTTTCTTCATCGAAATGTGATGTGTTTTGAGAAGGTGTTGTCAAGGGCTGCTGACATAAACAAAAAACAACTCACCGCCCATCGAGTCCCAGGTCACTCCCCACCCCCTGCTCCGCCTTCGCTCCGCTCCGCCCGCCGCTCCGCCCGCCGCCACGCCAATCACTTTATGTTCAGCACCACTTTGCGACTTGGTATGCTTAGCCGCTTTGGCTACCGCTCTTATAAAACAAAAGCTCTTCCCCATGTTCCATTCCATCATTCTTTGTCGGATAATGGCCGACTTCCTTATCACCTGCACCCTTCAGATAGCTTTGCTTGGAGGCGACATTTACCCTAGCAATGCTGGGCGCGCCTCTACCATATTTCCCGAGAAGTACATAAGGTATCAATTCTTTTTGCAATAGTTGACCAGATGGCCACAAGGACTTCCTCTGTTTTCAAGCCGTCGGAGCCGACCCCAGTTGCAGCAACAAGGCTGGCAGGCAACTTTGCGGCTCAAGTACGCGGATGTTCGCGCCGCACCGGTAAAACACCCCACTGTGGGGCCCAGATATTGGAGCCCTCTTCTCGGCCCAGCCCAGTTCTACAGAAATTCAGGACAATGTCGGCACCAACTCAGGATGGGATTCGGATCGCCTGTACGCCTTGCCATCGCAAGAAAATAACTTGCAATAAGGAGTTACCATGCGCCAGATGCACTCGCCTGAAGTTGGCATGTGATGAACGGTATTCCGGCAGATACAAAGCCCGCTCAACCCCCCACACCAGGTCTCCTGAAGCCGCGTCAAGGACCGAAATTTCCCTGCGCAGTGCTCAGTCGCAAAGCGCTACCCCGGGTGACGACGAAGGAGCTACCTCAGTGTCCAACGATCGAGCAGCAGATCCGCCTACACCCAGCGAGGATTTGGAGCCGCGCCCACATAAACGAAGGCTGGTAGGACTGCGCGACTTGCTCAACGGTAAGAAACGTGTCATCATTCTTGGATCGTGTTGTTCTGACTTTATGTTGTAGTCGACGAAACCCTCCCTACTTTCGACGCTGTACCCCCATTAGTTCACGAACCCTGGAATCCCAGGTTCTATCGGTTCTGGTATCCCTGGAGGAAGCTTGCTAGTTATCTCGAAATGTCGGCCCCCGAAGTGCTCGAATTTACATACAATGGAGGGTACTTGACGTCAAACTCCGTACTCCATGTCGGGCTGCAGCTTCAGATCCGTTCCGAGCGATACCCAGACGCATCCAAGGTCTGGATCGAACGGCCGAAACTCCTCACTTCAATAACGCAACATCTAGAGGTTTCAGGAACTTGGAACTGTGGTTTGATTGGCGCCGATTCCTCACCAAAAGGTGTCATGGTATCGTGTGTCGCAGTGCTTCCAGGGATTGACGGTGTGGTTCTGCCAGCAACTCTCGGAGAGATAGTGATAAGGTGGCAGCAGCTATCAAGTCTTCTTTTGTTCCGTCAGTGGGGGGGCTTCTATAGCACGAGGCTAGGACCGGCGATGACCGCTTTATAACCCAGCTTTTGCACTATAAATCCACCACACGCTCGGGAACTCGCCCATTACATAAACCTCAGAAGTAACATAGAGATATTTCCCAGATTGTGTCTTACTCCGACCGGTCACATAGAAATTTCCATCCACGGCCACAATACCATCCGGTCCATCGAAGTCGACAATCGCAGCAACGCAATCACGCTCGTTCGTATCTATGCGTAGCTCCCCTACACCGCAAAGCACGTCAGCAAGTCAGCAAAACAGCAAGGTAGAGGAGCAGAGTAAAACCTACCTAGCCCAAGCTGCTTCTGAACCTCATCCAGAACCTCATCCTCACTCCTCCCACACACTTTTTTGCCGGTCATACCGGTCACTGGACTGGTCACATAGAAATTTCCATCCACGGCCACAATACCATCCGATCCATCGAAGTCGACAATCGCAGCAACGTAATCACGCTCGTTCGTATCTATGCGTAGCTCCCCTACACCGCAAAGCACGTCAGCAAGTCAGCAAAACAGCAAGGTAAAGGGGCAGAGTAAAACTTACCTAGCCTAAGCGGCTTCTGAACCTCATCCAGAACCTTGTCCTTACTCCTCCCACACACTTTTTTGCCGGTTATACCGGTCACTGGACGAAGGGGAAGTGTCGTTGTTGTCGAAAGGGTTGGTTGTGACAGAGGCTTTGTCGCGCGGATTTGTGGGGGTGGCCGGGCTATCACGTGAAATGTTGACTGATCGCAGTGCGACCGCTGCCTGCACGTGTCCTGGGTGCCACCTCTTCAGTCCAAACCAGCCAATCGACACGAGTAACCAGTTACAACACTGGACCAAATGCTGATACTGCGACGAAACGAAAATGCATATACAGATTGCAATAACTATCCCAAGAACTGAAACTAACGACAACAGAAGACCCTTGTTGAGGTTTGGTCGGCTTCTATACTTGGTGGAATGAGCCTTAATCCAAATAATCAAGACTACAAAGTAGGCGTAAAAAATAGCAGGCGAAAGCCATTCGAACTCGTAGACGTTTCTCTTGTAAATCTGCCAAAATCCAAAAGCAGATAGGATCATCTCGCAAACAATAATCCCGATTAGGAAGCCGTCGTTGTAAGCCCCCGGTCCTGTAAGAAGCTGCACACAAGTCAGCGTAAAGCATACAGAGCGAACATGCGAGAGAGTACCTGAAAGACGGGGTAGACCAGAAATGTGACGGCTTTCCAGGCAAGAAGGTATGGATAGCTTCTCCAAATAATGAATGGAATACTAGGTATAAACGTAGTAATAAGGCAGGCCCACGCAGTAACAGTAAGCCAACGGGACTTGCTCTTCTGAAGCCAAAGATCAATGCTGGAGACAACGAGGAACACCACGGTGACGATATATGCTGCAATGGCAGCATAGAATTCGGGGGCTGCTACCGGGGGCTGTATCTTTTCGAATCTCGCAGAGACAATCGAGACAAGGCAAAAATAAGGTAACTAAAGTGGCTTGCAGGACTTGAAAGTGCAGTTTTCAGGGGGCGGGGGGAGGGAATGGGTCGCGTCCCAGGCTTATATGTTCAGCATCGTTTCCAGGCAAGCGGGCGGACGGACGGATCGACTGGATTGCGCTCCCACAATCAAATTGTGTGATCGTCCACCCATCCTTGCATGATAAGCTCCTACTCCACAGGCGACATGAGGGCAACGGAGAAAGAAGCAATGCGTTGTATATGTCAACGCCTCTCTTGTATCCGACTAGCACCCTCCGAGGCGTGCATCTGGGGAAGGGGTTGTGGGGGGGGGGGTAGCGGAAGAACAGGGATTGGGAGGGGATTTGCCATGATCAGACAGCTGGTCTTGACATGGGGGCTTGTATGTCCCAGGATGTGGGTGCCACTCAGCAGTTCAGTATCTCGCCACCGACGAAGCTCGAAAGAACGTCGAAAGTAATAGAATGTTTCTTTAATCATTTCGTATAGTATAATCAGTGACAAAGCCGGAAAGAAGCCAATGTGTGAAAGTATGAAGATGTGTAGGGTGATGAATAGATCTATCTGAACGTGGGAAGCCAAGTGGGCAGAAATACATGAAGGCCATAAAGCCGGTGATGAGAAAGCATCATAAAGGCGTGAAGGAAACCAAAGCAGATGGCCTAGCGAAGAGCGCAAAGACCTGTGAAAAAGCTGAAAAGTAAAATAAGATCTCAGGGGGAACTCTGCTAGGCATTCGAATCTGAGTAAGGCCACTTAGAGAGACGGTGGGATATCGTCCTCTATGGTGGACGAAAAGCTGCAAGTGGCTGACGTGGTTGGCGATCCGGGAAGGTTTGGCGAACTGTTATTGCTCTGCGATACATAGCTCGTTGAAGGGCGAGAACTGCCAGGTTGACTTCGTGGCTCCGAGCCTTCAATAAGAAGACGCCATTCGTTCTTATCGTTTCTTTGTGCTGAAAACTCAACTGTTGCAACCAAAAATCGGTCACCGCAGTTAAGCATAGACATGGTTAGATTCAGTTTCTGGCTCCGAGCCTATTCCTGCAGAGTAGCCTGGACGCCACGGGGACTGTTGTATGTGTCGGAAAAAAGATTACCAGTGGGGGGAGTTGCCGGGCTTGCTTGAAATCCCTCGTTTGATGGTATGGATGGCTGTGAATGGGATTCAGTTTGGCTCTGGCTTGCGGTCTTTGCCCGTTTCGTCTGAGACTGTGATGCTAGTTTTGCCTGTCCTGCCCCTCGTTTCTTGCGCTGCTGCAAACTGTCTGGCGTCTGCTCAAGTGGCTCAAAATCTTTCAGTACTAAGCTTGTATTGTTGGAGCTCTCCGCTTTAGTACAGCTCGCTGTGGGTGTTGAGAGGTTGCTTGTGGCTTGTGTTAAAGGGAGACAAGAGCTGCTTGGAGTTGGCCGTTCCGGCTGTGAGGATACCGATGTCATGACATAAAATGGGGAATGTCTGAAGCTAATGGCTGCTACCTTGTTAGTACATCTTAGGGAACGGGGCACATAAATATACCACCTTTCTGGAGGGAGCCAGAGCAGAGGGCGGCCGAAGCGGCTAACCATTTTGCCTGTTCATACCTAATTGCGTGGATGACCTCGCTCCGCCCGTAACTGCTCGCTCCGCCCGCCGATTCTTGTTCGGTCAGCCCTGCACCCCCATTACTCCAAACAACATGGCTGTGAATTCACCACCCATGCAAAAGTCTTGGTCTTGGTCAGAGAGTGAAAAGAGTTGATGCATGTAGCTATTTATTCGCCAATGCCCACTGATTGGCTATTTCCCATATCATGACCTCATCCTGGGTGGGAATTGATGCCTACCTACCATCCCACCCACGCCCTTCCCTCAGAACAAACAGCGGCGCGGGGTACCGCTTGATGTGGTGTGAGCTGACAGACGTGATACCAGAAGGAGCAGGGCCAGCACTTTAGATGTCTTCCGTCCGGATAGTCGCATTGATTACCTCAATGTGAAGCCCCTTGGGTACCTCGGCCGATGTTGGACAGTGACCAGTGGGTGTCCACACCCAGCATAGTTGCCGAGCGTTTCTCACGATAACCGCTTGGCCCTCAACAACTGTCACCCTTAGCGGTCGGGAAACGTGTATGACTTTTATGTAGAAGTAAACGTCCTTGTTATTTTCGAGCCTGCTGCTGTCCTAGAGTATCCGTCAGTGAGCGTCAGAAGCCACCGCGCGCAGAGTCATACCACAGTTATAGTTGATGACGTGGAAGACTCCTCAGAGGGCTCCGAAGTGCTTGCACTCAGGGTCGACTCTCCGGGCAAGATATGCGCACAAGCATGGATCGGGATTCTGAACTTGCTTGCTATGTTCAATCCACGGGATCGCTCGACCTTGATCTTGAAGTCAATGTCACCCAGACAGTGCAAGTCGAGATCTGCACCAATGCAAACAGACATGCGCTTTCCCCCTTTCGACTCCGCTTGGAATGTCGAACTGTGTTCCCATGCACGCCACAGCTCGGTGTAAATCTCAAACAAGCTCCGGCGATCAATCCCAACATGGTCAGATTTTGCGAATTGAGAAAGGGTCAAATCACTCATTTGTCCAATCTCGATCTCTGCGTCCGGAATTTCACGGATAAGTCTGGACCGTATTTGGGTGGCTGCATCGTCCCCAATCGAACAGTCGCACTTCTGTTGGCTGCCCACCCCGTCGCCTTGGTTTTCCGCTTCTCCTGCAGGTGACACTGACATGGGGCTCTCGGAGGCAGGGGTGGAGTGGCGTGCCTGTGGTGAAGGTTCGTGGATGCCTATGTCACACCGTTTGTTAGAGATGTATATTCCGTTTCTTAGGTAACGCTTTACTCACTCTCCTGGAAGCCTGTGGCTCGCAGAATCAACCCGTCTACATCGTCTCGCCACTTCAGCAACGTAACATCTATAGGCCCAAGTCAGTACTTGGCGACCAGTTCAGCTATTAAACACTCGTGTCTTACCAAGTAGAAACTTGTTTGCAAGGGTCGTGTCTTTACGAAGAAGAATATTGTAATAATGGTGCCAATATGCGTCCTTATCGAGGTCCGCCAAGTTAAGCCACTGAAATGCTGCTCTCTGTACCATCTCGTACCTCGAAATACTGCCCCATTCGGAGAACCGGCAGTACTTTGCTAGACGGACCATACCCGCTATCGTAATCTTAGGTGCATCAAAAGGACTTTCGTCGTCAGAGTACCGACCTGAGGCGGTCAACCGGACAAGTGGCTCAGGATTGTGTTTGGTGGGGACGTTCGTTCGCTCCTGTACCGCCTGGAGTATTTCCCAAGCGACATTCTCTCCAGGTTGCGAGATAATATCCCGAAGCTCCATTCTGTACCTCAGCCGTCCTGGTATGTGTTGTGACCAGAGTCTATCAAGCGGCCGACGTTGAAGCCAAATTGCGGGGCTGCGGATAGGCGCTTGCTGCAGGCTAATCAGAACGCTCCATTGTCAATAAAATTAAGCCGCCTGGTGGACGGGCGAAGACCCTGGCTTGTTTTGTGCCAATGAGGGGGCCCCGTGCTATACCTAATGGGTGTGCGATTAGTCGGGTGCCCCGCAATGCGGCCCCCCCCTGGCTCTCTGTTTTCCCCAGCACTTGGCACGAGGATGGGATTTCAGGGTCTCAAGGAGTCCCCGGGCCTTCATGTTCCACCTTTCTTTACTTTCATTTTAGCGATACTCCCACATTCTACCGGATCCCTTCGGCGTCTCAGCGACCAATTGAGGTATTAGGAGAAAACTGCTCCAATAAAGACTCGTGGGCTCGGGACAAGGTTATACAGGTGGTTTTAGAAGATACCTAGAGTCCTAGACCAGCGAGAAACAAGGCGGGATTCAGCTGTAATTTGGTCCGGGCTATATATCGAGGCAGGCTAATGTATAATGTCATCAAACAGAAAAACAGAACTTCATTCTTTTTTAACCCCCCTAATAGTTAACGAAAAGGCGATTGGATTCGTCGGAAGGGTTAAAGCTGTAGCCTACCATAGAAGACGGATCCAACACGCCTTGATAATGGAGGATCATATCCGTACTGTCCTGGAACTGATGCCAGTCTCCCAAAGAACCCCCTCCAACAGTATCGTCCCGGAACTAATGCCAGTCTCCCAAAGAACCCCCTCCAACAGTATCGTCCCGGAACTGATGCCAGTCTCCCACAAAACCCCCTCCAACAGTATCGTCCCGGAACTGATGCCAGTCTTCCACAAAACCCCCTCCAACATTGCCATTACCAATACCCTTCACATCGTGTACCGTCATATCACACATCCAAAAACTCGGATCGGTTGTCCAGATATCGCCCCCTACGATGCCGTCTGCCAGAACATCGTTGTCCATATCGCGAATCCCAATAGCCTCCACACACTGTGCCACGCTACTCTCTGCTCCAATGTGGCATATCTGTGTACCGTCTGCCGGAGCACCGTCGGCCACAACACCGTCGGCCAGAATGCCGTCTGCCAGAACACCGTTTTCCATATCGCGAATCCCAATAGCCTCCACACACTGTGCCACGCTACTCTCTGCTCCAATGTGGCATATCTGTGTACCGTCTGCCGGAGCACCGTCGGCCACAACACCGTCGGCCACAACACCGTCGGCCAGAACACCCTCTGCCAGAACACCGTTTGCCACGATGCCGTCTGCCAAATCGCAAATACCAATAACCTCCATACGCTGTCCCATGCTACTCTCTGCTGTAGTGTGGCATATCTGTGTGATGTCTTGCCCCGCGTCAATATTTTCTTCCGTGTTGCCAGCTTTCCCCATCTTGATGTTGTCATTTGAATCGCCGCCTTTCTGTGTGCCATTGACCTTCTCAACGAGTGGTGGCTGGCCGTTTTTCGACAGATTGTACAGTTTACTTCTGACTTTGGTCTCAGGTATGCCGAGTGCCTCCGAAAGTTCTGGGAGAGAGCGCCCGGAATTGTGACGAAGATAATCCACCTCCATCGCCGTCCACACGTGTATGTTCCGTCGTGGAATGCTCAAGCCCTGACTGGCGCATGCCCTACGAATGCGCCTCAACTTTCCCTTGACTTTCTCAGAGGATCTTCCGAGTGAATCTCCTATTTCTCGATCAGTAAAAGTCAAGTTTTTAAGAATAAACTCTTCTTCAAGCTTCGTCCACGTCCCTTCCTTTGGGGGAGGTTTCAAACCCAGTTGCCTCCTTTTCCAGTTGATTGCATTGGAAGATCTATTAAGTACCTTTGATAATTAGTTGGCACGAAGAAAAGCCGCATTTTCAACAAGAAACTTCTCTTCATTTTCCGTCCATCGTGGCGTTGATTTGCTGTCGGTTTGGATGGTATGTATTGCGCTTAATCTTCTGTGGATTGCCAGGGGAGATCTCTTGAGTGCCCTTGATAGCTGGGTGATAGTAAGAGAAGTCGAATTTTCAAGAAGAAACTTCTTTTCACCATCCGTCCATAGTCGATTTGCGGTTTGGACTTCCTCGGCGTGGGGCGTATTGTCGACGGCCCTTTCCGGGAAAGGAGAAATCGAATGTGCCATAGTGCGGACAACGAACAAAAAGATGATAAAAGCGCGCAGATTGTGGGGGATCTGTGGATTGAGAAGAAGTGTTCCTCTTATTATTTTAAAATCATGAGTTGACTGCGATAATTGCATGTAATTGTAAACCGGAGGGGCGGGCGGAGAGAGAAATCCGCGGCGCGACAATCTGATCTTCGGTATCCTAGCCCCAATCGCGATTAGAGCCAATCTTGCTGTCGTTAGCTTCATGCTGGACAGGGGGTGGGCGGAGAAGCTCTCCGCGGCATGTACTCCAATAAGTCACCTAATTTTACTAAGGTAACCAACAACCAGAAGCTTGGAACATCCCCGGCTCACTGATATTGTGATCTAACCCAGGTAGGCATTGCGAGACGAAATGGCGATCATCCAAGCGACCGAAAATGTGCTTGTGCGCGTTGCTCCTCTGCTCCATGTCTGGAAAGCCACTCACAGCCGCTCTCCAACTAGCACTCTAGGTACCTAGGTACCTATGCTCCTCCCCTTGAGTGGTAGTGTGCAGGTTTGGCGCTTTGCATGGCCGGTGGCCTTGCTCCCAACACTGTGTAATGCAAATATCAGTTGGCCTGGATGCCTTTTATCTGACTTGTATAATATCTTTATCCACCATACACATTCTTTACATACCTATCTAGGTACCTACCTGCCTATCTTACTTGCTTATTGCCTTTATTTGACAGTACTGGGTCCGCTTTCACTACCTAAGTACCTTACTCGACCGACTCGACATGGCCGTTGGATTGGAGCCGTGGGTGTATGTCCTCCGGGGTTGTTGTGCTATCGCCGTTTTCGTCGCCATCGTCTTCGCAATCCCTATTGTATCGTCATTCGGTACGGGGGATGCTAGAATCTACACACACCCTTCCGGTTTTCGACCTCTTCTCGTCACCCTATTCTCGCTCTATCTCGGTCATATTCTCGTACTGGCTATCGAGGCGGCGAGCCGAAGGGAACTCCCGGAGATCCAGGCCTTGATTTCAGGTAGCATCTTTACTATCATTAGCGCTGCTCAATTGGAAGGACTTACTACGCTGGAGAAAATACAGTTCTTCAACTTCTGTATCTATCTCGGGTGCTGGGCTCTTCTCTTCACCGTCGAACTCTTCATCATTTGGCTCTCCTCGCGACCTTCCTCTACACCTTCCCCTATCCGCAACTCAACATCTTTTTTACTGTGGCGGAGCTCCTGATCTATGTTGCACTCTTCGCCTTTCTTTTTTTTGCTTTCTGGGGGGGAGAATATGAACGCCTAACCCAGTCGGATATCGAAGATCGGGATGCTGCCGAGACTATCCGGAACGACGGCGATGTTAGCAAGGCTGATCCCTTTGGCATTCGTATGTCAGCACAGAAAGAGATTGAGGAGCAACCTCTTCATGCGAAACCTCGTTCCCACTGCGGGTACCATTCTCATTGATGGCCAAGATATTACGAAGATTGAAAAGGATTCGTGAGTGTACTTTATGAGTCATTGAGGACACGTGAACTAACTGCGTTCCAATTTAGCTCACGAACACATCACGATGATGCCCCAGAACCCATACATTTTCAACACGACGGTCGCGTACAACGTGAAGTACACGAATCCTGATGCGACTAGAGAGGAAATGTATGAGGCCTGTCGAAAGGCAGGAATTCACGACACTATCATGGCTCGGGAGGATAGGTATGAGACGTCCATGGGTGATAACGGACAGTAGGTTACCTCCTATCTTCGCCACCTCAGGGGCTGGTGGGCGTCCAATGGTTTGTTAGAAATGCCACACGGCGCTCTTAAGGATTGTAAGCCCATCGATATTGTGCTGGAAAAGGGCGGCTTGTATGACCACTGACCACGTTTCTTGTCCGCTATGCTAATAGATATTCTAGGCTCATTTGTGATGCACGACTGAGTTGGAAGAGACTCAAGGGTTATGTTATATTTTTCGTTTTCGCGACGGAGGAAGAACTCGCACGCTGGCCAGCAAAGAAATACCCCAGGGGCGGTGATTTCGAGCAAAAGATTACCCAGATGCAGAGCCCAACCATAGGGGTGAAGTTCACATGTTAACGGCGTCTCGAAATAATCTAAAGTACCTTACCCAGCCATCTGTGGCGCATGAACTGAGCTTTCATCTTGAAATGACGCTGATCCCAAGGCCGTCCCCGAATACATGACCGGTGCCCTTGAACCAAATACCGTACCCGAATGCATAATCGGCGCCTTTGCCCCCAAAACCGTACCTGAATACATAGCTGGTGTCTCAGATCCAGGATACATGGAGGGCATAAGAGATTCACGGGCCGTGTTCGAATACATGATTGGCGCCTTTGACCCATAGTTGTGCGCTCCCGATCCTGGGACACTGTTCAAAGTCTGCAGAATAGGAGCATCAAATGTCCCTAAGAAGTCTAGATGTGCTTGGCTGCTGCCCTGCAAATGAGGTTGGTCGGCCACTATCAACCATTGGGTTCTTGACGTCTCCAAAACTTCATTAACTGGATTGGTAGTTCTGTGGCTGTCCGTCGTCCATGTATTCATCAATGTAGGAACACTATCAGAGGCTCCCAAGACATCTGGCTGCGGTTGTGCTTCCGTGGAATATGACATGTCCGTGTAAGTGTTGGCGATTCCAACTACGTGAGAACTGGGCGTCATTGCTGAAAGTGATTGTGTTATAGCCGATTCGGTATCGATCGAGCGGCTATAAAAGGGCGCACTGCTGCTTTGCAAGTGAGGATGGTCGTGGATTAGCGTATGTTGAGTTCCTGACGCCTCTGAGTCCAAACCTGCTACTCTAAACTTCCGTTTCTGACTTTCTGGCGCCTCTGAGTCCAAACCTGTTACTCCAAACTTCGGTTTCATCAACGCGAGGTTAAGCTGATCGTCGGAAAGCTTACGTAATTCATCGCATGTTGCCCTAATATATACCTTCTTCCTTTCATCTTTTATGTCGACATGCTTCTCGGCATGCCTTAGGAACTCGCTTGTGAGCCTCATCGTCTTGTGACACTCCACACATACTTCGTTACAGGGGACATCTAGATGCGGTTGTTAGAAGCAATCTTGCGTGTAAAACGGAGATGGAGACTTGCGTTGCTGAAAATGCCGCCGGAGTAGCTGCTTTTTCCATACCCGTTCTGGCGTTAAACATGTTCGGTTAGGGCAATAAAATCCCCCGTAGCGTTTATATTCCCTTCTTGTGCTCGTATAATTGCCGACCTCGTTGTCTTTACTATCTTGATTATCGTCGCAATCGCTTTAGCTAATTCGATCGTCGCTAGTTCTCCAATGGGTTCGGCATGTTTTGGCTTCGGCTAACAGATACTGCTCCCGGGACTTGGGAGATGTCAGTTAAGGAGCAACATAGGCTGGTAGGCGTGCTAACCCGATATTCTTGAATATGCTCATTCAAACCATCATCTGTTTGGAAAAGGGCCGAGCAAGTACATACTGCTAGCTTTGAAATCTCATGCGACATTATAGGTAGAACGAATAAAGAGTGAGAGGAAGCGGGTCCTCGTTAACTCGCAATAAGTGGGAGGAGGTCGGAAATCCTGTTATTAATCGGCGGCTAAAAGCTTCTGGGACATAATTGGATAAACAAGTTGCGCCATGAGCTGTTAATTACCTTGCATTTTCCCTACAAACCGTGGCAAAGCAGATCACAACTTTCCTCGACAAACAGCGCTTTTCCTTATACCTTATAAAATCGTTTTTTTATTAACGCTTTACTTTATCTGAAATAGAAAGATGGGTAAGTGCGAGATTTGCGGCGGCGATAAAGTCGTCAGTTACGCTGTATACAGACAGATCTTCCAACGTCGACCTAGTACAGGCTATTAATCTTTTTATCAGCCCTGGGCTCCACTTCGCTCCGTTCAGGCCACCCCTCACACACTTCATAAGTAGGGGGTCGGGCAATCACAGGCCCAGAGAGAAGCGGCAAGTCCATTGTCACAGGAGTACGGAACCCAAAAGGGGTTCCACCCTGCTTGGTCGTTGGGAGTAGCTTTTTGGAAGTACCTATACTTAATGGAAATTTAACAAAATGTCTGTGTTTTTTACCCTATCAGGTTAGACAGTCACTCGCTAACAACAATTTCGTCGGCAGAGGTGTATGTTGGGCACCAAAAATCACTTTGAGGATGGCTTCGGCCAAGGACGGTGGGAGAAAGAAGCCACACAACTTTCCATTAATAGCGCCTAACATATACAAATGCAACGCAGTGCCAACTCAAAGCAAATATCTACAGTGTGATTTCCCATCTCTCCTTCGTACTCTTCGTTCTTATTATTCTGCGGTTAAAGAGATAAGGGATATGTGGTAAGAGATAAGGGGTGTGTCAGTGATAAGAGATAAGGGGTGTGTGAGTGTATGTATGTGTGTGTGAATAAGGTAGCCTCTGCCAGCACTTCAGGTATCCACTAGGTAGCTAGATGGGAAATCTATTGTGTATCTATATTTGTTGCTTAAGTTCCCGATGCAAAGAACATTGGAGAAATCACAGTGTGTGAGTGGTTAAGAAGCGCGCGGGAATGTTGAAAAGATAGCTTTTTGAACAGGTGGTAAGATATATGTAGCCAGATCAATTGTGGTTCTGCCAGGGGCAACCTCAAAGGCGATATTAGATGGTGTGGATTTGGTGAGTAACTCGAAGATGCTAGGCGCTTGCAACTCTGCTCCCTTATCTGCCTGTCTCGCGTATCTATGGTCGTGCAGACCCCATCCCTTTCTCAGTGAGAGACCGGCAGAAGAACCCACCCTATACTCTGTTCCCTGCTGTTCCTTCCAAGAGAAGGTATTCCAACAATTCAATATCTGCCTCTACACCCCTGAGCACCACATAAATAAGTGCTTAAGGCTGGTTTGCGGCTATAGTTGGTTGTCAATTCCGAGCCGCCGAGAATGTCTTTTAAAGCCCGAATAATGATGACCTCTGCATCATGAAGCTGTGCTTTTTCCATCCCGCAGTTTGGTTCGCAGGAGTGATTGATGTATTTCATCAGACAATCCGATTTCATTGCATCAATGTAAAGATCGTTACCGTAATAAGTGATGTATGTTTGCTAAGTAGGCAAGGTGTTAGATAGGAAACCTATCCGTAATATTATTGAATAGGTATATGAATATGTCTTACCGATCTTTTCTGAGCCTCTTCGCCGTTGACGACTTCTCCTGTATAAAGTCCGATAATTGCTTTTTTCGGAATGAAGACTGAAGTGAAAAGTCCTGTACCACAGTTAGATGTGGAGAAAGTTTGGAAGCGAAAGCTTCCTACACGATTCTTGCAAGTACTAAGTTGACATATTTTGCTGTCACAGAGTAATCCTGCCGCCGCATTCACGCATGCTTCATCGCAATCTTGATTGCATCGACACTGTTGCCCAAAGTAAGTTGGTTTTCGATTTCGCTGTTTGCCATTTGACAGTGGTAATTGCGGTGGTAATTGCGGTGACGGTTGTGGTTGTGGTTGTGGTGGTGGTAGGTGTGGTGGTGGTAGGTGTGGTGGTAGGTGTGGTGGTGGTAGGTGTGGTGGTGGTAGGTGTGGTGTTTGTGGTTGTGGTGGTGGTAGGTGTGGTGGTAGGTGTGGTGGTGGTAGGTGTGGTGGTGGTAGGTGTGGTGGTGGTAAGTGTGGTGGTAGGTGTGGTGTTTGTGGTTGTGGTGGTGGTTGAGGTTTCCATGGTGATTGGGGACGGACAGCCAGATATGCAAGTGGTGGAGGGATACTAGCGGTCTGGTTCGTAGTTTGTTGTAGTGAGAGGTGGTTGTGGTGGCAGAAGGTAAGCTCAGCATTCAATCGTTAAGCATCTTTCTTCATCTCGTCCAGCTCCTTCTTCATCTCGTCCAGCTCCTTCTTAACCTCGTTCAGCTCCTTCTTCACCTCGTCCAGCTGTGGTTGCAATCCTTGCACCTTTAGCTGCCTGACGTTCTCTCGCACTTGCCATCTTGCTATGCGCTTTTGGTCCATTTGACTGCAGATGATGTTGGATCATTGAGCTGCTTTGCCCGGTTGCGAGGTGTGTTCCGGTTTAAGAGGGAGGATTCGACGACGAATAACATTGCGGCAAATGCACTTGCAATACTGGACTTGGAGCAAACCTTCGGATTCGATTCCTATTACCTAATGCTCTTGACCCAATGATCGTTAAAGTAGCCAAGCCTTTGTTGGTCAGGTACACCTAAATAGAGGCGGCCGAGCGGACGGATGGAGAGTTTGAGCGTTTTCCGGAGTGGAGATACACCTTGGCAAGGAATTGCGCTGTTCCAGGTTGTCACACCCACGTCGGCCGCCCCCTCACGGCCCCCCCGGAAACACACTAACGATGCAGCAGGCTTTCAGCTAACCTACCGACCCCTGCAGGTGGGGAATTATTCCGCTGTGCCTATGGTGCCCAGAGCCCGACTGAACGGTGGACGCAACATCCATGTCACCTCATTGCACCGCCGCAGAATCGTCCTTCCGCTCGTGTGCCCCAGCTCCATCCCTCCGCCCAAGGCACTCCCTCCGCCCAAGGCACTCCCTCCGCCCAAGGCACTCCCTCCGCCCAAGGCACTCCCTCCGCCCAAGGCACTCCCTCCGCCCAAGGCACTCCCTCCGCCCAAGGCACTCCCTCCGCCCAAGGCACTCCCTCCGCCCAAGGCACTCCCTCCGCCCAAGGCACTCCCTCCGCCACCGTGAGCGGCCGCCAAACGGTGTAGGCACACTTTTCCTTTTTTTGTATCTATCAAACATATAAAGAGGACCGAGTGCTACCTCTTGCCTTTCACCGAAACTATTACAGCCAGTTCGACAGCCTGGTTATCTTCAGAATCATGGCTACGTTGGGATACCGCCTACCCCTTGGTGATCACATTCTCGAAAAGATCTTGGAGTTACCTCTTGATCTGGAAGCAATCAGCAAACTCTTACCAGAAGTTACTGGAACTTCGAGACGTCGACAGTGGACACCAGTGGAGGAGAATTTTCTACTGGAAACTTGGGATAATCAACCCGCATATATAATATCCAAGTTCATACACAAAACCCCACAAGCAGTCAGCAACAAAGCGACCCGTTTTCTTCCTCTCTATGATAGAGCGGTCAAACGAACTAAGCCGATCATACCGCGTACGCGAATCAGCCACAAACTTTGGACAGCAGATGAAGATGTATAAATCAGACTGTTAGCGGGGCACAGACTTTCAGACGCTGAGCTACGGAATATACTAGACGGCAGGACGCCCAAAGCGGTTAGAAACAGGCTTTCTGTTCTGAGAAAAGAGTGGAGGGTGGGACAAGGCAACAGAACGGGAACAGGCAATAAATTGGAAGCCAATGGCGAAGAAGGGCTTAAAGGACGTGGAAGACGCGGAGGACGTGACAGAGGACGCGGAAGACGTGGAGCACAGGCGAGGCATGGGGGTCATAGCAGGGATATTAAAAGCAGCGCTGAATAATAATTCGCCAGTCTGCAGTCAGAGAGCGTAGTAGACGTAGTTTCTTTCCCTGTTAGTAATGTAGAAATGATAAGCATTACATTTCTTCCACTTATGCGTCCTGTGAATTACTCTCTGCCGAGATTTATGGAGCCTAGAGGCCTGATTGCTTATTTCCCCCCTTAAGTACCCTTTCTTCGTTGATGCTAGGGTTTTAAAGGCTTTCGGTGATCGGCCAGGTACCTTAGTACCGTAGGTATGTAGCGTTTGACCCGCGCCACATCCCAGATTGAAAGGCCAATACACCCCCCTCCCCTGAACTCGTTATACAACCCGGCGCGGACTGTTGCTGAGGTCGCCAGGCCGCCTGGACGCCTTGTCGCCTTGTCGCCCGGATGCCTTGTTGCGTTTGCAGGAAAGTTATGGAAAAGATAAAGACCTTACTCCAATGTACTTTTCTAAGTCGTTGAAAAATTCCAATTCATCTTTTACTCCGAATCGACGATGGGCCTTTCAAGGAAGTCGAATGGGGGCTTGAAGGAGCGTAAGAGCACTCTGCTAAGCGCCACTTCTAGCCCTCCCTTTTCGTCCGACCATCATGGCGTTGTGAACACAACTGGAACCTCTTACCTTACCTATCAGCTGCCAGCTATTGAAGAGCAACACCCTAAGCCAGACGATACCCCGGACCACTCTATTCCTGTCGTAACTCCAATCAAGTATCGCGACCGCCACAAGCCAAAGCCCAGCCAACTCAACCCCAAAGACACCGTTCCTACTTCGATCCCCGCCAACTTCCACCTCCCTTCCAACCCCCAACAGAACAAGAAGCCCAATGATTACCCCATCACCTGCGATGAAGATAGCGTGGAGCTCATCAAATGCTTTCTGGTCACACCTATCACACAAAACCATCTGCTTGCCGAACTTCAAGGGATTAACGCTCGCCTTCTTGCATTTGAGTCGAAGTGTATTGAGTTCGAGGCGGACGCAAAGAATCAGAACCTTCAACTGAATAACGAGCAATGGAAGGACTTGGTAGTCCTCCATCGCAACCTACTACACGAGTATCATGATTTCCTCCTAGCTTCACAGCATCCGTCAGCAAGCACTAAACTACGAGAAGTGGCATCAGAATATCTTATCCCTGCCCGTTTATTTAGGTATGGTATCCATGGATTTCTCGAGGTATTGAGAAAATATCTTTCACAGACTCTCCAGCACACACAGTATTTTCTAAACCTCGCTTATTCGCTAATGGGCGTTCTTTACGAAACTATCCCGGCATTTCGGGATACTTAGGTGGAGTGCTTGGGCGATCTTGCACGGTATTGGTGGGCTCTATGCTTGGAAGACGAAGACAGTGATAAGCGGGTCCGGAAGCAATGGCTCTCACACAGCATCTGTTGGTATATCAGGCGTTCTGATACGGTACGTGGAGAGCAGTTTTTTATTTAGCCCTAAGCACCGACTGGGCCCCCATCAACCATCAACACACTAATAAGGTAATAGATCCCAACCTCTGGTCGACTATACCATCATCTTGCCATTCTGTCTCGGCCCAATGTACGCCAACAGTTGTTTTATTTTCTGAAATCCTTATGTGTGCCAACCCCTTTCGAACCCGCACGGGAGAGTATTATGGGCGTGATCAACCCGATCTTGAATCCACACTCTACCGTACCACGCATACTCCGCCCTATCGAACTGTATCAGTGCAAGACCGTGAGCCACATCTTCCTGGGAAGGGAAGATAAGGTGGGCGATGTTCGACAGAGTTTGCACAATCTTGGCATGGACTCATACATTACTATGCTGGGCTCCAAGTGGATGGAAGCAAGGTAAGTCTTCTTAACACCCACCTCCGTTCCATTGAAGCTAACTTAATACCTAGTTACCAACTTGCCATCATACATTGCTGTGTCATGCTTCATGTTAGATACGATGCGCGCTCCTGGGTCTGGGTAGTGAGTGAGGCTGAGGACGCTGTTGCGGGGTTATCTCTTACGGCTATCAAGCTCTTCTGTGAGACTTATAGAGTCGTTTCACTTCGGCCCAGTGATCCCAACGTTCTCGCCTACATTCACTACGCTCTGGTATTTCTGTTTTAGCTGTCCCAGTACGACGACGACACCTTTGAATGCGTCAATGACCTATTTCCTTGGGACAATACCATCCGCTTACTAACCCCGCTTCTCGACACTGCCCAACTTACAGGAGACTGTGCGATTCTGGATGATGACCTGCCGCCAGAGCCCTGTCAACTTCCCGAGGACTATGCCTTGCGAGGCCTTCCGTGGGCGGTTGTTCCTGACTCTCAGCCAGAATTCACAGATCAGTTCGAACGTCATCCTGAAGATTGGCACCTCAGGTACGCCGAGACAAACTCTAACTTTAAGAGGCGGGAACGCAGGATACTTTGGTTAGGAAGAAAGATGTATGAGAAACACCCCACTGGTAGATTGGAGGCTGTTTACGGACCGGCCGCCACTGAACGAAGAGTAAAGGAACAGTGGGCTAGTATCTGGGGGGATACGATTTAGTTCGAAAGCACGGTACACGTCAGAAGGGTACTAGTTGTTTAGGGTTATTAGGCACCGAGCAAGGATTTTAATATTGCGTTTATCTCTGGTGGGTTTGAGAGGGAGCTTTTGTTACCGAGATAAATTGATTTGTTTTAGGGATTAACTATTTCGTATTCTGCTAAGATATGTGCCACTAATACCCACCGCTTGTATGCTATAACTTTGGCTAAGTAAGATAAGAAAAAGTATGTTAGAATGAGCGATAAGCCTGACCTAAAAAGAAGTAACTTACCTGCGTAAAGTTGCACATAGTGCCACTGGCGAGGCAGGCCGGATGGGTTGATGACTGCGTTACTCGTGAAAGATAAGAGCAAACAGGCCGTTGAAGAGGAAGATAGGTAGGCATGCATGAGCTCGGGCCCAGACATTATATCTTATATCTGGAATGTTTGAGGACACATGTGGGCATCCTAACTTAAGGGAAGGCAAAAGGAGGGGCGAGATAACGACATCGTTAGTTACGTATAGGCCAAGATTCAAGGTCTATGTCCAGCTGATGATAGATACATCTAATTAGCCAAACAGATCGCGGATGGACGGAGATCGGGAGGGAGATTATGGACGGAGGGAGGCGCAGACAATACATGGAGGGGGGTGGGTGGACGGAGAGACTTGAAACGGTAGGGGCTAACAGCCCATGGAGGCTTGGCTTGAGCAAGGGTTGGAAACGACTGCACGCACTTTGCCGTTGGTGAATGAGGACGGCACAAAGGACTTTGATAGCGTTACCTTACATTTGATGCGCGGTGGACTAGCCAGCAGAAACAATATGCATACTACCTATCTAACATATTGATTCGTCGAAAGTTGTGCTACCCACCATGCCGCTCACATGAAGCAGATTGAGACATACGTTGGTCTTGGATGCCTCCCAGAGACAAAAAGCTGAGAACCTTTAACCTCGTATCCACGTCACTGTGGGAGAAAGAAGCATCTTCTCCGAGTAAACGACGTTACTCCCGCCCCTTAGCCTGTAACAGAGTCAGATAAACTGCATGGCAATAGTGTGTGTGACTTACAAGACAGCTACCACAAGCATGCCCGTTCATAAACACCCAGTTGATGCAGTTGTAGACGAGAAAATATTTGCATCGGTACTTGTTAAAACCGCCACTCATGATGACGGGTAAGTTAAGGCAAGGTAGGTAACTGAGTGTTGAGTAACACAAGTAGGCAGGTATGATAACCAAGGTAGGTAGGTAGTATTCATGGGATGATGAAGATGCGATGCTAACTTCAGCACCAACAGTCGGTGTGTGGCACTTTTAACCATTAGACTAACCGCGTGCCCAGCATATAGAGTGTCCTTTTGTTATTGTTACCCAGCCAGCTGGATCAGGTCCTTATTACCCATTTTAGAAATATTTAGCGAAAGCAGCTCTTCTTTGCAAGAACTGCATGGTGACGTGGCAAACAGAATTCATAGCGTCGGTCTGGGGACCCCCAACTGGAAAGCAAAAGGGTGTGTGGTCGGGGAGCGGGAGGGGGGGGGAGTAGGGGTGCGCGATAGGCAAGGCACCTTGTATCGGTAGGTACCCCTGCGACGCAGTGCAGGCGGCAGCCACACCCAAAAACAGATGTGCCGGGTTTGGCATTCTGCATAATTATTAGGACTTTACAAACAGCTTACATATTATATGCTCTATTACATGTCTTCGCTAATTACATTATCGAGTATCCCTCCCCTTACCTACCTCATCAGTCTTCGCCGCTAATCTGAACTTGTTCCATCCACTCTTTTCATCTATTCGGAATTCCCTTTCCCTCACATATTCTGACACAAAGCTCTTACCAAACTGTCTTATCTTCAGAGATGTGAGTATCTTGAGTATATACCCTCCAGATGTACGACTTATGCTAAAGATATATCACATAAAAAGAGGCCCTTCGAAACCACAACATGTCCATCACACAGGGACAGCTCGACCGGAATGATAGCCCCGGAACGGGCTCATACAACGCCCACAATCACAACCCCATCACGTCAACCGATCTAAAACCAGACGACACTGCGTTCTGCATTAAGGACGATGATGAAGAGGCTTTTGCAAAAGCAGTCAAGGAGCTCGGATATAGCATACAGTTTGATGATTTGTGCTCTGATGCATGTGGGTGCTCTCCTAGAGACGCACCTCAAGCTGAGCAACTGGAATTATTTCGATCAACTTTGTTAAAGCATGGCGCTTCTCTAGCGTTGGTTTCTTTGTATGAGGGTAATATTGAGGGCTGTGAGATTGTGAAGGGAAAGTAAATAATGCAAGTTTGTTATGTAAAGACAGATGGCAATGTATCTCATGTATGGAAGGTTTTCCATGTCGGGTACCTAGTGAGTTTTGGGCGCCTTCCGTCTTGCAATTCTACCATGGTCATGACGCAAGTACCTGTGGAGGTGGTGCTAATTCCTCCATTGACCATCAATTTCCCTGCATAGATGTCGCACAAGAGGGTGTCTTTATTGCTGCGGGGAATAAGAACCAAGACGGGTATGCGCATTATGCCACCTTATCTTTTCAATGAAATACAAGGATGCCGAGGAGGAATGACTTGGACCCCTTTAAGTTGGAACGATTGATGTAAGACGCTTGCGTCCCAACATAAGCGACGAAACGACTTTGCATTGTCTAGCGTAAGTAAGGCACCTAAGAACCCGTCTATATTCGAAGCACAATCAGAGAATATAAAGGAGGAACACTTCCGGTTTTAGAGACAGAGGAGACTTTTGCCCTTGATTAACGGGGATAATACATTCGTACTTATTTAGAGGTATCTACCTGGCCAACACAACCCCATACGCCAATCTGTTTGCTAGATGGTGATCTGCGCGGTACGGGAAAGGGGGGGAAAGGGGGCTGGGTCTAGAGAGAAAGACATGGGGGGCGGGGTGTGTGCTTTACGTCGGATAGTGGATTTTTATATGTCAGAAGCATGTGACTGATCACACTAGGGAATTCAACACTGCCAAGTATATCGACACTGTTCACTTTGGTAATGATTCCGCTGGTTTTCCTTTATTTGTTCCACCTTTCCCAGGCCATCTCAAGCTGGATATTTGTCTTTGCCTGCCTCCCTTACATCCCGCGAGGTGTTCAACTCCATTACCTTGATTCTTCTTGATCTAGCAGTATTCCCATATTCCGCACCTCCCTCCGGGCATGTCGGCTAAGATCACTGAGCTTAGCAGCCCCTCACGGCTCGAAATACATCACGTCGGATCAGTTTCTTAAGTAAACGAAAAGATAAAATATACGTTCGTCATTGATGCGGCTTTGACTGTATGTGATAGTTAAGGTATCTAACACTTTGAAGATGGCGGTCGGCCAGCGACGGTCCCGGCTATTGCGCCGTCGCTTTAAGCGTATTAGGTCCAAGTCCCACCGAGCTTAACGCGACCTTAAAATCAAGAACCTTCAGCTTGCGTTAACAAGAGTAAAATCGGAAAATGAGGGGCTAATAGAGCAGCTGTATAGATTCTAACATACTGTCTTACAACTTCACAAAGAGATGGCAAAGTTTGGGATCCCCAAGAGCGCGCTATATGAGTTTCACCCTTCAAAATGGTTGGAGGAAGTCTGAGTCTATCTGACAAAAGAATAATAACTGCTGCTTTACTATCTTAAGAGCTTCACCGCAATCCTAGGAACTCCAATTCTGCCCGTGACTGCGTTCCTCAAAACTTCGTCGACTTCATCCTGCGTGATACGAGGCCCGTTGAGTGCCTCAAGGTTCCAACGGTAATCATTGACGGTTATACTCTGAAGCCAGACAGAAAGAGGCGTCCCTCTGTTCGAGCTCGCCTGGACTGCTGCCTCCTTGATACTGAGGACACATATGTGATCGACTTGTCTTTCAACGTCGCGACAGTAATGGCCGTCTTCAATGATTAGACGAACAGTCCGCTTGATGGAGTGTAGAGCAGCATGAATGAAATCATGCCTGCAATATTTGATAGCACCGGATAAACACCCGGGGTGTAAGGAATGCGGAGAGCTTAAGCCCGAGAAAATGGTTGAATCGTTGTCGCAGCCAGGGGAGCTGAGTTGACTTTGGACGGCATCGGCTGACTTGACAAAGAGAGCAAAAAATGCACCTTGGTAGGTGGGTGATGTTGCGGCCAAAACTCGGTCGGCACCCTGTAGGGCGGTGATGGTCCATGAAGTAGAGTCCGCTGATTTGGACGCTATGAGACGAATATCATCTCCCCGACAGAACCTGAGATTGTCTAGTGATGTTGAGTACGTTAGTTTTAGCTGCTTGATATCAAACGTCCCACATACCTATAATCTGTGTGCGAAGATACACAATGTTTTCGGACATTTTAAACTTAGAGGGTTCTCGTGTGAATGAATTATGGATGTCAATGTGAGACCTGATACGGAAGCGGAGATGAGCTGCCTTATATTGGCAATGCTATTTCAAGATGCTTTCCCAAAACACCCACCTATAAACATCTCTGTTGCTTGCTGAGATCAGCGCCCGGTGCCAGCGCCATTACTAGTCTATCTCAGCGGCGTGGATATATCCCATGATCGTGACCGCACCACCAGCGCCGTGCTAAAATTGGCAGAGCTCAAGCTCTCTTTTGCAACCTGCCCCATCCGGCGCCAAAAAATGCGAATAATTAGAGTTGCAGAAAAAGCGTCAATTACTATCTACTTGATTTCTAACTACCTACAAATATCCAGGTGAATTACTTGTGAAAAAGGGTGAGATATCAAATTGTTGTTGAAGTCTGGCTCCGGCTTAACTTCGGCTTCCGGCAAAACCCCGCCTAAACCGGGGAGCCAAAACAACCTCAAAGCTCAACATGCAAGTCGTCCGTTAACCACAGAAGATCCCACAACTGTGAGAATTCGCTTTTCTCGGTTGATTTAGCTATCTCTTCTGCCCTGTATGTTAATCGAAAACAGAAATTTTCAAACTTTGGCGAAAATCCTTGGATGACTCGTTCACCTAGAGCCGACAGCGTGGTTGGTTTGATCCTCTTGAAATCATGTCTATCTCGGGTTAGCTAATTTCCTGCAGCAACTGGAGTCTAGGGAAAGAAGCATACATTATAACGTCAACTTCGCTCGAAAAAAAAAGCAAAGATAGAGGGTGTCCATTGGATAGAATGACCCAGCGTCGAGCAATCCTTCTTTGCGCAACAATCTTACTACGCTTAACCATACTGTTGCATGCTCGCTCACAGATATCAATTGCGACACTGTCGTCGCTACTTCCTCGCTTGCGACGGAACACTCCACTTTGTCTTTCCGTTCGGATCATGGCCTTCACCTGAGCGAAAAGATAGACGAGCCGGAGGTACGTAAGCCGTTGAATCGTGCCGGTTGTGTTGGACAGAACACTTTGAACTGTTCTGAACGCAGCAAAAACACGATCGTCATGGCTTGTAAGATTCGGCGGTAGTATAGTGTGCGATAGAAGTACGATCCAGTTGTCCCAGACTTCTTGGTAGCGTAACCCAAAGAATTCGACGCTGCTGTTTTGAAGTAACTGTCGATACAGGTGGTCCACTTTGGCATTCTCGTCCTCTATAATCGAGTTTAAGGATAAAGAGGGGGGACTTGCCCCTTGCTCCTTGATATCGGCGTTTTGACTCATGATGTTTGTGTGTTTCTAGAAAAAGTCCTGCTAAAAGCGAAGAGTTGGTCCCTACTTATAGAAAAGACTTGTAGACAGTAGCCTTTTTGATTTTAACACATCCGTCGCGGTTCGGGCGCTCAATGTTACAAGTGGTTCCGCGCCATTATAAAAATAGGAGACAATATGGCCTATTTGACCAAGAGGCCGTGAAAATCTCGCGCCTTGCAAGTACAGGTGATCTGATTTGGATGAGCTGTTACAGGCTGCGGTCATCCTGAAACATCTTCGTGTGAGAATTCAGTACATCTAAGTGAGCGATTCATCACTCTCAAACCTAAAAAGTGGTCTCTACCACACTCGCCCTCCAGTCTTCTTTAGGGGCGCAATTTTAGTGCTACATCACATTCTGACTTTCCATGCAAATGTCACCATGGTTTATTTTATGGATATTAGAGCGTAAATACGTTCTATTGAAATGCCAAACTTGAGTTTGCCGAGTAACCAGGGCAAGGTAATCAATACCTAGTGTACACCATCCTCATCCAACGAAAAAGCCTATCCCAATAAACGCCCAGCGCCATACCTAATTACCTCCAACACCATGATCGAAGCATATAAATAAATAATATAAACCCCCTTATCCAACTAAACTGCCCGTCTTTTTGCTGCCCTTTCTTCCACACCCCCGCTGATCTCCACGTATTTACGCTTTTTAGTCGGGCAGTCTGTCTTTGGAACAACCAGTTCTGGTCCAGCTTCCTCAGGTTTTACCCATGTTGTTATTATATCCTCCAGCGGCTGGTCAGCGTAAGGCGAGCGATACCATTCATCCAACAGAGACACGATCTTAGCTTCGTCCATGTTTTTAATGATTGCTAGGAATGTGTGCTTGTACGTTTCTCTTTGTCGCTGGCTGAAATATTTAAAAATGTAGAAAGAGTTAAAAGAATAACTTGTGTGATTCCCCAGTGTAAGGCACCTCATTTACTTGGAGGCCATGACTTGCCTTATATCTCGACTTGTTGGCTAAAAATAAGGCAGGTCAGGTTTTCAACTCTAGCAGAGGCCAGACCTGACGTTTCAGAGAAGACCATTGAAGCCATGTTATCCGTCAAGGTCAGCCCGTGGTCTACAAGACCAGCGCGATTAGACCGGGCAGAGGTCAACTTTTGCAGATGGTTCTTTTACATGCAACATCCTTCTCTGAGTCTTGGCGCCAAGGCCACACATGCACGGGACGTCTTGGCGCGCCAAGAAACGTAAGACTCCTGGCAGGAGTCTTACGTTTCTTGGCTCTAATATGGGTCTCATCTAATGTAAGGCGCCAGCCGCGTCTTTGTTTACAACTGTTTTTTTGTCTGCACCGGCGCATAGAGAATCGAGACAATGGAGCTCTTCACAGCAAAGCTGGATGAGATTTCCGTTAGGATTCAATCATTACCTCAGCATATCAAATCCACCAGGCGCCATGCTTATAATTCAACACCAGACTGGGCTGCGCTATTGGCCACTTTGCAGGAACTGAGACTGCTCGTTGGGAGGCTGGAGTCGGCTTTCTACCCCTCCCCAGGAGAAGGTCGAGAGGGAAAGCAACCGAGGAAGTCGATAGTTCATACGTGAGTTCATCTCCAAAATATAGGGCGCATAAGCTGATCACCACATGTAGCGCTTCATTACGGCCAATGCACACCCTTCCCTCTGGCATACCAGCGTCCCCGCTCGCATCGTCGACGCCAGCCCGAGACTCTGTGGGGTCCGAAAGTTCGTCCAGCCCCACTATCTCCTCGGCATCGAGTATCAGCACAAACACCAGCTCGGCCGAGTTAGTACCTAGTAGATTTGTATCTCGCCCTATAGACTCGCCAGTCCCAGCAGCCACCTTTCGCTTTGTTAGTGACAGAGGAAACAGTGTGCCCAATCCTCCCGACAGCATGCTGCACCTATCAGATCTCGGAGACAGTCTGCTCAACACTCTTGGTAGTATCATATCTCAAAATAAACACACCGCCAAGGTCTCCCTGGATGACATCGACTTCAACAACATGGCACTTGGCAAAAACGTGATACCCCTCGCAAAGGATCAGCAATTCGCCGTTAGATATCAAAACAGCGACCACCCCTCCTGCTCACAACTCCACCTCGATCCTTGCAACAAGCTGCGTCTTCCCGTGTTGAAGAGAGACGCGTGCATCCCTCCTGACGAGAGATTTGATTCGTGGTTTCGGACACTCCTGAGTAACCCGCCGACTAAACGGGTTGCATACTACGTTGGTCCTCTTGAGGGAACATTTGCTGAGCATCTCCAGGATCTTTTTCCGTCTGGGAACCGCGTGTCTGAATTAATCACCGAATCATCGAGCACAGAAGGCCACTTTCCAGGGGTTTCGTCCCTGTACGGCCACATCGGGGAGGCAATGTCTGGCACCGCTTTTCATTGTGAGGACGCCAACTTACGATCCTACAACTTGACCCTTATTGGGTGGAAAACGTGGATCTTAATCGAACCTTCTCATACTCTTGCGTTTAAGCAACTTATCCGACGGCTGCACCCCCATCCCAGTCAATGCGACCAGTTCGTTCGACACAGCGCTCTTTTGATACATCCAGATAAACTAAGGTCGGAAAAGATAGCCTTCAGCGTTGTGCATTCGGGCCCTGGAGATCTGGTTCTGACACGGCCGCGCCAGTATCATGCAGTCATAAACAGAACCGCCTCCTTTGCGATAGCCACCAATTTCGTGCTGGGTGACGAAGATCCCATACCTGAGCGCCTCTTGGTATGTACGGAGGACGCTTTCTTTCACGTCAAGGACCACAGAATACGCAGGCTAGGGTCCCGCAATGCATTTGAGGAACAGAACAAAGCCACTATAGTGTCGGTGAAACGTCATACGCATACGATACCAGAGAAACGGCTCTTCAAAGATATCTCTGCGGAGTCCTCGGATATTTTTCCAGTCATCGCAACTTTAACGTCTTGGATGCAAACCACCGGCCCGATTCTTCGCCTAGTCTCTCTCGTCGGTATTTGGCGTTGTAACGACTCTCTCCGCAAGTCCCTATTACAGATTCAGTCTCAGCACGGAAATGAACTGCTTGAAGCTCTATCCGGCCTCAGTAGTCAAACATCTCGATACTCACATTTCCACTCGTTCTTGGAGACCCTTGTCAATATACGCTTTGTACGGTCGCTCCAATCGCCAGGCAAGAAACGGATTCCTCGCAAATCCGTCGAAAGGGTTCTACGCGCGCGCAAGTTAGATCTGACGCCGGAGACTCGAAAATCCTTCCAGAACGAGCTCTCGCACTACCGTTCCTGGGCGGATTTCTGCGGTGAAGCACCGGACTACACCTATGATGGCATTCTCTGCCTTCTTCCTCTAGGGTTTTCAGATCAAGTGGAAGTTAGGAGGAATGATATACGCGACCTTACCAAGGCGGCGTATCAATCTTTTCACCTTAACCTTAATACTCTACCATATTTTTCGGGCTTGTGCCAAATCGGTCAAAGGTTTCAAAATGCAATTTTTGGTCTAACAGATCTTAAAGAGCAGCCCTTCGAACAAGTACAGGAAGAAGACTTGATGAGGTTACCCTTAGAAGATCTACTTGCACTCTTGGGATTGCCTCAGAACTAGCAACCAGTATATGTTGAGGGGCCAATGGGTGCGTGCGAGAGGCTACCTCCCCGCGTTTGTACTGTCATTTTTCAAAGCTTTGAGGGACCCATGGTCTCAACGTCGGCTCAGGTCACGGCCTGTAGCTTTTGGTGAAGAGTGGCGATGGCGGCGCTGGAGGCACGGGTTTGGTTCCATGATAGCCGTCTCATGATGAATTAACGGAGACACTTCTGAAATTGACTTTGCCCTTCTGAAACAATTTGAACGGCATTTGACGGGTACCTAGATAGTCAAAAATACTATAAATCTCAAGTGCCCCGACAACACTTTCATTTAGCTGTCTATCTTTCCAAACTACTAGCTTTTTTGCATGGGGTGGGTCAAAATGAACCGACCTAGTTGTCCGAAAGTATCGATTAGATCTCCGTTCGGCTCCTCTGAAGATTGGAAATGCAAACGATACATATTCTTTGATTAAATCTTCAAAACTCGCGATTTTCTCAATCATTTAGAGGTCAAAAACATACAGGCTGATTTTTTCGGGACAAGTCTAGACGAGCTGGTTGCCCAGCCGGCAACTCACGGTTTCCATTATATCGTTTTCATATCTCACGGTATGGGGAAAGACGCATCGAGGCCTGAAGAAAGAGCGAAGACGATCTTATCGTATTTGCTACATCACAAATATCATAAAGAAACTTGCGAAGCCAAAATCACAACAGGCTCGGGCGCAACCATTACTCTCAACATATGGCAGTGGGTTCATCAAGTATCGTATATGGAGGTTGGGGACTTTGAGCGCCGCTTTCCCATAATAGAGGGGCAACCTAGTCGATGTAGCTACATTGTTAGTGCGAGACACCGTATCGAGGATCGGGTAATTGAGGTACTTGAGAAACGGAGATTCAGGCAGCTTTCCGCAACGAATTCCGTAACGAATTTCAAGTTTCATTAATTTAGCAGCATCATTATATACCCTTATCCTTGGGGTATGTTCGCCAATTTTTGGGGACACGTAACGAGCCTCGAAAGTGTTTCTCCCCCCAAAAGGAAGCGAGAGGCTAAAAGTTACGAAGAACATGCAAGCAAACGAAGGAAAGTACCTAGACAGGGCCCCGATTCTTCCGAGCATTCTTCTACCTTATCTGTGAAGCGAGAGGCTGAAAGTCACGAAGCCCCTTCAATCAAACGAAGGAAAGCACCTGGACAGGGCCCCGATTCTTCCGAGCATTCTTCTACCTCATCTGTGAAGCGAGAGACTGAAAGTCACGAAGTCCCTTCAATCAAACGAAGGAAAGCACCTGGACAGAGCCCCGATTCTTCCGAGCATTCTTCTACCTCATCTGTGAAGCGAGAGGCTGAAAGTCACGAAGTCCCTTCCAGCCAAAGAAGAAAAGAGGCAGGGCCTAGCCCCGAGGCTCCCGATAAAAAGAGGAAGCGAGAGGGTGAAAGCCAGTAGTGTCCTTTGATCAAAAGAAGGAAGGAAGCTGAGCCCGTACACGAACCTGCCATTAATTTTACGAGCTTAATATTGGAGCAACTACTGGCAAATAAGAAGCCGACATAAAACGCCTTTACTCTCGTACAATTTAACTCCGCTGGTCCGGAGGGTAGCGCACTCGAGGGAATTTCGACGACATAAGGTAGGTAGGTAGGTAGGTATGTTTCTTTGATGATTTGGTTTTGGGTGGTATGTTTTTTTGATAATTTTGGGTAATAGATTCGGTGTTAAACTATCTCCACAATATGCTCCTCTACTAGATAATTATCTTTATGTTCTCGACGTGATAAAACTGTAGAACATGTAGCCTCAGCTCCCTGTTTGTTTTTATAATCGCTCTCATCTAAAATTCTCTCCCTCCTAACATACAAAAATAGCCGCTTCTTCATTCCCACAATGGCTAGCCAGAGGAGAGTCTGAAGGATGGTTAGAGCAAGACTGGTCATTTCAGCGAGATACAAGCCTTGCCAGTTGGTAGACATTCCAACGACGATAATGAGTATGGAAAAAGCTAAAAAAATAGCGAGCCATGCAAGCCTCCAAGAGATCGATTCCGACTTGATGCCGAGATTCTGGGTAAGTCGCTGTTTCCTCCAGATTATGAACAGCCAGAATACCAGTACTCCGGTATACGTGTGTAGCAACAGGAGAGATGATAGAAGAATACGCGGGATTATCTTAACGTTCCAACATCCTATAATAATAAGGGCGACGTTGAGAAGTATTGGGCTCGCGAGAAGACACCACCGTAAAACGATATCATGTTTGTCATATATTAGAGACAGACAGAGCGGATATATCACGTATATAGTCTATTGAAGTCAGCTAAAGGGTCTTCGGCGATCAAGGTCCGTGGGGATAACTGACATAAACGACATGCAGCGAAGTGTAACATACAACTATGACTAAAACAATTATATTCGTAATGAACAAATCGATGGCCAGGAACACGACGACAAGCAGTAGTGATATGGCGGAAGAGCAAAACTGCACCATGGACTGTTTCCAATGTTTCTCCTGCTTAGTGCCGATAAAAAAAGACACAAGAGGCTGCCGTGCGATGATCAGAATGATGATATGGATGGGAAGAGAGATTGCAGCAGCCACAATCATTTTAGAGGTGCCTTGCATTTTGTGAGTTTGGAATCGGACAAATACTAGATACCTCTTACCTTAACTGTTATTGAAGGTAGCCACTTTTTAATGTAGGCGTGCTAGCTTTCAGGCCATGGCTACTGATGTCAACACGGAGCGTGCTTGACTTCTACACGATGGAACGAGATGCGGAGTTTATTTCGGACCAACTCCTCCACCACCGCCGCTGCGGCGCAGGATCACTATCACACCCGTGACCTACCAAGCCAAGCTTGCGACGAGGGCAGGGCATGAATAGTGTGTTGTGATGGATGATACCCTACAGTGTTGAGGCATAGTGTTGGGGCGATCTTTAAACACAGTGGAAGAAGTGCGACTGTTCGGTGGCACCTCGGTAACCGTACCCAGGCTAATACGTGCTGGGTAAGGGCGGGGTCTGGGTTGGTACGTACCACTTTGGAGTGGGAGGTTTCCTTCCCTCATCTTAGTGAGGGCTGATTCTACAGCGTAGTGCCATACAATTCAGTCTGGCGTCTCTCGCAAGCTCAGCTTTGAACTCACGCCTCAACAAGTATGCCTCACAGCGGCCGCCAGCAGCATATATAAGCGGCACCTCCTAACCTTACCTTAGTCAAAAACACTTTGTCCATATGTTTGACACAAATCATTGCCTGCTATCTCTTTTACTGCTATGATGAGCATCGAGACACTCGATTTTACTAGCCAGGCGACTGATCTTATGTTAGAAGTTAGCCCCAAACCAATTCTTCTGAGAGTACAGGCAGAGCTTCTTAAGAAACACTCGCCGGTCTTCAAAAAAATGTTTCTTCCAGATCAAATAGATTCTATCACATTTAATGGATCGGGTACACGACATATCTCGCTTCCGGAAGATAACCCTGCTCTATTCCGAGCCTTATTCTACGCTATCCACGGCCAGTTCGCCAATATAACTGCCCTTTTTACTGTTCTTAACTTCGCGATAATTCTACAAACCATCGCATTGGTAAGCAAGTATGGAATGGTCCCAGTATTTAACCTATAGATAGGCAGTCTGGTTCTACGAATCCGAAGAAGCTTGTAGCTATTAGATAGTAGCGAACTTGTGAGTTGCGCCCTGATTCTCAGATTTATCGGGGACATTGAAAATCTATTTCTCGCCATCTACATTCTTGCCCATTTTGCTAGTCGGGAGGATGAAGAAGGTAGGATGATTCTTGATTCTATACAGTAGCCTTGGTCAGCAGAGCAGTGTTAGACGCCTGCGACAGGATATCTCTAAGGGATTCCAATTGATGCAGGCTTAGACCTGATAGGTAAGATAGAATCAGAACCTATTCTTACCCTTAACTAACATTGAGTAATGGAACTAGATGCTATTGAAAGTGTACGGGAAGGCTTATATCGCAACATAGCTATGATCGTTCAGAAGAAGTTTCGAGAGTTGAATGACGCTTCCTAATGCCGATGCTATAAGAAAAGTATGAGGGCTATTTAACAGTTCCTTTCTCTTTCGTAAAATTAAGAAGAGTAGATCTTTCTCGACCTGGTAGGATCTGAGGTTGTTGAAGTTCAGACCCTTGCATCCTTTCGGCGCACATCAATCGCAAATCTAATCACTCTGGTCAATACTACGATGAAGGTAGGAATCCAGCCGTACTCTACCGGGAGTAAGTCTTGTTTCACGTGGGAGCCGCGCTGGATAAACCATTATAAGTTCGACGTCGCTTCAATTCCTTACATTATCTGTAAGGCGGATTATTTTAGCAGCATAGCTAATCGGCAAATATTAATTCGAAGACATGATCTAGGGCTTAATTTAAGTTTGCACCGGTTATCGGTCATCGATACGGTATTGAGCTTAGGTTATTACGCGCAACTACGTCCTCAATCACAACCTCTGCTTTTAACTGCTGGATCGTCACGGCGCTGGAGGATAACCAGAATATCTAATTTCGTTTTTTGTTTTGAAGGTGCATTTTACTTGGAGCAGCAACTCTACGCCGATTCTCTATACATCCACTGCCGAGCTCAGTTTCCGCTGCCACCCGGGGCAAAATACTTTTTGGATATTGTTGGACATGATATTGATGGAATTTACTATACCGGTAGGATCATTCATCGACTAACATACGTTTCGCGTCGTGCTGACCCATCTTTGCTTAGATGAAGAGCCTTGCTGCGCGGTGATTGTACGGACTTATGGTCCGGACTATACGGTATATGAGTTTCAGTCTGCACAAGAGTAGAAGGACTTCTTAGTATTAATGAGCGTAGTTAATAGTAAGAAGGTCTCAGTAGTGAGGAGGTAAGTACATCATTTTCTCTGTAACAAAAGCAAGCATCTAACCATATAATAGGCAAATCTTGACTGGTTTGGTGAGTTCGTTGGGGGGAGCGATGAAGTGGCAAGCGGGTGAGGTGTAGAATATCTTCTCGAGGAGTTCTTGATGCTTAAGGCAGGATAAGATGTTGATAGTATGATAAGATATACGCTGGCGGAGGAAAATGTGGCAACTCAGATCTCTCGTCCTCCACGTGCTGAACCCGATCGTGTGTAACTATAACCTGACAGAGTGCTTCGTGATCCACATCTACCCCTATAGCCTTGTTCCATTCTGATAGCAGCATCGAGCTGGATGCTAGAAGTTCGCCAGGCAGGCCAGTGAGGTAGATGACCTATGTGCGTGTCAGCACGCGATGTTAAGAATTTGGGATAAACGCACAAGCAGAAACTTATCATCGTCAGAACACAGCAACCCTGCACAGCAGCTCATCGAACAGAGTGATATGATAATGTAGGCTAGAAGCTTTCGTCTCTGAGATCGTGATACAAGTAGTAGTCGTGTCAGAAGAAGAAGGTACTCCGTTGCAGTCCAGGCATGTATTGAACACGCAATGACAAGAATGCTAACTCTGCCGACATTGGCAATGTGGTGGGCGCTTGCCATGATCCCCCCAAGCAAGAGGGCACTGCCGGCGGCCGCTGAGAGAAGTTTACGTCGACCACGGGGCTCAGTCCAAGATACACAGATCATGTGTATGATACGCTGTTTTATGTTATTGAGTGGACCGATTTTGGGGGCGACAGCCTACTTCTGAAAGTGTGCGGTAGATTCCAAGCGCATAGATGCAAGTTTCAAGCCGTTGGACAAGCAAAGGCGGTATAATAGCCACAACTGACAACTGGGCAATCCAAAGGCAGTCGAATGCCAAAGCTTGCGAGGTGAAAAGGCCTTTGTGCTGATACTGTTGCCCATGCGACCTCTTCCGGGTAGCGAAAATGCCGTTGGAGAGGGCATACCGTCTCACGAGGAGCCCTCCGAGGCTGAGAGCGGCCATTGTCCATACGATGACAACGAATGAAACTGCGGCCGCTGAGTGCGCCATGGGAAAGACCTGGAAATTCGGAGAAGCCCGTTGGAACTGCACAATTTAGTCTGAACGAGCGCAGGCCAACGGTGTTTTGTAGACCCCAGCCCCATTCTAAAACTCATGCCTTCACAAGCAAGGCATCCGCGCCGCCAGTACCGCCAACGAGCTGCCTCCAGGTAAAAATAGTTCAGTTCTTATGATGGCTATAAGTATCTAAGGTATGTCGTGAGGTGATGGGTGACTTCTTACAGCCGTGTCATCGCTCACCTACTAGCTCACATCCATCAAACACCCAGACTTGATACAAATGGCAAGAAGCAAGACACAGGGTCGAAGTCGTCCCCGGCGCAAAACGTATAAAACAAAGAATGTCCTATCCAGGAAGGTCTGGGAACGTTATCAAAACTACAAATCTTTCTTCTGTAAGTCAATACTATCCTGTACATATGGGAAGCTTAATCTAATCCACAACAGTTAACGAAACCAGATTCCGTGTCGGTGATACTATCTCCGTTGCCAACCGTGATACGGTGAGGTGGCAGCAGGACACGGGAGATAGTAAAGCAGATGCAGATTGTCAGCCTAAATGGGCCGCACGCATCACATCTATCAGGGCTAAGGATCCTGCAAACGTCTATGCACTAGTTCAGTGGTTCTATTACCCCCGTGATCTTCCCGAGAAGGCGCAGACAAATACCGTTTTTGGTGAACAAAAGCTCATCTTATCAAATCACAGTAGGTAGCTAGACCGCAGCTAGTAGAAAGCTTATGATACTAATCACTTTAGGTACCTAGCCGATCTTATCCGAGCGCAGAGTATCATAGACATTTTGGAAGTTAGAGACCTCCGCGATGTTGACGATGCACCACGACATGGTATGTACTGGAGGCGGTTCTGGGACGTTCATACTCGAGACTTCTCCAACAACGTAAATATCATTGGTCTGTAGGATAAAATCCCTAGGTAGTTTGTTGCGCAGTAAACGGGGTCGGTTTTTTCTATCCTACACCAATGACATTATGTGCTGGGTTTAACTCTTGTCCAATCGCGTGTTATATACAGATGCTTATCAACAAGATTAAATGTGGGGTAAGAATTCTGTGCCGCAGCTAAATCCATAGGTTTGATGAACACTAGGAAAGTTCGGGTCCCATTACCGAATATGACTCTACTCCAGTATCGCTACTTTGGTGTACAATATTTATAGTGTTATTAGGTATTCTTGAAACAGAAAGAAAAATACTCTTTACTTTAATCATATAATTTAGGAAATTCAGTTCGATATATAGCTGGACAAAAACCCCTACAATATTTCAACATAGGCACATCCTGAATCTTCTGAATTGCTGTTCTAGAAAACAATTAACAAATCACAGTAACCCATGTGAACTAATCTGGATCTCCCGCATTTGCCCCACAAAACCGATCCTTCGCTCCTCAGCTCCGCGCTTACCCATCAGCCTTACTATTCAGTCATACATAAATAACGTTCGATACCGAATTATTGATTGTTGCCGGTAAGCTAAGTTACTGTAGAGCCGCGGTATTACGCTGTAATACTATATAGCTGTAAGATGCGTTTGGTCATAAGAAGTCAAGATCCTTAGAATATTTATCCTATTTAAATAAAACTTGTAGCTACTTTGGATCGATGAGGGTAAAGCGGTACAACAATAGCATTCTGGTATATTTGTCTTTCTAATCGATAACTTCGAATCCCATCTAAATCTGTCTAAAACCCGTCTATTATATATCTACCTATCTCCTGTGTCGTTTTTGTCCTAGTAGTTGTGCGAAGGCGTGTATACGACTCCGTAATGATTACTTAGTTTGTATGAAAGTCTTTGTCGTCCTCTCCTTCACTAACGCCCCCAACTGTATGTGGAGTATAGATTAGCGGCAAGGGATATGATGTCGACTGAGAACCTAATTAGGAATGTGGTACGGAAAGTAGGTAGATAGATACTTATAATGTTCTTTTGGGTTGGTGGCTATTCTCCGTCCATTGTATTGGAAGAGTAAATGTAAAAGCGGTGGTTCTTTCGGATGATTAAGTAGACCTGGGCGTCACAGAGCTTATGGAATTCGTTAACCTTCTTAATAAGTGTCTATCTCCTTTTCCTGGTACGTGCCAGTCGTCGTTGGTGTTCTTTACGTTTATCTATGCTGAGGGTAGATTTACATGATTCAGATTATGTTACTCCCCGCCTTGCTTTGCGGTTAATATATGTGGAAACAGCTTTAAGTTGTGATCCAAATATAGGAGAAAGTCCTGACACAGTAGCTTTTTTGAAATGATATCGAGGTAGGATTGGAGATGGCGCTGGCAATGGCGCTGGCGATAGCGATGGCGCTGGCAATGGCGCTGGCAATGGCGCTGGCGATAGCGATGGCGCTGGCAATGGCGCTGGCAATGGCGCTGTGTCTCATATTGGCGATGTGTGTGGAGCTGGTCACCGATCGTCACCTTTTCTCACCGAAGTACCTATACCTAAGATGGAACTTGACCCCTACCTCTCGTCCAGAAATAGGACCCTTTAACTTGTTTTCTCCCATATCCTAGGTCACATAATTAAGTTTTACATATAGGAGAGCATCTTGCTTCGATGGACTTAACTAATCAGAATAAGTTCCAAACGGTCGGGTATATGTGATAGGCTTATAAACAACGAAGGGAAATAACACTTTTTACCAACCTACTTTTAGTTATCCCCGCAATAGTTATGAATTTTCAGACCGATATTTCGTCCTGCTTCTGGCCAGTCCCTGTAACAGGCCCGGGGTCGACAGTCAGTCCAGAGTATTGTCTACATGAAGCTCTTTTCTCACAATACTTCAAACCGACTAGCCATGACAACACATACTACAGCCCGGTCGGCTGGCTACCACCTCCCCGAAGTACGCTATTAGCCTATCCTCAAGGGGCACCTTTCTATAACCCGACTATAGATGCACCTAACTACCACAACCAAAACTCCCAGAAACAAGAGTGTAGCCAACCACCGCAATCTCACACACTGTGGGAAAGGCCACCGCCTCGCCGGAGACGTATAACCCGTTCCTCATTACACGTTTGCAAACTATACAATAAATATTTCACACGGAAATACAATTTATCTGCTCACATGGAAACACATAATAAAGATCGAGAGCACCCCTTTCCCTGTATGGGGTGTACGAAAAGATTTGTTCGTAAGACGGATTGCGAACGCCATTATAAAAGTGTTTATCTAAAGGAAAGGCCTTACTTCTGTGGGTATTGCAAGCAAGGATTTACCCGCAAAGACATCCTCTCCAGGTCAGTAGAAATACCGAATTAAATTCTTTTCTATTTTCTAATAGTTAGTATTTTAGATATATGGTAGTTGTATGCCCGAATATCGAAAGACAATAGGCGCCTGAGGAAGAGGATAGGACATATATGAAAAGTTTAAACTAGTTTGTTTAGGCCGGAAGCGATAGGGTTTTATAGTTTGGGAAATTGTATTATATTGATCGACTTTGGTTTTGGGTGTGCCTGATGCTTTGGCCGACCTGCTAGGTACGGCCAGGGATTTGGTATGGAGTTTGGAGTTGGGTCAGTACTGCATATAATAAATCTTTATAAAGTCCCTCCTCTCCCCTGATATGAAATGCTTCTCTTCGTTACTTCCCTTACCTTTATCTGGCTGTTACGATGCCTGTGGCTCGTAGCTTAACTGAAAAAGCCGCCAAACGAATCGCGAGACAAGTTTAACGCTTTGCCTTTCAGAATCCCAACACATTTACCTCCGATGATGTGAAAATCGCGGTAGCGATCCAAGGCGAGAATATCAAGGGTCGGGATACTCCTCGAGATGATGAATCGGAACTTACGGAAAAGAATCTTGCTTGGGCCAAGGAGAAGACCAGAGTCAAGGATATGCAACGTTTGAAGGACTACTATATGGCAAATCAAGACAACAACACGACTCAGACCGAATTACACAGTCCCTATTCACCCGTTGTCCTCAAGGATACTAACTCAAGACAAACACGAGCAAAGACTGCAGCTGGACTGCAAAATACAACGCCTCGAGTCAAGGAATCCTCTGTCACCCCTGTCAACGGACCCGTGGATATAAACGGTAAAGTATTAAAGAATATTGTAGAATAGGGAAAGTCGGGGAACTTAAAGGGATAGACTACTGTAGCTGGACTACAGAGAAAGGAGTCTTTACAAGGTCCAAGTGCTATGCAACAGTAAAATGAAATTTTGAAAAAGGCACAAACGTCAGAAGTTACGCTGGCGCCTTCGAAGCCGAAGCTAAAGCAAGGCTAAAGCTAGACGACAAATCAACCGTAAAGAAAGCTAACATTAAACGGTCAGAGTGGCGGCCCACAGGCACAAATCACTCCACAAGGCACCGGCATACAAAAGAAGGCAACTTCGGATGGAAACAGGTTAGACTCACAGCGAGTATTAGTTGCTAGCCTGCTAAAATTACAAATCCCACAGGCACCGGAGCTGGGAAAGGAAATTACATCTGCTCAATAGAAGAAAGCGGCTGAGCCACAAAAAAAGGGCACGACATCTCAGAAGTTAGCTGAGCCTCAGACTGCACCTACTCAGTAGAGGAAGATGACAGAGCCAGCGATAAAGGGAACGACGTCGATTCCCGAGAAGTTGGCTGAGCCACAGAGAAAGGGAACGACGTCAACTTCCCAGAGGAAGGAGGCTGAGCCAGTGAGAAAGGGAACGACGCTAATTACTTAAATGGCCGGGCCACAGAGAAGGGGAACCTCTGGGCAACCTCCTACGTTTAATATACAAAGAAAAAACTCTTCACAGTTGCCCATGGCCGAAAGAAATCAGAAACACCCGCCACAGTATAATTATTCAGTAGGCTTGCGGGTTTTTCCTGTAGCCCCGGATCAAAAGTCTTCGCAAGGGTAGGCTACTGCATCACACAAGCCTGCTACCCCCACAGCACACAGCTTGGGACAGTATCACAAAAAACAGGGTACTTCACAAATACCCGGATAGCCTTCAGCGGGGTAAGAATAATCCGAATCTCAAAAGAACTATGCAATAAGAGTAACTCCATATAGTATAGAAACAGAGATATTCCCTAACAGCCTGACAGGTTCCAAGCGCAAGGCCTCCGGCCCTCTTCTAACGACCGGCACAAAGCGTTTCCGCCCAGACACCGTAAGAGCGAATGTACAAATTAACGGGAATGAAGAGCTTGCCACAAAGCCATTATCTCACAGGGATTCAGATACACGCCAATCAGTTCAAATAAATGACGCCCCGCAAGGGGTATTAGAAACACAGTCGAAGGAACCATTCGACGAAGACACCATTATGGCTGAGTCGCTAGTTGAAATCTCATTTACCAGCAACCGAAATAGAAAGAGGTAAAAGAAGTTAGTGGATAGCGAAAAAAGTATCAATAATAAAAATAATAGGAAGCGAAAACGACAAAACTCGCACTCTTCTGGCGACGAGGTAAATATCAGGCCCTTTGCTCAAACATATCAGTCCAATCAGCACCAGAGTCATGAGGCTTCTTCTCAACCAATGCAACACAAAAAGTTCACCCTTCAACCTAGTGTATCTCCGGAAAACAACATATCAACGGACCAAACGTTAATAAATTCGAATAAAGCAGCCGAAGTTCACATACCGCAAAAGCCGAATATTATATTCGAATCGATATACAAGAACTTTCAGAATTAACGTCCTAAACCGCAGGAAAATCCTATATCCCAAGAGAAAAACTCACCAACTAGTCAGCCTGCGCAGCTATCGGGACAGGAGCCCGCTCGAGTGAACAGCCCAAAAAGCCTACAAGGCGAAGCACAAGCATCGCATATGGGTGAGCAGCCCAGATCCCGGGATACATTAACACCAGAAGAATATTCACATACATGTCATCAATGTAAAAAGATGTTTGATAAAGAGAGGCAGCTGTTTTCCGGACAATCACTACCGTCCGTGACTCCAAATGTGAGCCACATACACCCGCATTTCTCAACCACGAAGCAAGAGGTTAACGAAACTTGGCCACCGCATATCCGACGATCGACCAGCACGTGTACTTTGGATGGGAGGCCGGTATTGCCGCAACAATACCAAAGCCAGTTATTCACGCAACGGAATTCGGGCATAGAGAACGAGGCTTGGCCACCACAAGGTGCTCGATCGGCTAGTATATCCACACCGCCACAATACTAAAGCCAGCCATTTACGCAACTTAATTCGGGAACGCATTATTCACCTCCAGACAGTCGATACCACTATGCGAGAGGAATTAGTCCTTATGCGGACGAGCGGGAATTATTTTAACAATTCTAAGACTGGTGTGTTCGCCAGCATGTGAACGCGCCCAATCGTTTAGCTTCTCGACAACCTACAGAAATTCCCCTCTTTAACTCTAACAGTTTACTACCAAAATCAAATTCGAAAGATAACTTCACCTATCTATCTTCGTCTTTGAAAATAGAGCTTGCGCTAAACAGAAGACTCGCCAAGATACAATCGGGAAAGCCTGCAGGACAGCCGCCCACCTATTTAACATTTGATATTCAGAATGGAAACTAATATTATAGATGTAAGGGTAAAGTTATTGGTCTCGATAGACTTCTCGGTACGCAGTATCTCTATGTCGTTAGAATAATGCCAAACGGTGTCCCGCAAGGACATCTCCTTAAGGCCAACCAATTTCCCGAAATACAAACATAGCTGGCACCCTACAACAACGCCATTACGAAAACGGAAGTTGTTAATTTGAAGCCGAAAGATGTAACGGTGTTGAGTTTTGCTATTATCACATCGAGTGGCACTCGTAGAACACCAGTGGTTAAAATCGAGCTATTCAATCATCGAACCAATAGCATCCAGCTTTGCTCAAGAACTTTATTAGTAAATACTCTTTCCACGGCAACCGTCACAGCGACATTAAGGGAGATCTCAAAAACGACCTCGCAAGATGTATCCTTTTTGGATAAATAGACTGCGAAATGTTTTGGGAAGGGACATAATGAATTTAAAGACTGGGCTTGAAAGTATTGGTTCTTTGAAGGATGTAATATTTTTTTAAAGTAGATTGAATTTTAAGAAGAATCCACCCTATAGAATTAGCTACAAAATACTCCATCTTATCCATTGCTAGAATAATGCTGAAAAAGTGAGTAATAGCCACCTTTCCTAGCAATAAGATCTTGATGTGTTCCCTCTTCGCAGACTTGACCATTGTTTGATAAAAATAATATGTTGTGGGCGTGCATGACCGAGGATAATCGGTGCCTAGAAGCAATGAGTGATTAGTACCTAGGTGAATGACCTCCAAAAAGATAGGTACATACGCAATAAGAATTGTTGTCTTTCCTTGGAACCACTCTCTCAGGTTTATGTTTACTTGAGTCTCAGTATCGGCATCGATTGCACTGGTTCCCTCGTCTACAACAACAATATCGGGGTTTTGGATAAATAAGCGAGCTAGCCCAAATCTTTGTCTTTCCCCGCCCGACCATCCACTACTGTGCACTCGATTAATATTGTCCCAGGTCACAAATGTTATTCAAACTTACCCTCCACGGCTAAGTACCTTATGGTATCCGTTCTCGCGACTCATGATACAATCGTGGATGTTCGCCTTCTTGCAAGCCTCGCGGACCTCTTCGAAGCACAGGATACTTACCACGCACCCATATAGAAATTTCTCGGGCGGCGAGAGGCAGCGGATCCTCCTGTCCCTTCCCCTGACCAACTTCCATACTTTATGCATAAGCTGACTTTTCTGGTATGTCAGTCATCGGCTATCCTCCATCAGGCATGTCGAACAGATTTTTGTACTGGGTACAAACGGCAAAATCACGGAGCGCGGCACTCATAGCACAGGAGAGGTTCTAGTCATGCGTAGAAAACAACATCGTACTGTTAAAATCTGTAGATTTTTGAGTAGAAAGAGAAAGTTTGGAAGAAGAAGACTACAAAGCCAAGTTCACAAATTGTTACTGTACCTAAGCACGCTTTAATCGTAGTGTACCGAGTCACGAATGTATGATCATCGCGGCAGCCCTGCGCTCATCAACTTGCGAGGGACAAGCGCCTCTTCCGGCCCCATATCGGCTTCCGTCAAAGAGCCGTGATCCCCAGCCCGGGACAAACACACGCAAAATTGCGCTGAGATGTCGGCCGAACAGTGAGCATCAAGGTATGGATCTTAAGCACAGACAAAAAGGAAGAAATGCAAGGGTGAAAAAGTGGGATAGAATAGTAGGGTAGGTAGGATGATGGCTCATGATCCCAAAAAAGCTACATGGTTAGGCATGGAAGCCCTTCCCCGCATTGGACAGGATATCAATGAAGATTGATGACATTATTGAGTTGGCTCCAGAATATCACTACAATTTTCCCCTCCCGCCGCAGCATCCTTCCCCCCCGCAACAATCGCCATCTCCAATACAGCAGCGATTTGCAACAAACCGGAGCCGCTACTACGCGGAAGAGCAGGACCGAGGAAGGTGACCCGAGAGCGCCGCCAGTTACTCTCTATCGTCCATCGCCCGCACACGGTATCGCCCTCTCTCTTGCCTAGCCAACCCGGCATTGCATAGACATCCGCTAACCAGCTCCAGGATACATGATGGCTGATGCCGCAGCCGACTCCCGCCCGGACAAGCGACTTAACCAACGACTGCCGCGCCCTATCGACGACGGCCCGTAGCAGCATGTCTGGGTTATCCACTCCGAGTAGAACGTAGAGGGACGCCCGCGACCGGCTGACGCGGAGCAGCGCACCACCATCTCCGGCGGCCATGCCGGCGCTTTAAGGAGGCTGCGCGTATACCGACTTCCAAAAAACCACTACCTCTATGTCCGATGGGATTTGCCATCGACGCAGGCCGAATTCACAACCCTTGGAAGAAAGCTTGGGGTCGACTACAGCCTCGTACAGTCACTTTCCATCAATTGGCTGTCCTGGAAGTTCCGTGTCCGCCCGGTATTCGTTGAGCATCACAATGGCCTGCCGTTTGGCAGAATCTTAGCCGAGACGTGCGCCTTGAGGGCTTCGATGCGAGAGCGGGAGGGGATAGATTCCCATGAATGCATAAGCCTGTTGTAATATACCACGCTTGCCTTTGGATGTTTGGATACTCGTTTTGATGAGGGTAGATAACTTTAGTGAAGGAGGTTAAGGATATCCCTCCTAAGCTTTCCTCACACCCCAGTATAGTATATGTCAACTATCAAAGAGTCCTCCAGCCACTCGCTATATTCAACCTTATTGCCTATCCCATTCGTCATTGTCTACTGAGCACCACCAAAGTAATGCTTCAACGTCTTCCCGTCAGCTCCACCATCCAGGCCATTGCTGTAATCCGCCCCCAGTGTCCCCAAGTTCGTCTTACCACACGAAGATCCGCTCCAACCTACCTTCGTGGTGAGAACAGCTAAATCCAAGTATACAAGGCTAGCCGAGTACGCGGCTGGGCGGGGAGAAGAGCGGGTTGGGGCTCCTGCATTAGTGCAACTTTTTACAGCCACCCCCGGCTGACCTAACGACAGGGATCACAAAACTGTGATGCCTGTAAGTGTTAATGGGCCTCTTGTTCAACGATGTAATTTTAGCCCGCAATACATGTCCGCAGTTACGTCTAGCTAGTTTTGGTTTCCGGATATAGGGGAACCGGCCGCCTGGACGAGCATCTAGAGCGCTCATATTCTACTAGTCAATGTTAGCTCGCTCACATTAACTTCCGGGGCTGATGCGTGTACGGCGTTCAATCTGCACTTTCAAGGATCACAGTTTTGTGTTCCATATCATCAGGTCAGCTTTACCATCTTACAGGCATCACAGTTTGTGATCCATGTCGCCAGGTCAGCCTTTGGCCCATCTGCACTTTCAAGGATCACAGTTTTGCGATCCCTGTCATTAGGCCAGCTTTTGGGTCATGTTCCGAGCCAACCTTCTGATTTACACAATCGGCAGTTGACGCTAAAGTCGAACTACCCACACTCGGCATCACTATGAGCTAGTAAATTAGGAAATACTTGAACTTAATGAAGTCTATTGTCTGTAAAGACAGTTAAAGTATTTAAGTCTGACCGATACTCCCCTATTTACTTTCATACCTATCTCTTATTCTCCACAAGCCAGACACAGTTTACCTCTATTTATTATCGGTTTACTAGCACCTTTTACTTCTACTCTCAGCATATCAATATAGTCAAGTTGAGAGACGTTCTCCTTCAGGCCCCGTTTCCAGATAATACTGCCTCATTTCACAGATTACCAGGAGCTGGCAGACCCACTCTAACCCAGAAGCCCTAGGCGCGAGACTATCATGAGATCCAAAACCTTCAATACTATCTAAACCCTACCGAAAACGACATCGATCAAGTATTTGGGCCTGAAGATACTTTAGACGCCTATCTCCTGAACAGGGAGGTAAGCCCTCTAAACGTCACTACCGAATTGTTACAGACGGAGGGCGACTCTGTTAGGATATTCTACACCAAAGTCGCAGAACCCATCCAGCTCGCCTTCCAACCAGTTATCGCTTTACGGTCAGAATCAGGACCTCTTGGCCCAACCGACGTTAACCAGACCATTGACTTCACTTGGGGATATAGAAATCATTGCCTTATAATAGGGGAACTTAAAAGGCATGGGATAATCGATGTCGATAGGTGGACGGGAGTGGCTGGACAAAATACTACTCGGACCTGGCTAGGAAAGGAGCTAAGAGGGTAAGTATAATAGCCCCATAATAATAACTGTTTACTGATAGATATATAGATACTGCTATAAATACAAATGCTTCGCTGGAATAATATTTGACGGCCAGCACCTTATGATCCTTATATTTCATGCTCAGGCAGCTCGGAATATCCGCGACCAAAACTGCTAAGTTACTGCCCTTTTTTTCACAAGTAACTGGGAAACATTACGCTATGGCCTCTTCCGGACCATGACCCATCAGATTCGGAGAATGCAAGCTGCCGAGCCCCTGGAAGTAATCTTGGATGGTTATCATCGTAGATTCAGATGGTATTTAGGAATGCTTTATTGGGTTGATAGGAACGATGAATACGACGCGCATCCCAATGGTTATATACGGTAATTTTATGTGTCCGGGGTATGGTACTGGATTGACGGGGATGGGCAGCGGGTCTGGGATACTATCGGCCTCGGGTTTTAACATCTGCAGTTTCCGCCTAATTGAGTTTTGGTGCCTAGAAAAGTGGATCCCACTCGTTTGCTTGTGCTACCTTCTTCTTTTTATAAAAACCTTAAGCCAATTCCACCTCGCTTAATTTTCCTGCGACCATTCTCCTCTATCACTCTACCCTATCAATTACTTCAAGATGGAAGACAATGAAGACTGCGGAACTAAGGTATATACTTTAACTTCTAAATACTAAAATTTACTATTATTAATCGTAGTTCTATAGGACATACAGTTTGGCTTCCGACGTTTTCGAGCACCTGCAAAACGAATCTACGCGAATCGGAATGTCTTTCTCTTGGATGTCCCGCCGAACCCAATTGCTAGCTGGCTATTATTTTGGATGCCGCAGCTCGTCCGCTGGCTACAGCGATTACTACCAGAGTGGTTCTTGCCGACAACTGTTATTCTAAAGGAGCGAAACCCCACCAAGGCTGATAGCTACGAAAACGAAATCGATACATACCTGCATCTTCGATCCCTCCAGGGTACCCACATCCCGCGTTTGTTTGGTGAAGTAACCGTTAGCGACCCCCACGCGCAGAGATACCAGATCAGTAAGCGACCCACTCCTGCTATCCTCCTAGAAAACGTCGAAGGAGTATCGCTATACAATCTTCCAACCGAAGAGCTAGGGAATCCTCGCCTTCTTGAGGAACTCGAGGATATGTATAACCTACTTACGGAAAAAGGGGTTGTTCATGGGGATCCAAAGCTCCACAACTTTCTACGTGTTGATAAGAAGATCGTTGCTATCGACTTTGAGTTGTCCTACCCTCTTCCTAGTGATATAACGAATGAGCATGAATTGGAGGAATTAAAGAGCGAGATTAAGGAACGGGAAAAGCAGGCACAGGAGGCAAAATTGGAACGTCTCGTCCCGGGCCCTGTCATTGTAAATGGTTTACGGGTACGAAAGAGGACGGATTTGCCGCCTTCCGGCACAACGACCCATAACGAGCAGAGGGGTGACGAGGGGCTGTCTACCCTGGGAGCTCAGCTACCTAAGGTGTGTTCTCGGCACGGGCGTGTTGGGCCGCGGCCGGGAACGACATATGGTGGATGAGGTGGAGAGGTGGTGTGGTGAGAAAGAAGGGGAGGAAATGGAGGTTAGCGGAAAGTGAGACGTGGGGGGTGCACTCGGGAAGGATGGATGGGCACTGACGGGAGTAGGAGGGGTTTCTATGTAGGAGCCGGGTGGCCGGGTTTATCTGCCGTTTAGCTCTTCTCCCTTAGTCAAATCACATGTTAGGCAAGGCCGAGCTCCGGCATGCCGACAAGAGGAGTGTGCTCGCGTGGATCTTCAACTGTACGCAACTGCTTCTGGCCTTCGTGTTCGACGGGTACTGCTAGATTCTGTAACACATTAGCAAGACATCTCAGGAAGGAAAGGACCGTCTCACCTTTTGATGTAGTATCCTGCCCTTCGGGTATAAGTGGATTGAAGAAGCCATTCACTGGGCACTGCTTCCCACGCGGCCACAATTGCCCGGCGAAGTGGCCCAGGCCGTGGGTTTTCCACATCGTAATGTAATTCAATTCAATTTTTCATCCAAAACCTCACATGTTCAATAGGATTCAAATCAGGACTTTTTGCCGGCCAATTCAAATGTTCAATGCCCACACTGGTCATGACGCACAGGCCAACCCGCAACAGATTCTTAAATGTTACAGGCGATAGAGACTTTGACTGACGTGCCTGTCCCGCCCCTGCCCCACTCCTTTTTTTCGGCCTGGCTTCCTTCTGACTCTTGGCACGTGCCTAGCCAAGTCAGGCTCCATCAAAGGAGCCCCCACCTGTAACTCCGCTCGACCACGACATTCCCGCAACGACCTCCAGCGTGCTGATCTCGCTCATGGACCCAATAACTTCGCTACCAGTACATACCAACGCAGAATCACAAACTCATGTCTCAAAGCCAGCAGGCGTACAGTGAACGGGACTAGGCCCATCGGCCGTCGTATTGAGCGGGAGATCCAACTATCTAATTAACCCTAGCCAACCCGAGACAGTTTCCACATTGGTGGTACGTGCTGTCACATGCATGACGGGTAAGGTCCACCATAAATCAAAATTGTTATGATATCATGGCGTCTCCAAAGCAAGGCCCCCCTTGACAGCAGGTAGCAATAGCGCAACAACATCCAGCGATACCCGTAAGAACTTGTCTAACCCAAGATATTTCACCCCCTCTCATCGTTGTTGTGGTGGCTGTTGGTTGCAGCTCAAAATTCATCCTCTCTTTTTGACTGATATTCGGGCATTTCGTCGAGTGTTCACCGGCTGACATGGCTGAAGCTGGCATGTCGATCTGCGAATGTAAGCGTGGTGATCTGGTCTATCAAGAGATGTGGTAAGGTACCTTGAGTCAAGCAACGGGGAGAGCTTCTGAGGAGATAAATTACGTTATTTGTGGAAGTGGTATAGGAAAAAGGCACGTTCAAGACGAAGACCATACGTTCTTTTTAAGGGATACAGAAGAGATTAAAGCATGTGTTTGGCGGAGGGAGTGGCGGAGGGAGAGGGCGGAGGGAGTGGCGGAGGGAGGGGCGGAGGGAGGGGCGGGCGGAGCAGAGACCGAGGGAGAGGATTGCAGGGGTCAAGGAGATGCAAGTGTCGCTTTTCCGCAGAACGGTACCTGTTTTTTATTACCGGCATACCACCATATATAGTCAGATATCCCGAAGATATCGAACCGCCGCCAGCCACGTTCCATAGCTTTGGTCGGCAGCCCGATATGTGGGAACGATTCTCTCAGCCGTATGTTTCCCAGCTTGGGAAGATTGTATTGCCATTGGAAATGCCCGAGTTTCTTTCGCACGCTCTGGGCAATCAGTCCCCACTTCCCCAGCTCCAGGCATAGGTACTTATGAGAGGAAATATAAGGGAATCTTGCGCCAACATGAATCCAAATACGTTCCACTATCACTGCCCACTGTATCACCACGATATATTTCCCTCCAGATTCACGCGTATAAATCAATTATTACTACCAGGATTGCAAGTATGTCCTGCCTGCGAATGGGAAACTCAGTCCTTCCCGGTCTTCTTCCCGATGGAGTTACTGCGGTCGAAGCATGATTTCAGGGTCACTTACGACATGTCCCTTGGAAAGTACTCACGTTTGTCTGACATATATCGCTCTAGAAGCCCCATCATCAGATTCATTAGGAAGGAAAGAGTGCTGAACATGAAAGAAAGAAACTCGGAGATTTCTCACGATATTGCCGCTGCCCGCTTAAGCAGAACTGGAAAGGTCATCTGCTCTCATTAGCGCGGATTGGCTATTTCTGACGCTCCCAGTTTCAGTTTGACCCCTCTTCACCAACGCTCTCAGATTAGAGTGGCTCGGTAGATCCCGAGTTAGAACGGCGCGGTCGGCCGTGCCATGACACCGTCGCCCGAGGACAAGAGTTGATGGATGCCGCTGGCGGCGCGGTTGTCATTGGTGGCATTTCTGCTCCACTAACAGGTCAACGACGGCACGGTTGCTGAGCGATTGTTGCTTCATATTCCTGTGGCCGTTTCAGATGACCCTTATAATTCAGCACTTAGAGCTCTCAAATTTTGCAAATTCAGCATCATCGTACCATCCTCGGCCCCATCAGCTCAAAAAGATAACCAGAAGTGCGACTCTCCGACGGCCCAAGGCATCCCGTGCTATGCCCAAAAAGCGTCGAACAACCCGTGCTCCCAAAAAATATAGCGGCGCCTGCAAGCGGCATACCTCGCGCGCTCACAAATGCTCGGTTAGTTTCCAGCACCTAACGGGCAACATAGAAGCCACCATATCATCACCGAATGAACACACGAACGAACCCGGCCCGGAAGGCAACACTGATCTTGCGACAATCCAAGCCATACAACCCCAAACGACTCAGTCACAGGCCTTCGATTTGATTGATCAAGTTTTGATGGCGGAGTAGGACTCCCTTTTCGAACAGCCTCAGAATTCTTTCCCGGAAGGCCAATATCAATTTCAGATAGCAGAATGGGACTTTCTTGCCTCTGTGTGGGCCGCCCCGGGCCTGGCCGGGGGGACCGAAGATGCGGCAGGATTTGGCTATGACTGGACGAATTTTGATGAAAATTCCACCAAGTTGGACCATGGTTATGCGGGGCTGGTTGATGGCAGCATGGGCTCGGATAATGGCCAGCTTTTTGGTTTAGAAGATATTTGGAGTGGGTTGGAAGCATACGATATACATCAGTTCATGGACAGTCATATTAGGGAAATATAAAGGCTGAATTAGATTACTTAAAATGTAGTTGGAAGGTGATGTTGTTATTTACGGTGGTGGGCTGAAGATAAATAAAAGACAGATATAGGTCGCCAGGAGTAAATACACATGAAAGATTTTGCTACCAAGAAACTGAGAAGCTACCTTAGGTAAAGACGAAAAAACTCCATGCTTGAAGACCCCAAATCACGAACGAACTGTTATGTCTACTACGCTTGAGTCAAAGTGCTGCTACCAACTGGGAAAGCCTACATACTCTCTTTCCGCTTTTTCGTATCAATGTCCTGGACACCGTTATCCTTCCTTTTCCGCTTTCTTTCTATCTTGCCACACACAGCTGTTCCCGCTTGTCCGTCCTGCTGATGACAGTTCCATGTATGGTCCAACCACTCCTCGCGTGTTTTTATTTCCACCGCTACCAAACCTTTCCTCTTGCATTCCGGGCATTCAAATGGCTTTTTGAACATCTTGCTATGGGACTTATTGACATGTCTTGAGTGGCTATTTCCGGGGTGGTGCATTTGTTCGCAAAACAGGCATCGGGCTGATCTGGTCGTTGGTGTTTTAGTTGGACGTCCCTTTTTGTCAGACCTTTTACTAGGCAACCACGGCGTATAATTTATACCGTGGCACTTGGCTGTGTGGTTACTCCACGCCTGAGGACCTTCAATAATAATATCGGGACAAAGGGGGCATGGTATAGGTTTGTCGAACGTCCCCTTCTTGAAGTGTTGATCTTGGTTGTGCCGTGTTAAACCATTACGGTTAGCGAAGGTGCGTTGGCAAAAGAGGCATGTCCATGCCTTAGTATCAGGTTCCTCAACCATCGTCTGCGCTTCGGTGAGAGAATGTATCACTGCCTTAAGCTCTGTGACACGGTGCCCCAAATATGAGACGAGCATTCGACAGTATATCTCGGTTCTCCTTGGCTTCCCAAGATCTCTGCCAGCCAAAAACCTGCCCATGTAACCTCCTTGGTCGTGAGGATGGGGGGCAGGAGGGGTGCCTCGGGGTATCGGGATATCTTCAATCGACTGGCCTAGCGCCCGGCGTCGATCCACCTCTTCCAAATATTCACCTCTCCGCTTTTCCACCATCAAGGCCAGTATCTGTTTCCGTCTATTCGCCAGCGTAGCATAAGCTCGACTGATATCGGGAGAGGAGGATCTTGTTTTTGCCTGTTCATACTCCCAAGTAAGCTTGGTAATATCCTCACGTTGTCGTAGACTTTTCTCATCCTCTTCGGTAGGATATAGGGGTGCATTGACGTCTCTGAGAAGTGTGGCGCGCTGAAGACTGCGAAAGAGTGAGTGGTGTTCTCCTGCGGCATCAGTGCCAAATATGATTGGCATAAGCTCCTGGCGTATATGCTCTGGCTGGTAGCTCGATTCAAACACAGCTGTTGTATTTGACATAAGGTGACCGCGCAAGGCCGGAGTCAGAGGGCCTGTGTCAAGGTTAGTGAGGGCTTTAAAAGATCGTCAGGTTTGAATCGTACCATCGAGGAGAGACCCTGCACCAACGCGCAGCGAGTAAGGCCTGATCGTGTCGCGGTTTCCCGCCACACGCCACAACTCATTCCACATGCCCCAATACTTATAGTAGGGCATAGGGAAAATCTCTTGCTCCATTTTGTCTTCTTTCCATCTAAGATCGAGGCAGTCCGTCTGGTCTAAGTTTGGTCGCGTCAGTATCTCCTCTAAAGAACCAAACTCAGCCTCGAAAGCATTGTCGTGAATAGCTTGTGCGATAATCAAGCTGAGAAGACAGATCGTCTGGCATGGGACAAGAGTAATAGAGAATTGTACGCTATAAAATATTAGAAGAGGAGTCTCAAAGTACTATTTGCTGACCACTTACACTGCATTGTGTGAGTTTGCGGTATACTGGCGCCTCTTATTGTGAACAATCTTAATCGTTGCGCAAATCGCAAGATTTTTCGGATTATTATCAACTCGCAAGCATCGAATACGAACATGCTGATATTTAAAGGAGACAATAGAGCCAGGGCGGAACCCAAATCCTGCGAGTAGAAGGACCGAGTGAAATGCAACCCGTTGCCTTGCGGTACATCGGAGATCTGATGGTCGTGTCCAGAGCGTGTCCAAAAGGAGAATAATATCGTCAGATGTTAGAACTTTCTTCTCAAATGTTTGCTCCCTGGATAAATAAAGCTCATCGCTCAATTCAACTCGAATCCACTACGTAACTAGTTAATACTTGATCGAAAATAAGAAAATGAAAAGACTAACCCTGGATACATCGGCGACAGGTCCAGACCCGGGATTGCCCCCGGCCCCCACGTCCGCCCATCTTAACTTCCATTTATGTCTATTATTCGGGTCGTTGTGTCGTGCTTCGTTCAGAATAGTTGTGTCGGCCATGTAGACGATATTCCTCCAGAAAGTAAGAGCCGACTTCGCCGCGGATATGGTCTGAACTACTTGTGTTTCGGATTTACCAATGGCCGGGCGCTTTTGTCGTGACCGTAGAACGTACTCATAGAGAAATGCCCGAATCAGGCTTTTGGGTTTATCCTTATTCTCACAAAAGTCCATCCAAGCAGTCGTCATGCTGTAATCTTGGTAGGGAATAGTACGATACCACCTACGAAGCTGTTAGTGGCTTGCCTTCTTGAACTATTTAAGGTACTAACCACTCAAACTTTTGCCAATCTCTTTGGGCGGCTTCCTGGGCTTTTTTACTGACGGGTACAAACTCGAGGATCGGATTTGACTCAAACCGCTGGATAAGTTGAGCAGCGCTTACGAGCCCGGCGTCCTCATCATCCGAGTCGAGTGAAATTTGGAGAACTCGAGGCATGGTTATTAGAAGGCGTGGACGAGGATATGCTTGACGTGATGCTGGTGGATGATGGTTGATGGATGATGGTTGATGGATGATGGTTGATGGATGATGGTTGATGGATGGTGGGTTGAGTTGGCTAGCTGATGTTAACCCGCAACGAAATGATGGCGGGAATCCATATAAATATTATGGATTAAAATTATCTATTTAAAGTAGTGGCGCTGGCATAACGGTGTTTTGGACGTTATGGCTACGCCATTTAAAACGGGCACAGCCGTTAATTGCTTAACATGAAGATCTGTTGCGGCCATTTTCAGCCCTCGTTCTGTCACAAATTTGGGTGGTAGATATCTCAAAAGATAAAACTGGTAGAGCCGAACCAGTACTCAGGTGGGTGACCACTGGGGAATCCTCGGTGTTGTATGTATTTTTTGGTCTATTTCCCCCCCTAAGCCCTTTTCTAAGGGCTAGCATTTACTACATATTCACCATCCGGCTCCTTGATTGCTTTATCTTGGAGTGTCAAGACATGTTCACACGAAAGATTAAGCATAGTGGGTGGATCAGGTAGCACGGCATTTCACTAGTGCGATTACTTTTGGAAGCTGCACCGGCACATCACCTGCCTCCCGCGTTTGAAGATAGACAGCTTGCAGGTGAGCCCCCATCTTTAGGAAGAAATATACCTCATGATTCCTGGATACAAAATGTGGGATGAGACAGCGGGAGCAGTCGTCATACCCCACGGGATTCCTCATGCAGAGAGCAGCACTGCGGCTGAGCGCTCAAGGGGGAAGGACGTTGAGGTGTGGCGTATGCAGCTTGCGAAAAGGGGGAAGGTGGGCGGTGGGTTGTTATCAGATGGGCTTCATGAGGGAGGGACATGATGCCATTCAGTTGAGGCAACGACTTGCAGATAAATACGATGATTCATCATGGCAATCTCTAGCTTAGCTGCCCAACCTCATCCATATCTTTAAACACTGCCCGCTTATCACCTGCCGAAATGTTGTTCTCTACCGCCCTGCTGGCACTCCTCCCGGCAGTCCTCGCGGCCCCTGCTCCATTGATCCAACCCCACGACCCGTCCGCTAAGCTCATCCCAGGTAAATACATTGTCAAGTTCAAAGATGATTCCTCCGACGTCCTGATCAGCAAGGCCCTTGGTGGTCGAAAGCCTGATTACCTTTACAAATCCAAAGGGTTCAAGGGGTTCGCGGGGGCTCTTGATGCTGCCTCACTAGACAAGATCAGGGGCCTCCCAGAGGTGAGTCTTTTGTCCCCCTCTCCGTTGGTTGTAGATTATTGACATGATAGTAAAAAGGTCGAATACATCGAACAAGACGCTTCCTTCACCATCGGCTCTGCCGCCGAGCTAGTCTCGAAGCGGTATCTCATCACGCAAGCCAACGCCCCCTGGAACCTGGCGAGGATCTCGAGTCATACGCTTGGGTCGACGGTGTACAGGTATGACAACAGCAGCGGGTTTGGGACTTGTTCGTACGTGATTGATACGGGGGTTCAGGTTACGCATCCGGTGTGTGTCCCCTCTCTTTTAGAATAAAGTGGGATAGATGCTGACGTAAGTTGAAGCAATTCGCCGGCAACGCCGCCTGGGGCACCAACACTGCCGGTGACGGGATCAACACCGACTCCAACGGGCATGGCACCGCGCTTGCTGGCGTCATTGGTGCGCAGATTTATGGTGTGGCGAAGAAGTCAAAGATTGTTGCTGTCAAGGTGTTGGGTGCTTCTGGTTCGGGGACCACGTACGTTCCCCCCTTCTTCCCACCCCCCCCTCTTCTCCTATCGTGTCTAACCTTGTGTAGATCAGGTGTAATCGCCGGAATGAACTGGGTCATCCAAGACAAGGCCACTCGTGGCTGTCCAAAGGGTGTTTCGGCCAATATTGCGCTTGGGGGGTCCTTCTCCGCAGCTATGAACAACGCTGTTGCTGCCATGGTGTCCAACAATGTGTTTGTGGCTGTTGCTGCTGGGGGGAGTAACACTAATGCTGGAAACACATCCCCGGCGAGCGCGCCGCAGGCTTGTACCGCTGCTGCGAGCACGGCGAGTGATGCGAGGGCTAGTAGTTCGAATTATGGGGCTGTGATTGATATTTTTGCGCCGGGGGAGAGGATTTTGACGGCTTGGATTAATGGGGGGACGGTGAGTAATTTCCCTACTCTGGGGTGATGGGGAAAGGGAGATGACTGACAATGGAATAGAATACGCTTTCTGGAACGTCGTTTGCTGCGGCACATATCACGGGTTTGGGGTCGTATTTGTTTGGGCTGCCGAATGCGAGTCAGACAGGGGCAAATATGTGTGCTTATATTCAGAGCATTGCTACGGTGGGTGTGTTGACGGGGGTGCCGGCGGGGACGGTGAATTTGTTGGCTTATAATGGGTGGGATTTGTTTACTTTCCCCTGAGGGTTGCCAGGGACGAGAGTAGGGGGGTTGTAAGTAGGTAGGTATATGTGCTCGGCAACATTGTTCTTAGTGACATATGTGGGAAACGATCTGTGACTTTGTAAGTAGGCATTCATGTGTTTCGCTTGAGTTACACTGTGTTTATATGGAATGGTATAAAGTCATCATCATGATGTATCTCTTGCTAACTCGCGGGCAAGACGCTCATTATAATGGTTACCTAAACCATTGCGTACCCAGTGGCCCGCCAAACTTATTAACTCCAGCCCAACTCCTGCCAAAAACTGAATGAGCTCATAAACAATGGAACATAATTTCTCCATGATCTCGTGTAAATCCTCAAGAAAATCGCTAATTTCACGCTCACACCTTAACAAACCCAAAAGTACCTGATACCCTGTTCTGTTCCAGCTACCTCCTAGTATTTTTCTTGCGTCTCCTTTCAGCCCAATGTAGGAAATGAGCTGATCTGAGCTGAGCCGGCCCTTGACTTGACTTGGCTCGGGCGAGCTTCTCGAAAGTCGTCCCGTGGTCTTGCAGCGCCAGAGCGAGCCGGATGACGGTGGAAAATAACTCAAAGGTTAGGTCTTCGATGTTGTGCAGGTCTACTGGCTTGGTTGGTGGTTCAGGTGGTTTCTCGTGGATGTCCCCTTTGGCAGGCACTGTTGTCACAGCATCCTGGTAGCGAGCGCAACGGTCGCCGTATTCGATGAGATGCTTGACGAGTTCGAGGATATCGCTCACTGTCCAGATACCAGTCTGTGACGTGACTCGTAATTCGGGGAGCACTGCTTCTGTGTCGGCGTCGCCGCCAGAGACTGACGTCTGGGCCATCTCTTCGAACCGTCTCTGTTTTTGTCTCTGTTGCGTGAGTTCCATGGTGATTGCGTCGGCCCTTGCCATTGAATTCGTCACGGCAAAGGCGTCATTCTTTGTCGAAGGGCTCATCATGACTTGGTCGGAGTCATCATCCCCCGGGTGCCTCATCATGTACCGTTGTCTTCGGGTTGAAGCTTTCATGTACATCGCGCGCTCACGAGGCCATCCAAACCATGGATCTGGATCATACCTTTCACCGTAACCGTACCATGGTTCGTCAAACTCTGGTAATGCCCATTGGAATGATGACAGGGCGGTGTTGTCACGGTGCTCGCGGCGGCGGAGCGAGCGGCTGACTCGGTCAAGGCATCTCGATATCAGCTCACGGATTCGACCGAGAACGTAATTAATGCCAGCCCAGAAGCGGGCCTTGCTCAAGAAGTCCTGGTGGCGCAGATGATTCATGGTATTTTCGTGATGGGGAACAACCCGCTTGATGGCGTCTAGCTGATCTTGGAAAGGAATTCTGGCGAGCAGCCGCCTATTGATAAACGCCTCATCCGGCATGGTGGTCATGGGGATTGTCCATTGATGGACAACGCTTGCGAGAAGTTCATGCTCTCCGAGGGCCTCTTCTTCTAGCCAGCTGGGTGCTGATGCCTTAAGCAATGTCTCGTAGTTTGTCGAGGCGAAATCCAGAACATTCATCCTGTTATACCGCGGCCGGGGATCGAGGGACGACCTCACCCTGCTGTACGCCAAGGTCCAGAACATGGGAGATTCGAGCCATTCGGCATTTTTGGATCGTAACATCTCAAGGACCTCGTCCGATCCCTTGACCAAGGAAACCCTAGGATGCGCAAATGCGGCCTGGGCAGCTGTGCCGAAACAGCCAGCAACTATGTTGGGGTCGGCATCGTTGGCCAGGAGTAGCTTGATGGTACTGATCTTCCTGGATGCGCAGGCCGCCTGCAGAGCGGTGCCGAAGGGGTCGGCGAGATGATCTACGGCCACGCCAGGTGGCTCAAGAAGTAGTTTGACGACCGCATCATGGCCGCGGAATGCTGCGACGTGCAGTGGACTACCAAGATTTCCATCTGCTTGGTCACCTGTCTTTGTGTCGGCGTGGAGCAGCTTCATTGCTTGGAATAGGCTTTTCACCACTTCAAGGTGACCCTCGGCTGCAGCTGCATACAGCGCAGTCCCGTGGGGTCCTTTCTCCGCATTCACATCGGCGCCTTGTTGGAGCAGGAGGTTAATAATATCAGATTCACCCCGAACTGCAGCCAGTTGGAGAGCGGTTCCCTCTAGACCACGTTGGTCCAGGGCCCTGCGTCGAGCGGGAAGATTGGTGTGCAACTTGGACATCTCTTCGACAAGCCGTGTGAGGATGCCATTGAGCTCCAGCTTGACGGCGTAGTAGACAGCAGAGGGTGGCTTTTTGTTTCCCCGTCCGTCAGGATCATAGATATCTAGCCAAGCCCGCATCTTCTCCTTGTCTAGCAGAAGCTTGGAGCAAATCTCGCTCTCCAGCTCTTTGAGCCTGGCTGGAAATCCTTTGTCACTGCCAATAGCATTGAATTGACCTTCGTTGCTATGAATCTCATTGTAGTGGCAGAACCAAAATTCGGCCGCGTATCCCCGAGCTGGAACATCGATGCTCTTCCTGCTTGCTGTTTTGATGGGGGCGCGCCGGTCCGGCGCTGAATCATCTGGACTGGTGTCCTGTGTGCGCCAGGCGTCAGAGCCGTGGCCGCTGGCATCGATAGTGACACGGCGGCGGTTGGGGCCGGAGGCGGACGAAACAAGACGGTCCGAATCACTATCGCTACTTGACGTGTTCTCGATAGCATCGCCTTTCTTCTTGTTCGTCTTCGTCGGCCGGAAGGCTGATAGGATCTCCAAGCAGCGTTTGGTGATGAGAAGGTGTGCGTCGTGTTTCTGGGGCGGCAGAAGGCGCTCGATGTTCCCAGACCTGATGGTTTCCTGCCCCTTGGGAGCTCGGGAGAAGGGGTCTTTCAGATACTCTTGGACTGAGAAGTGGGTGAAGCGAAAGACGTCCACCTCGTCCTCCGTGGCCGTCTCCACAAGTACTCTTGGACAGATCCCTGCGACTTCCTTTGCGTTTCGAAGTTTGACCACTGCCGCAAGCTCGGCTTGCGAGAGCGGCCGCTTTTGATTCATGAGCCAAAGGAGAATGTCCTTCAGCCTTTTAACGCTGTTGGCCGCCACTTTCTCCAGCGCATCTTGATACCTGACGGCAATGTTTTCTGGCAATTTCCTCAATTCCGCTGTGACCTCTGCTGGCTCGTGACACGCTGACACTTGTTTGAGAATAGACCGTGCCCAGTGAAAGTTGCTGCCTTGGCTGCTTTGGTAATGCCCGAGACGCTGCTTAACCTCGCCCTTCAGAGAGTCCTCTCCCTTCAAGACAGGAGTGTCCTCTAGTTTCCTCTCCACAAATGTTTCAAGAACTTTGCCAAGTCCCTGCTCAACATCTACTGACACCACCATATCTCTGATCTTGTTCTCAAAATCCTGTGCTATGTCTTTCTCGTACTTGCTGACTACGAGGACGTGAAGGTTGGTGTACTCTTTTTGTATCAGCTTCAGGATAATGTCAAGCAGTTTGATATCGTTCTTGCGTGAGCCCCTGCGATCGAGAACATGGTCAAGGCCGTCAAGGACAAGGAAGATATCCCTGTCTGCCTTGGATATAAACCGCTGCAGGTGATTGAAGAGGTCCATGCTGTCATCCGGAAGCTGTCCCTGGCCCTGATAATCACGTAGTGTTTCGTACAAACCATCGTCGGGGACCTTTTTACACTTGATTGTGAGCTGCCCGAGCAATGATGCCAGGAGGAGATGCATCCTTTTTGTGTCCTCATGATCAAAGCGAAAGTACCAGGAGGCAAGGGCCTTCGTCGGGTCATTTCCGAATGTCTTTTTCAGGTTTCTGATGATCGATGAGCTGTCTGTGAGTTAGAAACACTAGGTACCCATATAGTCTCAGGTTATCGGTTGGGACTTTACCATAGCACCGATTTACCACACCCAGCTGCGTACCACACGAGTTAACGACATGTACCCATGTGCTTGACAAGAGCAATGGGGGTACTGAGAACCTACAGTTGCCATACAACCACAACAGACTTTGCGGATATTTCACCCATTCTGTATATTCTCTGCTCTCGAAGAGCTAATCTCCATACTCGTCGGCTTGGTCTGCATCCTGTTCAAGGCTGGTTTTTGATACAACGTCGAGCGTCTTTCTGTCGTGGGCTTCCTCGTCTTCAGAGGTCTCGGGATCCGTCGTGATATCGCCGCTCTCGCTACCTTGGTCGTCGTCATCGTCACCACTTTCGTCTGTCGCGGTATCGCTGGCCGTGTGGTATTTTTTGCCTTTCCTGTCCCCATCACCCCCAGGCCTCCAGTGGCTGTTTCCAGAGTTCAGCCACCACGCTCTTTCGGTTGCTAGGCTCGTGCGAATCTTATCCTGGCGCCCTCCATCGCGCTTCAGCAGCCACTCGCATAACCGTTCCAGCTCTGCAGCAGTAGCTTTGGCGTATGTATCTGAGGCGGTCTTGGCCAGACCGTCGACTCTCTTCAATATCACTTCCGTGTTTGTTCTGATTTCCATAATCTCCTCACGAGCTTCGTCCGCAACTGCTCATTTTGTTACATCAGGTTAATAATTCGGACAGAAAACATCAAAGGATGTGTTTAAGGTAGCTATGTAAGTTCGCCACTCACGTTCTCTCGAAACCTAGTTCTGCCAATCCTCTAATGCGGATTTCTCTTCGTTGATCTTCGTCTCCAGATCGCGGAGTGGCTGTCCAGCCAAGCTGAGGATGAACTTTTTGACCCGGGCTGGGACGGGTCAAAGGTTGTATCGTCAGCCCGAGTTTCTTATGCAGACATTAGGGATCGAGGACTGACTCCGAGTTCTACCATTGCTTGACTCTTGCACCTCAGCTGCATACACAAGAATAGCCGTATATACCCTGACCAGGGCATCCTCGAGTTGCTTCTCTTGCTTGGCTTTTCGCTCGCGGTAGTTTGACTCCATTCGAGAATACAGAGCCATCGAGTGGCTCAGGTAGCTGCAGGCTTTGAATGTAGAGTCCGCCAGTTCCTTGTCATGGAGGGCCAACTGCAGGCAGGCTGTTATCAGCATCAACTGAAGCAGCATCCATTGGGATACTCGGGCTTTTACCGTAAGACCAAAGGACACGACAGCCCATGCCGCTGAACAATAGCCTGTCGGATCAAATTTGACGACATTATCGAGCAAGTCCTTGAAGGTTAAGGCCGAGAACAATATAGACTTCGCATTCCTAAGAGAGGTTTCACCGTTGTCAGATCCCCAGCGCGCCTTGTAGTTAACCATCTTGGCCTCGGTATTTTCGATGACGAGCCCGACGAGCTCGATCGAATTGACCCGCGAAGGTTTCTGGTCCTTCGACTTGCCGACCCCCGACCTGCCTTGCAGAAGGGCCCTTTTCGCCTCTCCCAGCTCGTCCGACTCCCATGCTTCTTTCCAGAAGTCCCGTGCTGACTTGTCGACAGCATCGTCGTCGTCCTTGTCGTCTTCAGGTCTGTTTTCCTCGCTCTCGCTCTCGCTCTCGCCCTTTGCTCCAGTATTGTCGAGCTGCGCAACAGTAGTCAACCCTCGCTCATCGCCGTCATCCTTACTGTCCTTGCAATCTTCCTTGCCAGTTTCAGTACTGGCGGCTGCATTCTTATTGCTCGCAGTCTCAGGAGGTGTTGCTCTTGTCGCCCCTTCATCCACTTCTAATTGCGAGCTTGGTTCATGATTCGGCAGGAGCTCCGCAGGTGCTTCGGTCTTGGTGCGTTCTTGGGTCACTCGCAGTGATAACCACTGACGCACGCTCTTCATCCTAGAAGGCTTTTTTGCCACAGCCTCTCGCTCCATTTTGATCGTGGTGATGGGCAGGATCTTGAATCAAAAGCTGAGGAGTGGCGAACACTTCTTCCGAGTCTGGAAGATCGAGAAAATGGGAACACTGGAGAGAAGAAAGAGGGGTAATGCTTGCACGAGTACCTAAAATGGACTTTCAATGCCTCAGCTGCAGCCGCATCATAACCTCCAGCCATTGAAATGTTATTCCGCTACTACTTCAGCCCCTTTGAGATGCAGCCTGCGAGATCGGCATACCAAAACAACTCGAGCCGTCAATCGATTGGAGCCAATAGGAATGTTGCCGGCCAATCCGGTGGTGAGACAGGTAGCCAGCACAGCAAATATTGGGGTGAAGTGTATGTTTGATTCGCTTGTCTTTTCCACCCGCAGCCTTTATCACCCATGCTTCGAACAACTCGCATGGGCCTACGAGATCACGGCCTTGAGGAACGCGAGGGATTCGGAGTGCTTCACCATCGAGATCGATTTGGGTCATACTAAAAGCTGTCTGCGGTGGTAGCTGCCATTGCTTCCAAGACAAAGGGAGATGTCATGCTAGAATATGAAATAACGCTCTCAGAAGTCCCATTCAATACCTTTGAAATCTAAGTCATCGGGTTGTAAAATGCCGAAGACACCAAGAAATTCTGATCAGGCTCTGCCACGTCACGCCGAAAATAGCTGGAATATTTTGAGTGCCACAAGTTCACGCAGAGCTGAACGAGAAGAGCTACTCAATGGACAGATTATATCTCATTGGGCAGGTACCCAGAAAGTACGGATTTCTCTGCCACATTTTTTAATTCCTCACGCCAACCTGCACCAAGTATGTAGAGGTCTTCTGAAGTAGACGGGGTCATTGTTCTGCTTGTTTTGTATTCCGAATATTTCAATTTTCTCTTCTAAACTCCTACAATGTATACTCATAGTGTCTCTCTTCCAGCCGGCAACATTATACCTGCTACGTTCAGGGGGCCCAGATCGTCAATTTTCAATAAAGATTGCAGTTATCATATTTGCGACACAACGAAGCTATTTAAAAGAGCGTACCAGGGCCATATGTGTAGAAGAAGAGCGCGTAATCCACCTGTCAAGCTTACCCAGAGCTCTGCTTCCTTTCTTGATTGAGAACCATTAAATCCTAGCCTGTTCATCTCTGCTCGGCTAAGCCTTGCGTACGAAACATATATCCATCTCTCGCTCCATAAGACTTACGGATTACATGCACCTGATCCGGGAACCTCTACCTCGAGAATCCCAAAAGACTCTGCTGTCAATCCGGAAGTAGGCAGTGATGTGATTAACCAATGTAGCATATTCTGAGAAGAAAGGCCGTCTCGTACCAAGGAGGAGTTAGGGATTCTCATGATGAAGAATGAACCTCGGGCGGTTTCAGCCACGCTTTTGATCTCCACCGTTCCCGGTGTTCAAGTACTGCCGAGACTCTCCCAGGCCCCAAGACCCCCTATTCATTCTAGCAAAACCAGTTATTTTTTGGATTTGGAAAGCCTTTGTACAATTGACGATGAAAACTTCCTGAAAGTTCCTGTGAAGGAGTAGGGCTCTTGGTGGAGTGGCTCTCGGGTGTGATGTCAGGGATGACCGGTATTTTCTCTCGACTCTGAATCTCACGTGGCCAGGCTAAGTCGAACAGGCACTCGAAATTACTAGGTCCCTTCTCTTGAGCCAAAAGTCGCGGTGTATGGCCTTCATTGTCCTTCGCCCTAATCTTCGCACCGCTTGCAAGGAGCATTGCAGTAATTGTCATGCGACCAAACTGAGCGGCAATGTGCAGAGCCGTTTCACCATTGTCTGCTCTTGCATCAATGTCAGCGCCTGCTCTGAGCAGTTTGTTGACAGTCTCAATGTGACCGCGTCTAACGGCGCAGTGTAGCAGAGGTATGGTACCGTCGTGTGGCATGATTTGGCATCGCATGCCAACATCTGCCCCAGATGTGATGAGATCTTCGACAAGGCCGTGATAGCCATGGGAGACGGCTAAGCCGAGCAATTCGTTTTTCGAAGCGATGTCAAATTGGCCGACGAAGTGTGTATCTCGTACGCATTCTTGAATGATTTGTTCTTGATTCCAACTTGCGCGACAAATCATGGAAATCAAGTCTGGCATTTTGTTAAGATCTTTGGCTTGGACGGCTTCAAAAACTCTGTCGTGAAGGACTGATCCCAACCTCGATCTATCGTCGTTTTTACCTGGCGACTTAATTCGTTTGTTGGGAGGACTGTCGATGGGGCAGTGGTGAAGCAGGATCTTGATGATTGCAACACCTTTTGGTCGGTTTCCCGCCGCTAGACTGAAGAACTTCTCCGTGACCGATGGTCGGTAAGTGGTCTTCGAGAACAACGTTCTGAGCACTTCGTCTCCACTGACATCGTTTTGAGATTGCCTCTTTGACCACCGCAGTAACATAACCTGGAGGGAGCTCGCGCGACAACCTTTCCAAGTTGGCCAGTATTGCTTCGAGTATCTGACTTCCTTTCCCTTTATTTTTGGCCACAGCCCGAACTACCCATTCGCTGATAGGCAGTCTAGGTCGGCGATCTAAGTTGTGGGCCATTGCTGCATCGCCGTCCAACTCATCCATTGCTGCTAACTCGAGAGCCCTTTCGTTCCAGAATGTGAGACGAGTGCAAAGATCTCGGAGCGAGTTTGGGCGAATTCCTAGCCGGGGTTTCACGTGAAATAAAAAAGAAAAGACCGTTTCCACAACATCCTCGTCCGTCTTTTCGTAGTCTGGCTGAATGATGTTGATCGCATCTGAAGCCAGAGCCAGTAGGGCATATACCAAGTCTTTGTCCCTTGTCGCTTCGCTTCCTCCAATATTCTCCAACAGTGTGTAGAGATCCAGGCATCCACCAAACCAAGAACTTGCTCGAAAGGGCCCAGGCATCATGTCCAATATTCCCTGGCAATGGGGCTCAGGAGCCACCCCAAGCAGAGACGGAGCAAGCCTGAAGATCCTTGCCGAGACGAATTCATTTCCGCAGTATACACTAGCGGCTTTGGATTTGGCGACCTCCTGTAAAATCCATACTCTCCTAAACCACGGTCGACAAAGAAGCTCTTCCAAGCCTTTGCGCTCGAGCCCTGGGTGTCGTTGGTCACTTGCCTCCAAATGTGTCCAAGCAGCCATCCACTGTTCCCCTGTCCACGTCTTCGAGACAGTCCTCCTGGCCTCCTCCTCAAGCCGCCTGAGCGCCCGTAGGCAGCAGTTTGTGTCAAATCCTGGAGGCCCAAGCCAATAAATAACGGATTCCGCCTCGCTGTATACATCGCCCATGTGCCGGACTTGATGGCCACACTCAACGTCGTTTTCCTGGTCAATACAGATTGCATCTACCCAGACGATGCGATCGTTATCTTTAAGCTGCAAGAAACATAGAGCGTCGTGAAGGCTTCTGGTTACGCCGAATTTCTTGTTGTGGAGCACCACGCTGTATTCTCGGTCCTGACTGCCCCGGACGTAGGAGATTGACTCATAAGATATCACCCTCTCCCGGTCTTGCAAGCGTGCTGTAAACAATTCGCATGGGATTGATGGATCGCGGCCTTTCAGAAGGCGCAGGAGGCGAAAACTTGGTCCGCCGAGGTCGATTGGATCGTAAGAGAAACCACCGTGACGAATGCCGTCTTTGATAACGCTGGGTATCTCAACACTGTTGTCGCTAAGGCCCTCACTGACCACCTTTTCCTTGCTCACATCACCACTGTCGCAGTCATTGGGGTCTGCATGCAATTCTTTGAGGCCAGACTCTTCGACAGTCCCAGAGTCACCAACAACAGGATCTTCACCATTAAACTCGTCAAGTGAAGAGTCATCGCTGCAGTATATGTAAGGGGTCATTGCGCGTCAGCTCTATACCTAGGCAATCACCTTGTACGATACTGAAACAGTATATTTAGCGGGATTGAGCTCGTGAATATGGTCTGGGTGTTGAGAGAAGATGGCAAGAGAGAGATTGCAGCCTTCGAGGCATCAAGCTGTGCCACATCACGCCAAGGGCGCCTGTGTTGCCGCCACGGATGGTTACACAGACATAGTGCGAACTGCTCCCGTTGGCCAGGCACGATCTCACCAAGTCACAGAACCAACATTTTCCATATTGAAAAACCCCGTTAGAATATCACTACCTAATGGGATAACAATGTGTGCTAGCATAGGTAGAAAATGGCAACATACAGGACTACTATACCTGCATCAGTTACGACACAATGACTGGTCTCACTTGGTCAGGCCTTTTAACCTGCCTCTCTATATCGATGCCCACTTAATAGGCACTGTTTTCCGAAGTTCTCTTTCAGGTAATATCAAGGTAATATCATACAATCGATTCCATGTTTCCCCAAGATCAAAGTATAACAGAGACCTTGAAAGGATCTACAGTGTATAAGTCAACTTCTGTGACTGATAATGAGCGACAAGTGTATTCAAAGAGCGTCCCAATCTACCTTATCTAACCTGACATCTTCCGTGTCACCACCACCCATGTATACCCAACCCATCTACTATCTTATCAGATACATACTTGATCCTCACCCTTTTTCCAACGAACCCAGGTCCTTACTCATAAATCACACGCCACTGACCTGGAGCCACGTACTCCACCACCGCCTTTCTTTTGAGTCTAGGCGGCAGAGTAGCGACGAAAGCCTGTGCTGCTTCCTGGGTGGCATAGTAGGTCTCGTCGGAGTCGTTTTGAGCAACAGCTCCACCACCACCACCACCACCACTACCACCACCACCGCTGCCACCACCACTACCGCTGCTGCCGACGACCTGTGTAGAACCTGTAGTAGCACGCTTGCCGAAAATTGAGCCTGAAGGGGCGGACAGTGCGTCATTGTCGCGGGGGAGAACAGCTGCGCTGCCCAGAGCTGCTCCGGCGAGGCTGATCGCGAGGATGAGAAGGTTGTTTTGCTTCATTTTGGGAGGAAGGTTCTGAGGAAAAGCGATATTTGGAGAGGGAAGAGTTTGGAATAGGTGGGTAGTTGTGATGGTGTTGGAAGCTTGCCAGAAGCTCGATAGATGGATTTTGGGGTTGTATAATGGAAGCTTGCCAGAAGCTTGTCTGATGATTGAAGGAGAGTTGAGAAGGTGGAGACCTGCCAGAAGTCACCAGAAGGCTGAGAAGGAATGATGCGTGATGCTGGAAATTAAGACCCATCTTTCGAGGAGAGTGGAAGGCTTCTTATAGGTCTGATCACTGTTTTCTCGCCTGGTTTCATTCATCAAGCTATCGGAACCAGAGGCCTCTGCAGTGATTCGGACATGGTGATACTCGGAGGTCCTCTGTTCTCGAAACACGACAGCATACCGGGTGAGATGTTTTCTGGACTATTCTTTGACGTTGATGTTCGACGGCTAGCTGATAGAATAGCTGTACGACATGCCTCTTCTAGTAATTCTGCCATTCGTGTAGTGAGCATGCGATTCGGAGGATCGGGGTTTGTCAGCTAACCACCTAATCTTAACTCAAGCCAATGGGCCTGTCAGACGGAGTATGACAGGTCTCGCCTGCAGTGATCAGTGCCGTCGGAATGTGTAAACCAACGAATAGGTTTTACTAGTGTCATTATGTATTCCCACACTTCCACATATTGTCCTTTTAGTGAGTGAAAGACCTTGAAGCTAGGTCATTGAAAATTCTAAGTGGAATATGGAGGGCGTACAGCATGCACAACCTTACCTACGTAGTAGGCCATGGTGTCGATGTAGGAAAGAAGCTCAAAAAGTCTGGCAACCCCAGCACTGCACAAGCTGACACTCCCGTCCTCAGTAACTTATGTCAGCATATCTTGAGCACAATTTCCGCCTATACATGATTATGAAGAGAGTATGAGATGTGGGTCAGGCGCAAGGGTGCCGGCTTCACTTAATGCCACGTTGACATAGCCCCTTTTTTCGGCCGAAAATATACGATCAAATATCATTCTTCATGAACCATGTTATCACAGGATTTCCTGTCTGTCGTTTGTCTTACATAGTCCCGCTAAGGCAGCGACTTGAAATGCCAGGACATCCCTATAGGGCTGCGGACGGGTGCAAAGAATAAGGATCTGAGATGAGACAGCTGCCGAGCTGCGCAGATGAAATCTTATTTACTGGAACCTATTCGACAGTGGCTTGGAAATTAATCTGGAGAATGAGCCCGGAATTATAGTTTGATGCTTACATTATGCGTCTTCGCTACCTTAAGTAAAGAGAAAGCTGCCTTGGGATTGATGGCTGAGTCAGACTGCCGGCGGAAACTCACCGTTCCGTGATGTGTTTACTGCAAATCTATTCAATGTCGTAGTAGGATCTAGAGACATATGTGCAATTAACTTCCCCGTACATTATTCGTCCTTCTGTTTGGTCCTGTTTTCCCTTTAACGTTTGTTGGTCGCACAAACTTCGCTGTTGGTTCCACAAACTTTTACTATTGGACGCACAAACTCGAGCTAACCCGCCTAGAACTTCACACACTAAGAGAAGGTTTTATATAAAAGACCTGGCTCGGGTGGTTGGTGGCTCGCTAGATTTGGTATCTCATAATGGTGATTCTAGCGAGGCAGAAGCTTGGACTCTCACGGTAAGATAGAGCACCTTGAAAACTCAACCGACTGATGAGTGCGGGGAGGAGTCCGATTGGCTGAATTACGCAAGAAAAACATTCGAAGACAATTCAGTGGAGGTCTGCCAACGCTTCTTCACGTCCAAGGTCTTAGCCAGTCTATAGCCAGTTATTCGCGCGGTTGTGATGGGAAACAACATTATGAAACCATTGATGTTGAACAGATCGGTTGATGATCTATCATCAAGGAGGTGTTGGTGTCGTAATATGAGCGGAATGTTCACCGCCACCATGTTAATAAATGTCCTTGGGTTACTGCCACAGTGCCAACTTGAAAGTGAATTACTTGTCTGCAGATAGAGGTTGAACAGACATCGTATCTGAAGTGGCTGAATATAGATGACTAGACAGCCGGGAAGATTGAGGTTTCTTTGGTGAAATTCTGGAGATCATGATTAGAGGGAAATCCACCACCCAGTCTATACAGGTAGAATGCGCCTGTTGATCAGGCATAGTCACGGCATGACCCCTGTGCCGCTTCCCTGCACCAGACCACTTTGCAATATCATCACCACCATCAACAACACTGCATATTGTCTTTCGATCATCGAGGTAGACCAACTCTCGGCCCCCTGCCAGGGTATCATGAAGCAACCTCGCGCACGACCGTTCGGTGTCCGTGACTCGGAAGTTGCACGAGGTGTTGAGGACAACGATCCTCTCTCGTCGTCCGAGGCCACGGCCAAAACAAGTATAAAACCCCATCCTCCCCCCATCTCCCTCCCCCGGTGATCACCACCATCAACTCACTCTCAACTCCAACTCTCAACACAAATCCACCACTTCAAAACCACACAACCCCTCAACCGCCAAAATGCAGTTCACCAACAACCTCCTCGCCCTCCTCACCCTCCTCCCTCTTACCCTCGCCGCCCCCGAGAGTCAGCTCGAGGCCAAGTTCGAGTCCGGCGTCAGCATCCTCGGCACCGCCGTCGTGACCACCTATTCCGGCGACGCCTGCAACGGCAGCAACGAGCAGGTCACCGTCACCAACGGCGGCTACCGCTGCTTTGCCGTTTCCAACAAGCGGTCTATTGGCTATAGCGGCTCTGGGTAAGTCTTCTATCTGTTTACATCGCTCCAGAAGATGAGCTGACAGAAATGATAAGCTGCACCGTCACGACCTGGAGCGGCAACAACTGCCGTGGCTCCAGCTTCGTCGCCACCCGCGCGGGCTGCTACAGTGTCTTGTATGGCTCTGTTTCTATCCAGTGCTAGAGAGAGTGCTGTGATTGTGGGATGAGATAGGGGGTGAAATGATGGACTGTTTTGGTGACAGGTCTAGGTAGATTGTTGGGACGAGGTGGCGTGAAGTCGGAGGGTTGTCCTTTCGCATTCTCACTGGAGTTCTCCGGCTCAAAGTCTTACGCCATGAACTGTATAGTTTAGGTAGGAAGGTATCTGCGAGTGAATACACGGTTGAATGGACGCGGAAAATATCCCGACTTGCCTTAGGAAGTGAAATTGTCTAGAAATAAGAGGTACTCTTCCTGAAGAGCAACCTAGCTTATAAGTTATGCTGTGTTTGTTCAGGTGATCTTGTAGTCGGTGACATGAGGAGTCAACAGTCGTTGAAACTCAGCCCCCAAGAAAGCTTGCTTTGTCCTTGGCAACAGAACCATACCCACTCGGCGAAAGACATTTTCCTGCCTGCCCGTGATGGGCGCAAGACATAGCATTGCGCAGGACAACTGCTTGTTCTTCTCCTGTAGCTTGAAGGGGTAGCTTCCTACAAGCGCAAGATGGCTCACCCTTTCCGCATCTGGGTCCCCGTCACCATGATCCAGAGACGCACCTCCCGCCATGAAAGAAAGCTGTGTGTCGATCGGGACATATGCAACCTCCCCCTCATTTTCGTCATATGTGACAACCTCTCGCTTCACGGGAATCAAAGGTCCCCTCAACGTCACTGTTCCTCCTCCTTGCCCAAACACCGCCGCTGGCGGAGGCTCTTTGACTTCGAAATCGAGCAGCTCAACCCATAATTTTGGATCGACCCCGTACCATACCCAACTGATGAAACTGACAGGTCTTCCACAGGAGGGCCACGCCCATGAAGGAAACAGATCCGGATATATCTGTTCCGAGACAGGTTCTCCCGAGACATGCCACAAGAGCAGGTCCGGTAAAAGCGATAACCAGCACCCAAAGAAATATTCGTCCCTTTTGTAAATGTTCGGCCACCTCCGTTGCAAAGCCACAGCAATACCCTCCAAGGCCGCGACTCTATCGCCGAACTGCGTGAGTAGCCGGCCCGAGTAGGTTGCAACTATATCAGACCACAGGTACGAGTACGTTTTGCTGAGTTCAGCCTCGGAGAACAGATTGTTTACCGACATGTGATTGATGCCGTATCTCCGAGTAAACACACGGTCCCCTGCCTCTGTCTTGATGTGTGGACTGGGATTCCTGCATTCGCATTGCACCTCGGTGGCACACGTCCATGACATTTCTCCTTTTCCAATATACAGCGATCTCTTGGCTAAGAATCGTTCCTGAAATGTCCATCCACGTTCCTCAACAACGTTGAGGGCGTCTGTGGGATCTTGATCAAAGGTTTCGTGTGCCCAGTGTCCCGGTAGAGATCGGCACCGCTCGTGCTCCATTTGCTCCACGACAATCGTTTCTCTGTAATCAGATGATTCGTTGTCGTTATTGGCATACCGGGAAAAGTCTAACCCTATTATCTTTGGTGGAGAGGGCTGCATTTCGGGTGGCCCAAGCGGGCAGCCCTCAAGCGAGCCTGAAGAGCCAGCAGCAGACAGAACAAGAAGTGCGCCGGAGTAAATGTCGGCCATCTGAGGAATCTGTGCTATTTTGTCGCGTGGATCATCCTGGATGATGCAAAGGGCGTCGACCCATAGATAACGCTGGCAGAGGTGTTTACAGGCAATGACTGCGTCTCTGATGGTGGAAGGAAGTGACAGCATCGGGATTCCGGCTGCATGTTGTTTGAGGTTGGCGGTGTTGGTGCAAAGGTTCCCTTGTTTGCCCCAGCAGTAGCTGAGGGCGACATACCCCGTCCGTGGATGAAGTTCTTGATGCTGCGTATTTACTAAGCGGATGTGTTCGACGTCTGAAATATCCAACAGTCGCCTCGGCAATAGATACTCTGCATCGTGTTCATTACAAGCCTCGTGTGATGTGACACATTCTGAAAGCCATTCTTTGGCGAGGGCAAAACGATGTTCGGGAGTTGTCCTGATGGGGCGGAAATTGACATGGGTAGCTTTATGTGCTATCGGCAGGCCTACTATGGGGTCCAACAAGGGTCGTTCACCCTTGTACCTGTCTATAGACGCTCGTTTCAGCAACTGAATGGTTTCTGTAGTCTTGATCGAACATGTCTTAGTAGCACTCACCACCAGTTTCATAAATCTTATATCCCGGTGCTGTCTCAAAGGTGTCTCCTGGCCTGATGACCCCAATTTCGAGCGTGTTGTCATGCCAGATACTTCCTACCAGGACAGTGCTGGCACTCCTGAGATCTGTGACATTATTCAGAATTTGTCCCAAGGCCCAGCACCGCGAACATTGGGCAGCGGATTCCAAAACCGTCGATAGCTGGACCTGCTTATCGTAGACATCGCCAAATAGTTCTTTGCAATGTGGGCACTGCTCCCAGGCTTTTGGGCTGCCTCTTAACTGCAGACCGGGTGTCGTTGTTTTTCGCTTCAGACGAAGCCGCAGCTTCAAGAACCGTGGAAAGCATCCCATAGCTATTGACTGAATCTTGAAAGAGGTGAAAGAGTTGTTGAGTTGTGGATGAAAGGGCTAGTCGGTTGGGCTGAATTGCGGTGCTCTCCGCTCTGTCAGGTCACAAAACTTCCCGACCTTTCTCCGATCCACTCAGAGACTAAAATCGTGTTGCCCACTCACCCAACATCATCATCAACTTTCCACTTCCTACCAATAGGTATATCTGGGCCAACTGTTGACCCTTCAAGCTTGTGCAATCTTGCACACCTGGAAATAGCGCGATTCAGTGACGTGACTGCATCGCAATGCGTGCTCGCTTGCCATGAACATATATTGCAAGAATCCAACCCCTAAAGCCTCTCAAACTCCCCAGGCAACTTCTCCCCCTCAACCCAAGCCCTCACACCTCCCGCAAACAACTCGGGAAATTGCATATCCCACCCATGCACCCCCTCCCTCAACACAAACCCTCCCGACCCATCCTCAGGCCACCCACCCCCTTGGTCTGTTCTCCTGCTCCTCAACGCCTCCGCCGTCCTAACCATCATACCAACATCATCCCCTTTAGCTCCCGCAACATGCAAAGTCCTCAATTCCAACCTCCTCACATCATCCAAACCAAACTCCAATATCCAAGGAAACATATCGTGCACCACCTCCCAAGTGATATTCCCCTTCATCTCCTCTATCAACTCAATATCCAGCTTCAACCCAAGCAACGAAGCCTGCCATTGATACAACCAACTCGGTACCCACCCTACCATCATCTTCATAGTGTAGTAAGTCAATCCCGGCCATTGCGCCATGAATAACCGTGCCCTGCTCGCGGGAGCAGCACCTGTCACAAAAAGAGAGAGGACTAGGTCGGGTTGGTCCAAGGCGAGGCATTGGGCTATGTACCCGCCCATTGAAACACCGACAACATGGGCCTTGCCGCCGTGGGCGTGTGAGCGGATGAGTTGCGCGACGTGCTGGGCTGAGTGGTCGGTGGTGCCTGGTTTGATGTGGCGGGAGGCGGAATGGAGTGGTAGGTCAGGGACGACGAGGTGGAAGTCCGAGAGGTAGGGGATGATGAGGGCGAATTCAAGACGGCAGGTGAAGCCGCCGTGGAGGAGGATGATTGTGGCGGGTTTGTCGTCGTTCCACGACGTGAAGGATAGCGACGTTGTGGGGGGAGGTGGGGTCATGGTGAAGGATGTGAAGCTGGAGTGTTTTTGAGGCTGGAATAGAAAGTGAATTTTGAGTGTAAAGTTGATTTGTCAGAAAGAGAAATAATTAACTCGGATTCAAGTCTAGGCCGAGCGGCCCGTGCGACCGATTGGCTCCGTCTCCATCTATGATAGGCATGCATTTCGAACCCTTCGTCTGGGTCATTGCCAAAAACCCTCTTCCTCACCATCACAGCACCAAATCTTTGAGACTCAATTCCCCAAAGAGAGCCCCAGAATGCGCTGCAAAAGACCCGAAAACCCCCCAGACTCTTCCTCCTCTTCCGTTTCCGGAGATCCTGCAGCTTGCAGTCAGCAACTTCCTCCCTGTGACAGCATCGAACAAAGGCCAACTTACGCCCAATAACATCAAACTTCGACTTGGTCTTTCCTGGATCAATCGCGCGAGCCGGGATCCCATGCAAACAAATGTACGCCCCTCGCTTGTGAGATTCTTGCACTTTTGAATCGATCTTGCTTCCAAGACCAAACCGATCGACAAGCGTGCTAAGCTTGAAAAAGTGGACATCTGTGAGCGTTGACGTGTCGATGGTGAGAATAAACCAGTCGTCTTCACCTGGCTCGCTTCTGCCCCATCTTTCCAGACAGAGTGCCCATCTTACGGCGTGCTGCTCGACCGAAAAGAACGTTATGAAAGGTGTCGGGCGCGTGCTACTCCAGTCGAAGTGATCCGCAACGGCGTCTTTGAAGAGTTGAGTAGCTCTGATTCTCGCGAATTGCGTGGTTGTGTCCCGGGCTTTGAGTCCACTGGTCTTGTTGTACAGTCCTGTATTTCCTCGGTATTGCACCCGGTAAAGATAACGCGGGAGGTCGCCGGGTGGGTGTCGATATGTGTCCATTGTTGATGTGCTCTCGACACTTTCTCGCCAAGCGGAAATTTCCTTGGATAACTCAGGTGCCAATAAGTAGTTGTTGAAGGGGAACGCCCCTGGCATTTAAGCCTTTGATCGTCGGGGGTTTCAATGTCGAAACTTCACCTGATAAGATGCGCAGTTTAACTAGCGAAGGATAAATAGTTGTGTGATTCAGCAGAGCCCCACGCACATGGTTGGTCGAGAGAGACACACATCGATGTACCTAAGTTAGCTAACCCAACAGACTCGGGGCCAGATAACAGAAAGAGAAGGTGTTGCGATGGTCTAGTGGTCGCCCAGCCTCCTCAGCCCAGAGCCTTTGCCTGGCTCAGTCTGGTGGTTGCTTGGCTTCGCCAAACTTCGTGACAAGGCTGTGACGGCGACCTAAAAGGGGATAACATTAGTTCCAGGGCTCTCCGAGCTGAGAGCCAAGACAATAGCAGTCTGCAGCCAGAACCACTGCCTTTTCCCTCACTACCACCACCACTTACCAATACTACGTATTGCCCACACTTCGATGCCTTCCATACATCCCACTCTCAATTTGTGGTCGGGTACTTGGGAAGGTCAAGCGGGAATGGGCGATGTGTGGAGTTGCTGTTTGGAAAGGTCGGATGGAATGCTGTGGGTTGCTACTGATTTGGGCTATATTTCGATCAGATCTCCAGCCGGCCAGTCAGTGCTGTCCATGGAGAAAGGGTGAAGGTAAGATAAATAACAGCCTCATTCCTTGCCAAGTTGGTAGGTACTCAGATCGCTTCCATGGCGAGCTTTTCCCTCTTGAACTTTTGGCTTCGAAGCAGGTTGTTGGCCTTGTAGCGGGGCGAACAGTGATGGTTTGGTAACAGCATTATGAACCACATTACCTCATCTTCAAACTTCTTGATCTACCTACAATATTATGCTGCGGGCTGTAAATCCTGTTGCATTTTAAGCCATTTCTACCTGTTTCAACCTGGGCAGAATTTGAGTACCTAGGTAGCCAAGTTTGCAAACGTGGGTACTACCTACGGACCTATGACATGGCCATACTGGCTGGGTGTGGTGCTCCATGCGCCTGCCTTTTCGTCAGACCCACACTCTGGTTGCTCTTTACGGCTTTGTTTTGTTTCTATAGCTTTTTCGTTCTGTTAGATTTCATCACCATCACCACTTTTGTCGTCGTATTTTGCCTCATTTTTGGTGCCAGTGACCCTGTCCCAGAACTAGGCCTACCCTATGCGAAGCATGGGGCTACACGGCCAATAATTTCGTAGGCTTAGCGAGCAACATAAGGTTAGCAACGCATGAACCCGAACGGATTTCAAGACCACATCCATCACCGAATGGCCGAACAGGCAGCGTTAATGTTAATGGTAGTGCTAAGCTACCTAGGTTTGATAGGCTAACCTATGTCGGTAGATAGATTGACACGAGACCCCTACAATCCAAGATGAAATCTCCGTCGGGCTTTCATATCACTGTGAAAAATCAAAGGGCTCACAATTCCACATGCTTAGTGTCTGTAGCAAAACGGGGGGAGGCAAAGGCTTCCACACTTGGCAACGGAGACATACCCAAAAGGCAGGCCTATCCTTGGGAAGATCTCACAGTTATCCAAGCTAGCTGGCGGATAAGAAAATCTCGTTCATCATACCTTCCTAAAGAGGGACCGAGTGAAGAAGGAACAACACGGAGATTTACCTAGGGAAGAGATCTTCGCACCGCTAGGTGGATGAGAGGGTTCAAGCAGAAGTCAGTGACTGCCTACCTAAGCTGACCACAACTCCCAATAGCAAATTCCTTTCTCTTCAACTGTCAGCTTCTCTCAATCTTACTTCTTCGAGCTGATCCTTACCCACTACCTCACTGAGAACATTTCAGTCCATCGATAGCACCGTCCATCATGGTAGGCGCCCTTCTTTGGTATTACACCGATGAGTAGGTACTGACAACTCGATCAACAGAAGCTCACCTCGCCGCCCCCATCCTTGCCGCCCTCACCGGCATCCAAGGCGTCCTCTCCGCCCCGGCAGCAAACTCCACCTCTGAGGCCCCCGATGCGATTGACTTCCTCTTCAAAAGACAAAGCAACTTGAGAGGCGAGTGGGACTGCCAGTTTGTCAACGCGGGCTGGAACCATGCAGCTCTCCGGGCCGACCACCAGGCATTCAACAGTGTCTTTGGCGATGCCCGCCTTACAGCGGCAGCGGGATAGTGCTACGTCGGCAGGTGCAACGGACGCGACTTTACATGGTGCAACACGTCTGCTACCACACGGACCGAGGTTTCCAACCAGCAAAACATTGTCGCCGACACCAATCCCGGCACCGGGAAGAACTGCATGTATGAAAACGGGTCTATTCATGTGGGATACTGGTGGGGGGCATCAGGAAGGGCTCAGGTATACCAAAGCGGATATTTGGAGATGCTAGATGAAGACGGGAAAGGCGTCGGTTGGCAGTGATGTGGGAGTTTGATGATGAAGATTTTTTGATGTTGGTAGTAAAGGTCGTAACAAAGTATGTTATACAAGACTTTGGTCAGTAATTTCGTTCATTGATTATCTGTGAAATGACACACATGGTCCAATGTCACAACTTGCAGCCTGTTAATTAAGGCACAACTTCACTGAAGGAAGCTTCTGGCAATCACATCAACACTGAAACTTTTGCTTCCACGCCCCACTACATAACATTAGACGTTGTCAAAAAGCTTGAGCCTATTGGCTCTGCACTGCAGTATAAAATCGCTGCCGCCTTTCTCACTTCATGCAACCTCCTCTTCTTCTCGTCTTCAGTAGGTATCATTGTACAGGTAAGGTACGTACTCCTTCCAACGTCGCTCCCCATCAAAACATCTTATCCCCTTATACTCAAAAAGAAATGCGTCCTCAGAATCCAATTTCTTATCATGGAAAAAAATAAAAATCTTCCGACGGTGTTCGAACTGTCGTACGTAGAAGCAAGCGCGCATGCCTCGAGTATTTCATCATTGAACACATCAAACCATTTGGCCGGTTTCGTTGAACTGGATTGAGTTTATATGAGAGCCAAAGAACTTGTGGGCAAATCTGTTGATATTAGTGATGCCTACTGGAAAAGAACTGGGAAAGGAAGGAAAAGGCCGTGGCTCAGGCTGCAAGAAGAAGAGCAAGGCAGTGAGTGGATGGTCAGTGCCCACGCCGCACAGTTTAAATGTGTTCCTGGCTCCTTCTTGGGGAAGGAACGAACGTAGAAAGATGATCATGGGGGCGGAAGGGGCGGTGGTTTCCAAAGGGCAGGTGGGAGGGGACCATGTCAGCCGAAGCTTAATCGAGGAAGGAGGGACTGGGGAGCAGTGAAGTAACTTGACGGTGGTGATATCCAAAAGCATTGTCACAAAACTTGCTGGAAGCGACATCAGCTTGGGGTTGATAGAGATCTCACAAAGAATTTGCTGGATCGGGGTCTGTCACTTTCTGCAGCTGCTGGAAGGTTGGTTACATTGAACTTATCAAATAAAGCGGATGAAAAACCAACAACAAACACACTCGCCCTCCTCTCCTCAAGTCTTCCCAGAACTTATACATATACATGACAAAACAACCCCCCAAACCCCCCAAGCCCATCATGCGCCTCAATAACAGGAATCACATCAGGCGCAAGCCACTTCAAATCAAGCTTCCTCGTCGCAGCATCCCTCCCACCAAGCGTCACCTGCGCATTAACCCTCTTCTCCGGATCCATCATCTGCCAAATCCACCACAACCTATCCAGCGACGCGTGATGAAAATAAAAGATTGGGTCCCCAGGTGAAACCATCGGATCGCCACCGGGGTCTCCCCCCGATATGTAATGACCAGCTGTGTGGATCCCAAAGTTGTACGGATCGCTCACGTTCCGGGGTGGTGTGAGCAAGGTGTTGTAGAAGGTGTTGATGTCCTTGGACTTGGTGAGGAGGTTGTACGCGCGGTCTGCCGTGGCGCCGAGGGCCGCGTCGACGCTGATGTCGCGGCGCATGCAGCGAGGGTTGTACCCGGTGCCGTTGGAGATTGGGTTTCTGGGCACGTTGTTCATGACGGGGGCGCCGGGACCGATGTTGGCTGTGTACCTGTTGGAAGAAAGCTAGTTAGATACCTAAAGTGGCAGTGGATAGATGTCGAAGAAGGAACGAACTCTGTGAAGGGGCCGTCAACAACGCATCCACCTCCGCCGCCCGGTTTGATCGTTCCGGTACCGGTGCGAAGGCCGGTGTACTTGGGGTCCGGCAAGCCGTTGCCACCCATACTTGTCGCGTTGCCGTTGAAGAGGGCTGAATTCTTTGGATCTTTGGTGTAGCGGTCGTAGTTCATGTACTTTTCATCATCAAGAACAGTTAGCAAACCTTCGACGAGGAAGGCAAGGGATCCGTCATACCGGGTGATATCCCTTATAGCCACACTCGTTACGAAGAGCCGTCTCATACGCAAGCAAGAAATACTTGTGGGCAGGGAACAAGCCAATCGTGTCGTGCAGAGAACCGGCATTCGTCAGGTGATAGGCCATGAAATCGTCGTACCGGGTCCGAGCTCCTGGGAACTGGCTCTTGGGCGCCTTGGATGGCGCCTTCATCAGGCAGAGCGTGGCGTTGATGAAGTCGGATCGTTGTTCGATGGTCATGTCGCCCCTGAGATACAAGTTAAATCTGGGGCAATCACTGAGGGTTAGGTAGAAGGTTGCCATACCACTCTCTCCGTACTCCCGCGTTCTCCAGTGTGCAGCCGTTGTTCTTGCCCGCGGCGATCTTCTGGCTCATGTACGCATCAACCTTGGCCATGGTCTCGTCCGACAGCTTGTCGACGACATCTAAGGGGTAGAAGCCGTTGCGTTGTCTGGTATGAGGTCAGTCATAACCACAGATGGCAACCGGAGCTCCAACTGATAATGACACTCACACGTTCACTTTGGTTCTCCAATCCCTTGGAGCCACCACTCCGGCAAGAGCCGAGGGCACCAAGATTGCAACACTCCAAATAGACCGCATTTTTGCGCACTTGGTTTTGTTGATCAAAGCTCCAGCGTCTCTGGCGGCCAGAACCTGATGGGGATTTCAGGTTGGAGGGACATTTTGTAGAATACACGGACATTCTCCTTGCCAGCATTTCAAAGTGATGGAGGGGACAGGCAATTCCGTACGCGTCGACTCTATATGACGACCTTTAAATTCGATGCTATCATTGGACTGGTTATTAAACTAGTCCCTGTAGGTGGTCCGGCATATGAGATTCTGCTGGTTGAGGTCGAACCTTAAACTGCCGTCCTTCCGAGCCGTGTTTTAAGATAGATGCCTAACCCCAGAGTTTTGGTCACCCGATTAGGTTACATGTTTTCTTTCGTGCAGGGTTCTAGTTGTGCGACGGTTGAACTGATGATAGAACAGGTATGGTTGGTGAGGTCGGTTTCGTTTTGATCAGCAGGGCATGAACATCTCAAGTTCAATGCGATAGCTGGACGTACCTGAGGTATCTGGTTGTACAACTTTCTTATAGACGGACTGGTTTCATGATTCCATACACCTTAGCAGCATCAAGCATACATGGGTATGGGGGCATTATCACAGCAGCTAATCTCAATATGTGGTCGTGGTACCACTCGTAACATCCTGATATATGCTGCTGGGAAGAACTCGATAACTCCTACGCAATCATCCGCGGCAACCTTCCCTCTCCCCGCAGCCGCCATCTATCTGATGGTAACCAATGACGATCCATTAGATTGTGCTGGCGTTGCTTGTTCCGTTAGCTACCCCCTTTGCCGTTCAGCCGAGAGATTCCATGCCGGCAGTTCCCCCCTGTCGTGAGACTCCCACCACATTCACACCATATATGAGACTCGACCGTCAGATAAGTACCTACACACAAAGAAAGTGTTGTTAAAACTGGTTGAGTTTAATTCGGAATCTAACGGACAAAAAATGCACATCGCTAATTTCCGCGTGGCTCTCCTCTGCGGAGTCACCCTCGCAAATCAAGACTGCACCACAACCTCCCAATCCCCTTCTTACTGGAGCATCAATGACCTGGTATTAAAGGTCTACGACTGGGACAAGGGTGGTTCGATGGGAACATTTGGGTTTACATCATTTTCCTCAGCAACAAACAAGACGGTGGAGTGTCTGGCTCAGGACGTTGATCTAGCAAACTTGTGGGAGGATGGGTCGTGGTCAAAGTGCAGTGATCCTAGGGTAGAGTTTCGGTTTGATTTCGAGGAGATGAGCTTGAGTTTGAAGGAAACGTGGACGTGTGAAGGGTCTCCGGGGTGAGTACCTTACCTACCTATGCCGTACCATCAGGCGTTGAGAACTTGGCTGATATTTGCGTAGAGTTACCTTCAATGCCAACGCGACAGGACTTATGATGTTGCATGGTTGTCTGGATAGTGATACAGATAAGGGTGTTGAGTCTGATTGTTATGTCATGGAGTTTGACATGGCGGGTGATGTTACCTCTTCAGCGGTGATATAGTTGATTATTGCAATGTCTTTCTCAGGCTGAGCGATGATCATATTTATGAGAAGGCGTCTCGATCAAATTTTCATTGTAATTAAGTTCATTGTGTATCTATCGCAAACATGAACCGAGAAAGCATAAACATTAGCCATTACATAATAATGAACCTTCACTCCTTCAAACAGCTCGAAACCCATCACCAGCTGTCCCTGTATTCGGGTCAGGTCGCTGAAGGGACACGGGCGACTGAGTCTGGACAGAAGTCTGCATCGGACTAATGACAACAGTCCCAGACCCCATTGATGCGAGCACTGCGTTTGGATTACCCAACACCGGCCCGGAAGAAGCAGCCGTAGTCCCACCAACCACCGAGGAAGGAGGACCAGGATAAACCGGCAGAGGCGTATCGTCCTCCACCCGCCGACCTCCTGTCCCAGCTCCTCCATTACCACCGCCAGTATCTCCACGTCTTTCCGTCTCGATGTTCTCCCCATGACGCCTCGGCTTTCTTTCCCCCAGCCAATCCACCGGGTACCGTTGCCTGAATCCGAACTGAAACCACAATTTGATCTTCATTTTAAGGGGCATCGCCTTCCACTGCTCCCTCAGCTCAGACTGGTCCTCCGGCTTCCTTGCATCCTCTACGATTGTAAACCCAATAGTAAAAATGAAGATTAATATCCAGCAAACCGTTCCCAACCGGAGGGCCGTCCTGCCCATCATCAGCCGCCCGAACCAAAAGAAGTTTTCGACAAATCCAAGAAGAAAGACGGACGGGATGACAGTCGCGATGATGACCTTCCACGGCTCGACCTTGCTGCACTTCCCGGCGTAAGTATAAGGGCAGCGTTCCTCTTGAGTCAGCGGTCGCGGCCCGCCAGGGCGATGGCACTCCTGGACGTAAGTTGTGTTGAGGCTGCTGACAACCGAGTCATAGTATGTGCGTGCATGAGGGCCACCGTGGCGGGTTGGGGGTAGATCAGTCGGCTTGACGTGGATCTCCCTGACTAGTGATGGGTTGTATCCCTTTGTCGAATGCGTCTGGACTGGGAGGACGGTGGCTTTGGGGAGCATGTACTCGGTGAGGAATTCGGACGGGAACCAGCCGGCCCAGGGTTGGAGGCTGGTGGATGTGGTAAACTCGAACGGGGTTGGGCAGCTGGCTGGGGCGGTGAGGATGTGGTCAATGATCCAAAGGTCGGTCGTGAATTGGGACCGAGTTGATGGCGATGGCAACTGGGACCAGTCTTCTAGCTCTGACCGGGGGATGGCGTCAGTGGGCAGAACGATGGTGGACATCACAATGTCCCAATCGATATTGGTTATTGCTATTGAGAACGCGGGTGTGACACCGGTGGGGATGTTGGTATGTTTCACTGTAAAGCGGCGTAGACCGTAGGTCTTGCTGCATGATCTTGTCCCAGTTAAAACCTCCGGATTGCAGCCGTACGGCAAGTAGGATGTTGCATAGGCCTGTAACTCTGTGCCAGTCCACCCAGTCCACTCGCTGGCCAGCGCTCGCTGAAACCCAGTGGCCATGATGGCCAGTGAGGCCAATGTGCCCGTTCGTTGCATGATAAAGATGCAAGGAATGGAAAGAGAGAAGAGATCATTACGAAGACAGCAAGGGATTCCGATGCTTTTATGAGGCCCATGCATTGTCAAAAGAGATGAGGCCTTGGCAACAGGGAACTAACGTCGGAACAGATGATTTTTCCCCGTAGTCCATCCAACCATAGGGCAGAATTTGGAGTGCCAAGGTGATGCCAAACCAACCAAGCTCAATAGCCATATGATAGGGCTGATTCGGTCGCGAAACCACCCCCCACCCCCATCAAGCAAACCTGGACCCAAAAGCCATGTGTGTGTGTGTGTATCATCAGTCTCACTATCGTCGTAAGTGAGGGCTTCGGATTGATGTGTGCTCCTTGCTCAGAGGTGAGGTCAAGGGGCCCCAAAGCATTCGAAGCAAGGTCCACCCGATTACCAAATGTTGTCGCAATAAAGACTTAACACTAAGATATGCTGAAATTCCTGGGATAGATCCGATGGCCTTACTCGGAGTAAGCTGCTCCCTAGTTGTTATTCTCCCCATTTAGGCAGCTGGTTGCATCGGACTCAATGTCGTGTCGAAGATTGCTTGTTTTGTGACGGTAGCGGCTATCGTGATTGGTCAATGGTTGTGCAACTATCCTGAAGCCTCCGGACTATGTGACGGGCTTGGAGAGGCGTCATAGAGTTCAAGAGGAACCGTCCCTGATCGCCCCGGAGTCCGCTTGGAGCTCGGGCCATCTGGACTGCTTTATTATTAGGGTTTCCGGCAGTTCGTCTGGCCGTTAATTTCTTCAATCTAACCAATATTGCTATCATTACCTCAGACATTATGGCACAACCAAGCCTAACAGGACTACCGAATGAGCTTCTCCTGCGCATCTGTTAACTCCCCTCCGACTCGCACTTTCCTGGTCTGAAAGCGCTTGCACAAGCCAATAAACATTCTTTCTCCGTTGCTGTCGCTGCCCTTATCGACACTATTACCTTCTATATTGATAAACCCGCTCCATTGGCTTAAGTTGTTGAGGGCTATAAACGAGCACTCCAGATACGGAACCATAATTTGTTCGCCGCCTCATTATCGTCGGTCGCATGAGACAGTCAGACACCGAGACCAATCCGTTTTACGCTGGATATGCAAACCGATCCTGGCATTTATCACTGCCCTCGACCACAGACTTCGACACAACTCGCGCGAATCTGCATAGTTTCCTTTCCGGGTCTACGAACCGACACGGCGCGATCCCTTTAACTCCAACACTTAAACCCCGGCTTCTTCGTCAAATGGATACGCCAGCCAGGCAGGCCTATGAGGGTGATCGGCATTAGCAATCATTGGCAGCCCTCATCTCCCAGCTTCCGTGCCTACAAGATGTTGTCTATCGATGCCCGTCACAGTTCCCACCTTGCTTGCTCATGGCATTGCACGCCAAGCAAATAAAAGCTCATTTACATCTTCAAATGTTCAGACTGTGCAGCGCCTTCGACAACTCGCCAACGATTGATACTCACGAGTGGAACGTCATCACTTCTCCATGTCTCTACAGTGTCTGGGTTCGGTACTACAACATGTCATATAATAATAAAAACAACCCTAGACTCTACTCCCTCCAGCTGCGTGTTCTCGAGTGGGATGCTCAAGCAGCCGCTGGCCTTAGCCGGCCTAAAAGAAGTCTATATAATCTACGACTATACCGCCGAACTGGCTTCCTTCGGCAATCCTGACAAGCATCCAGACGAATATCGTGTATGTCGCAACGCGTCTCGCAACCCAGTCAAAAAATCCCAGGAGGCCACGGGGGTCACCCTTTTCCGAAAGGCCGATTGACACATCTAAACCTCAGCCACAGTATACACGCGTGCGAAACACAAGATCATATTCATACCGGGGATTGGACAACCCCCCTTGGGCAACTTGAGACTAGGGACGGGCCGTGGAATGCTTTGACAGATTTCGCTATGCTGCAGAGCTTGACTCTGGATCATGCAGTTTCTGCAAAACAGCTTATCGCGCTAACAATAACGTCCTTCCTCGCACTTCAGCAGCCTTTCGTTAGCCTGCGAATTACCACGGCGCGACGGATCTCGTGTGCCCCTCACACCAGTGGAGGCCGACTACTACCAAGAGGTCGCTCGTTTCCTGGACAGCCTGCCCTCTCTAAGGGCGCTCGAAATCACTGGATGAGATCATTCCGTCTTTAGATTCTGCTTCGATTGTCCCAGATTGTAGAGCCTCTCGCTGCTTCCCTTACGAAAATAGGAAGGCCAAAGCCCCGTCGGTTATATGCAGAACTACGTTACTATTCAGGGTCTAGCTATGCTCACCAGGTCTTTTCTAGCGCTAACCGATCTCGCCGTTTTAATTACGAGGTCAAGAGGAGATGCTACAGAGATTGCCTGTTACAAGTTAATTAGTGACAATCGTCCCCAACTGCACCGCCTGACGCTGATGCTAGATTGCTTACCTCCAAGGCACATTCAGTCAAGCGGCCAGCATGACAAGCAAGCCATACCTCTGGTGAAGCCGTACCCATTAACACCCGTGTCTCGCATTCCTCCCTCTATAGTCTCCATCCTAGACCAAGACAGAGATGAGACCGCTGATGACTATTGGCGTGTACAGGACTACCGCAACGGACACGTCTACGACATTTTCATAAACAGTGCCCTCAACGCCTTCCTGGCTCGAGACATCTTTTTCCGCGGTGAGGGGCAACGTGGATACCTTACTTGTATAATCTTATAGAGGCGAGAATCTGTCACAAAAAGGACCACCGCCACGTTGCGGCATGTGGTTTAACGGGCGCTCAAGGGATCCTGCCGGGCACCTACTCAAACCATTTCTTCATGCCATTTCCAAATCGTGGATAGTGGAACGAATGAACAGCCAGCTGGTGGTTACGGAACTCACCAGCGAGGAGCCTGACAAGTGGCTGAAGAATTCGTTGAGCCTTAAATCATGGAAAGGTCATGGACTATTTCAGGCGTGTGTGGCCTGCGAAAAAGGCCGGGAGTGGAGGGTGGTGGGGAGACTGGGAGAGCTGAGGTATTCAGATTGGATAGAATCGGCTTGCGACGGTACTTTCTTTTCTGGTTCTGCGGTACGAATTTACGGTCAGCAGTCATTCTGCAATGCGATTTATCAGTTAGATTGAAGTCCGATCTTGTCATTGGACTCACTTCAACCCTCTTTTACAAGCTCCTGGAAGGATTTTCTGCAGTTGGATCCCAGGCTGAATCAGGCAGGTGGAAATATCGTGGGATGGACGATGCCACCCCATCGCCCCGTAAGCTTCCGGAATGGGACCGGGAATGATACTGTTGAGCGGGGGGCCAGAGCCTCGTTGGCAATAAATACATATCATGTCCTTAATTTTTTTTATTTAAAAAAAAGCAGCTTTCCTTTGTGAGACTCATCCTGTCTAAGGTACCTTAGAGATCCAAGAATTTAAACATCATGCAGCTCCCCAAAGTCCTGACAGCAATCTTCTACTTCTTCCTCAAAGTCCAGGCCGTCCTCCTTCCCGTCCCTCACACGCCCTACCTCGCCAGATGGACAACCTCAGAACTCATCAACCATGGGTTCCCAGACCCATTCAACACATCCCACACCCGCCGAATCATGATCTCGCGCTACACCCCAGTTCGAAGACGAGACTGTCTTGAAATCTGCCGGCTTCCTTACATGCCTGAATTCATCGCCTCGGTAGAGGATGAGATCTTCCAGGCCGACATGGGCGACACACCCTGGCCACGAGGCGTGCTTGCTTCGCTAGAGGTGAAGATGTGCTGCAAGGAGAGACGACGTGACCATCACGACAAACCACGCCCGCTTCTTCTCCTCGGTCCCGGCCTCAACACAACACGGTATTGGTACTCGGGCATGGGGCAGAGTCTCGCTGGGATGGGCTTTGAAGTCGTGGTGATGGACCACCCTTACGAGACGGACGTGGTGCAATACCCTGATGGCACCGTCATTTACGGGGGACGGGTTCCTGCGGATGCGGAGGCTGTGGAGGAGTTGAGGTTTGCGTTGGAGGTTAGGGCGAAGGATGCGACTCTTGTTCTTGACTGGCTCAAGGTTCCTAAATCAGCCAAGGTTGGCTTTGTGGGGAGTTCGTTTGGTGGACCGGCTGCTGCTGTGGCGATGAGGCGGGATGGGAGGATTGCTGCGGGGGTTAATCTTGATGGGGGTATGTTTGGTGCTGGGGTTGCTGAGGGTGGGGCGGTGAGGCCGTTTTTGATTTTCGGGGCAGATGGGCATAATACTACAACTGATGAGACTTGGGGACGGTTTTGGGATGCTACTGCGGAGAGGAGGCCTGGGTTGTGGATGAAGGAGTTGAGTGTGGTTAATGCGACGCATAGGACGTTTTTGGACTTTTCGTTGGTTGGGGAGGTTAGTGAGGAGTTGAGGAGGGTTGGGTTCGGAGGTGTGGTTAGTGGGGTTTGGGCGATGGAGATGATGACGGAGTATTTGGCGGATTTTTTTCGGTTTGCGTTGATGGGGAAGGGGGAGGGGTTGCTTGCTGGGGAGAGTGGGAGGTTTCCTGAGGTGAAGTTTTTGAGATCGCAGGGGACACAACCACTGTAATATGGTCAATATTTACTCTACCAATGTTCAAAGGAGCACGTTAGGAATAGTTACACAGACCAATAAACCTAGGTACTCGACGAAGGCTTGCTGAACCTCCGACCTCCGCTCAGTCTCCCGCCAGCCATTTACATCAGCGCATGTGTTACACAACCCCAATATCGCACGGCAATCACTTTCTTGTTATACCAAGCAGGTCACGTTGTGCTGTCATGTAATGTTCAAGCTCACCGCCTACCTATTAATTCGTCGGGCGTCATTGGGCTTCATCAAAAGTCTCCCACTCAACAACCAACATCTCGAAGGACCGAAACTAAGACGATACAAAAAAATATGGAGCTATACCGCTGTTTATCGCTTCCCGATTTCCTCTATCGGGTCCAATACGTAGGGACTAAAACCGAAGAAGACTCGAATGGTGGACTCATGGCTCAGCACCGTGTACCCCGCAGGGGCTTTGGACGATAAGGACTTCAAACAAGCAGTTTACAACCAATTCGACTGGGATTATAAAGGCCGCACTCCCTTCATTTCCTGCTTTTCAGACAAAGACTTCGCCATCAAGTGGGCCTGTAAAATCATGAGATCTTCACGGAGATGTTCACAGAAAAAGGAGTGGACCCTTTTTACTATCGACACTTGGCTTCTTTCGCACTCTGTCTATGTTTACAAACTGAGCAGATTCATCGACTATATGGATATTCGGACTCCCGGTAGGGCGGAGGAAGTTTACAAACCAGGGGCCTATATCTGTTTACATAGCATTCCTTCTGACGCAATTGTTGAGGCAGAGAAATGGATGAATCCTCGCGGAGCATCAAAATCCCCTCTATAGGTAAGTATCTTGCCCTTAAATAGATGCATCTAAATGTGGTCGCTAACCCATCCGTTACTTTACAGTGCCATCATGTCGTCCAAGCAACACCAATATGGTCGAATATCGGGATGATCAGATAGCAAAGGATTCTGAGTAGATGGAGAAGCATACTAGACTTTTCGAATCGTTGTCGAGATTTCTGACGTCTCTCTCTCTCTTGAACTACGCAAAACGACACATTCTCTTTCATCATCTTCAGACAATGTACTTCATTTGATGGATATGGAGAAGCGGCCCTCGCTCCCGAACGCCATGACCATGGTTGCCGAAGCTCTTGAGTCTTGGGGCTCTGTGTTGGGTGTTGTTACCAAGGATAACAACAAGAAGACTTGGGGGGAGATTCTCGAGGAAGTGACACAAGGTCTGGAGCCCGTTGTTCCAAGGTTAGACGAAGCAAGACCTTGTTGGGGAGTATCTGAGGAGTCTGTGGATCTTACCCTTGGCATGGGGAGGGGGGGGGGCTCTCTTTGGAAACACATGATGCGTGAGTCTCAGATATACATCGGAGACTGTGAAATATATGGGAGTCCACCGACACAGGGACTCATCACATTCACTTGTATGTAGTCCGCAATACTTTCAGCTCAGCGTCTCTTTTTTGATGTATCATTTTCATAATCGAAGCTTAATTTGATAGAGCTGTGGTTAATGTTGTTAGAAACACGAGTGATGGCCAGCGTCGAGTCCAGTTTGGATTAGATCCTTGTGATCAACAGTGACAGGATCATCAGGAGACCGCTCCACTTAAATTTGCAACTCATGCAGGTACAGGTACTCGGTTACGGGCTCAACACGAAATACGGACTCGAGACTAACGTGCGGCGCAGTAGATGCAGGCGATGTCCGCCTATCTAGGTGCATATCCCGAACTTGGGGCTGATATCAATACCTGTAGTTTGTCGTGCTGAGATCTGCTTCTGACTAGGTAGTTACCTCATTCCAGCCCGCTTGCATCCTCCATTTTAAGGTATGTCAATTTTCACATCGGTCCCCGGTAGGGGTCTTTTTTGGCCTGTTCATATATGTTCCCTCTTCCTCTTTCGAACATTGCCGGCACATACTCCGTCAAACGTCTGATGCATGATGATAGCTCGCCTTGTTCTCAAATTCGCTGTGTAATGGGGCTGTGAGTTCAGAGAGCGACATTGCAACATTCTCCACTATCATGGCAACATTCATTGACCATGGCCATGTAATGAGCTCCCCTGCAGATATAGCTTGCAACTGTCTTAGCGGGTGCAACCTTACAAGAAATACTTCGTGTCGTGGGTGCAAGTCCCTGAAATGCCCCACGGACGGTTTATGTTTTATGTAACGGTCCCCTGCAAAGATGGCTAATCAAAACATGGATCGTGGTGCAGTTGGTTGCACAAGTTCTTCAGCGTCTGCACCATGCATGAGTGGATTGGTAGTGTCAAACAACCAACTGAATTCCGGATTAGATCCGGTGGCTTGGTGCTGGGAATAGCAGGCTGGATACCCTGCCGGGTCGAACGCATACAGGGTCACCCGACGTCGTTGGCGTTATAATTGATTATAGCGGAGCCACCAACGCATGGTTCTTTTCGCGACTGTAGGATTACAATCTAAATAGTTGCATCCTTCTACCATGTAGCTAGTTGTGATGGAGATGCTGCTTGCTAGCGCTGACGAGTTTGAAGAGCCTTGCCAGTAACAATTGGTGATAAGTTTTTGATCCCGCTGTAGTCTATGTCGAAGACGCACCATGGAATCAATACCTCAGTACCTTAGGTAAAATAGCCAAACGATACTCCGCCTGCTAACCTTTGACAGTTACGACCTCCCGTAACGTTCTCCAATGCTGTCTTCAGTAGATATCTAAACAGCCCAAACTGTGATGTACCAAATGGTCACGGAGCTCAGTTGTCATCCCAGGAGTCTCTCCCAGACATACAAATGAGAGCTCTTTCCGTTGCTACATCCGAAAGCTGTTGGCGATTGTTTCTGGGATACAATGGTCCTAGACTGATGATCCTAGTTGATGAAGGAGCATAGATACTTGCCTTCCGATCCACTTTACTGAACACCGGCCTGTTGTTGGTCGAACTGTCGAGTAGACGAAGGCCATTTATCCTTGCAAGACTTCGTTGGCAGGTGTTCTGCGCTTAGGGACCCTGTCTAGTCAAGGACCAAAATACGACTCTCCCATCTCGAGGCCAAGTGGACTTAGGCGATGGACGTACCTCAAGGTGATGTGAACGCCAGCCAATTCTTCTATAAAGACAGCAGTCCAATCTCTCAAAACACTCTTCTCTCTTCATCCCTCAGATCATCACATCCATCTATTCTCATCCATCTTCACAGCCCAACTCCAAACCACACCATCGCCTCAATCCCAGGTCAACACCTCAGGTTCGTCTTAGCCCATTCCCACACCTCAGCCCGCAGCTCGCTTTCTTCTAACCACTGCTCTCATCCACAGCCGTCAAAATGATGTTCAAGCCCTCCACCGTTCTCTACGCCGTTCTCGGCCTCGCCACCTTTGGCAACGCCGCTGCCGTCCCTGCCGAGGACACCACCGCTGCCGCCCCCCTCGAGAAGCGCGTCTGGCTCAGCAACTTTGACATGCAGGCTCTCTGCAGGCAGCAAGTCCACAACGCCGCGTCTGCCATTCGCAAGGGCAACAAGTGCCAGGATTGGAGGTGCATCTACAACAACGTGGAATATCATGCCAACATGGCACTGTACTGCTCCGACAAGCACGGTACTCAGGCGTATGCTGCCTGCGGTGGTGGCACCGTCTGGGATTGGCAGTGCCACGATCGCAACTAAGCGCGCGGCCTGGTCCTGAACTGACGGTTGCTCAACAATCAGCGGGTTGGTTGGAACAGTTGGAAAGGGATGTTGCGGGGTTTCAAGTGTTTCGGTTCGACAGATGTTTGTTTTGCTGGGAGATATCGGTGTTTCTTCTATTTGTGATATATCATAGGGAGATTTGTACTTAGCCTCTGGTGCAGATGGAACTGATTTATCTGTCTTGTTTATTGTGCCTGGCTGTCTTTCTGTTCTTGAATTGTCGGTGTTTTTTTCGTGACTTCCTTATCGGTGGGGTCTGATGATGATTGCACCTACCTTGTGGGTAGCTGTCTCTTACATTGCTTTTAATCCTTCAGGTCCAGTTATTTAGGCAGCAGCTCTACTTCCCCTCTTTCTAATCAGCTTTCACTTCATTTGACACACAACAATCGCAGCATCTTATCCAGTGTACCTCAATCCAGCAATTCAATATGGAGGTGTATTATGGAATCAACACTGAAAACAGGGATAATACTATCTGGTCAACCCGAAGACTATATCTTCGTCTCTTAGAAACCTTCCCCAAATTTGTCCACGACTTCCAAGCGAAGTGGAACGACTGGCATCAAGCTATCTCGGCTGACGAGTTCGTATCCATCCCTAGCATCCATTCTATCCATTTGCTAACGTAAGGTAACCCGCAGCTCATCAACATGGTCGTCAGTCCCTTCCTTCACAGCCCTCACCGCACTCGGTCCCCAGATCATACCTCTCGTCGTCTACCAGTTGGCTCTTGACCAAAACGACAAGACGGCCGTACATCTCTGTACCTTTATTCCCTACTTCCCTCGCGCGAGCCCTCGTGACACTGACGTATGATGCTGCTCCCCCTCGCGATGTAGACTTAGCCCTGGGACCTGACAGCTCCTACCTACTTGACGTTCTCGAAAATGAAAATTCCCCTGGGTTGCAGATCTTGCGCGCCTCCTTCGACCGCAACAGGGCGGTACGCAACGCTCTCGCCGACTGGGCCGAATATTGCGAGCGAGTTTCCCGCCACAGCTCGTCAAGCATATATACCGAGTGTGCTGAGTATGAGACCTTGGTCAACTTTGGGGAGAGTATTATCCCGCATGTAATGTTGCAATATGCGAACGATATCAAAGTCCAGATTGAACCAAATGCGGTCTCACGTGCGAGTGGTATTGGCCGGGGTGTGCTGTTCTGGTATGAGCTGCTTCATGAGCTGGTGTGGGGCTGTAAGACGGGGGGGCAGACGTGGGTGTTTGAGGATGTGTATAATCGGTGGGAGGGGTGGTTTCAGGGGGGAAGTGGTGTTGGAGGGGCGCCTAGGTATCGTGGGTAGGGTGCTTGATGGAGAGGTATACTTGGTCATTCTCCCTCGGCCGTTAGAGTCCGTTGGTTGGTTTTTCTTGCTTAAAATGGCAGATCGTCCCATATTTATACTGAAAGACTGTCTTGGCCTTTGTGGTATTGGACATGGATAGACATGGAGTCAGTTTGGGTCTCTGTTGGTTGTGTTACCTGCACCTAAGGAATTGCTTCTGATCATCTCAAAGGATAGGGGTTCTATGTTACCGAAAATGGTCAACCCTCACCTGTCAGAGTGACCTACCCTGGCTGTATTATGTCCGGAATATTCCGCGGACTGTTTCCTCCGGATGGTGCTACAGTGACGTCGGGGTGCATCGCGCCCACCATTCACATCCAGGTACCTGTTACACGACTTGAGTAAGGCAGCCAGACTCTTTTCATAGGTTTATTGGATTCAATGTCCGCACAGCCATGCGATGCTCAACTCCTTAAAAGCCCCGTCATGCTTGGCATTGGGTTCTGATGAATCCTTCCCTCTGACAACCAAGATCTTCATAGCTGCCAACACCGACTATGGATCCACGTTGGTATCATTGCTGTGAGCCGATTTTCCATCAGAGATTTACCGAGTCCAATATCAAGGGAGCCAAATCGATTACACCTCTGAAGGCTTGAAGGCTGCCAAAACCACCAGCTACAGGAACTCAAGCGCCGGCCAATCTCAGTTCACACGGGATGTTCAAAGCCACTTTACATGGGGCTATCATCGACCCTCCCCATTCATCTCGTTCTTTTCGGACAAAGACTATGCTGAGAACTGGGCTTGCAGTGAAGCCTGGCGTAAAGGCAAGCCTGTCGAAGAAAAGTGGACTCTCCTGACCATCGATACCTCGAGACTTTTTGAGGAAAACGTCTACTTATTCAAGCTTGGCACGCTGGTCGAGGAGTTCAAGTTGGAGATACCAAATGGAGCACAGAAGCATATCCGACATGCGTACATTTGCCTAAACAAGATTCCGATTACCGCGATAACGAAGGAGAGGAACCCCAATGAGGTCAAAGAGGGTGAGCGAATGGATTGATCTCATCACTCTTATAATAGTTGCTGACTGAAGGCTGCAGATCGTAGGATAGCGAAACTGGAGGTTAAAATACAGGCTGATATAGAGGCTGACGCGAGGGCGGAAACATACTTCGGTTATGATAGTGACGACTCAGCGATTGTGAACAACTGCAACGACAACATCATGAGGATCATTGAGGGGGACTGGGATTGAGATGGTTGGCCCAACTTCCAAGACCCCCACCCCGCTTATCTTATCCTAGCTTCGCAAGCCTCTCCGCGGGCATGTCCAATCATCTTTTAGCGTCTGGAACAGGGGTGGTTCTGCGCGTCCGGGCCGACCCTGTAATGCCCCGCCGCACCTGCACTCTGATGCAGCCGCCGTACCATCCATTCCTCACACGCCAGTCCATCTCGAAACACTTCTTCCCCAAACACATAACCTCCGTTCTCATCGCCATGGCCCGCACTCGAGCTCAAACAGCGGCCCGAAGGGCGCTCCCATCGTCGGCGGTTGCATACATTTGAGGCATAGGTTGGTGAGACTCCTCTGCTGGCAAGTAAACCACCTGATCATAGGCCTTTGCTCGCAGTGTGGACGCAACCCTTGATGCCTTTCTTGACTTTCCCAGTTAATTTAAATGGTCCCAATTAGTAGGGGGTTTTTTGTGCTTGCAAGCTGTGGTTGATAATGTAAAATCTTTTAAGGAGCTGGAAGGACGGGTGGTTACTTCCACAGATCGGCCGGTCAGAGCAAATGCTGTATGGGATTTGCTGATTCCGATATCGTGGACCTGATAAGGGGTAAGCTTGGAAACGGTGGCACCAGTTAACAAGCACGTAGTGGACGTAAGAACAATAACAACGGGTAACCTGAATAGGGATTAGAATACCTTCTGTAATAAAGACCATAAGCTCACCCTTCTAAACGTGCACATCTCGCCGGGGAAAGTATAAAGGCAGGACAGTTGATTGTGCCAAAGCTATGAAGAGTCGTGTTTTCAAGGTCTTCAAGCGAGTGATATAGGAGTGCACTGAATCGAACTGTGAACGGCGTAGTTGAACGAATTCCAAGAACATCTGTGCCGCGTTGATGCGGCCGGTCGTGTGTATGGTTTTCTCCACGAGGTCGAATGTAACTGTTGTGGGTCTTTCTCTATTCATTTACCAGCCGTTATTTTTCAGGAAGACTGATGATCTTTGGTTCCATCAGCGTTGTGCGAAGTATGTGCCGTGCCATGGCCCGTTCCTGATGCTCAGACTTTTGCCAAGTGTGGCATCAGCCGGAATCGGGCACGGTTTGAAGGACGTAATCATCTTAAACCTTTAGCTTTAAGAGCATCAAGGAGACTTGATTTCCATATTTCGTAGTTGTCTTCACCCGTAGAGGAGGGGACAGAGATATCATGAAATTCTATACGCATTAAAGTCTATGTAAAACGTTCTCGTCGTTGGCGTAAGTATTTTAGAACGTAATTAGATGGCGTGATACATGGCGTTTAATCCAGCCGTTTATTAAAAGAGTGTAAAATTTATAAAAGATAGCGATGTAAAGCTAAGAGTTTAACAATTTAAGGTCAAAAGTTTAACGATTTAGGGTTAAAGATGTATAGCGATTTAAAGCCAATAAAATTGCCAAAGCAACGACTGGGTTGATCTCATCTCGATTGTGTCTTCTCTAGGAGAAGTCTCTGCAGTCGCACTCAGGGAGAGTGCTGGCTGGGATGGCATAATTATGCGGAGGGTTAGGGTCTACTGTATCCCTCCAACAACATGTCTTGTACGCCTTTAAGGGCCCAATTGGTATATACTTAGTCTACATCATCCTGTTACTGAGGGACATTTTCCGTCCTGTTTAGAAAAGCTCGCGCTCATGGGGACTCGGACTCCTTACTATGCATTGACGTCTTCCGGCGTGGGAACTCGCAAATTACCAAAGGAGGAATTCGTCCTGAGTATTATCTTCTCCCCTTGCTGATTTTGCACAACACTTTGGAGCCTCAAATCGTTTCACTTCGACCACTTTGCTATCTCTATATTTGGAGAACCTGAAAGTGTGCACTTGCTAAAAGTTTCTAAACTGGAAGACCAACCGACCCAAAGCAAGCTCTTGTGAACAATGGTACTCTCGCGTACATGCAACCTGTCAGTCTAACCTAGCGTACCTGCTTGACCACTCACAACCTGCCAGATTCACATACCCAAAATAGAATTATGAAGCGGGCTGGTGGCTGAGGTTTGGCGGAAGCAGAATAAGAAGGTGCAGGCGGACGGAGCAGGGCTCGGGATTTTCCCCTGCCAGCGGCATCATGCAAAATGCCGCGGTTGTGAGCCCCGCATAATTCTGCACAAAACCACCATGCAAATCCTCCAAGGAAGTTACCATTATTCACGTAGCTCACGGCATCTCCGCCAAAAATGGTAACGTCCTTGCCCGGGCCTATCCAGTAACGTCAGTATATGGTGAAGTAGATAGCGATTGGAACGAAATGTCGACGTTTTGTGAGTATGTCCAGCGGTCTCCTCTCTGCCATTATAACGGGAATGACCGCGTTAATTCCTTCCAAAGATGAAGTCTTGTCTCGACTTTTAGTGAAATGACATCAAAGGGCCGAACCACTTTAACCTGGCTCGCTCCCTAGCCCATCATTCCTTGTGACGTGATGGTAAAAAGCACTGCCTGCCCAATCGTGAAAGAAGTGCAGCTGACCCTCTTCCCTTTTGCCCCGCGGTGTTCCCTGCAAGGGTCCGGAAAATCTGCCCCTGGTTTACCCCTGAGCACCTCAGGGTCACCTGTCTCTTAGAGACGGTTGCGACCATCTACTCCTCACCATGGACTTAGGTTCTAGATGTTCGGATTTCATTAAGGGATATCCTTTCCAGTGTGTCATCGAGCATCGGTACTGATTCGCCGGTTGCTGAGCCTACTGGAATATATTTAAAGTTATAATCTTAATATGAATAGTAATTATAGAGGGTTTAATAACGGGCTACTGGTACGCCTAAGGAAAAAACGGAAGTTATGATTTGTTTTGGTTGTATAGCCGAATGGTCCTTGGACCCACTTTAGCTTAGGGTGATCCTCACTGCGCTCACCTTTTGCTTACCTTGTGAGACCAATACGGACTGAGCCAAAAATTTTGTCGGGTGTGACTATATAGGTAAGGTCTGCATTGTTGGTGCCGGTGCTGATGGTTTTTATACCGCGATGATGCTTAAGTTCCGGGGCATTGACTTCGACGTCGTCGAAGCCAGCGACCATGTCGGAGGGCGGTGTGCTACACACAGCTTTGTCGGAGTCGGCCCCGACTGCGCACATGATTATTATGACATGGGTGCCATGAGGATCCCCAAAATCGGCTCGATGAAATCGACACTCAATCTAATCAAGAGCCCGTCCCTGCTCAACATTCCTGACAGTCTGGTTGAGTATGTGTACACGGTTTACACGGTGGACTGCCAGGGTAATCCGACTTACTATGA